TAAAGCATCAATAGCTGTATTGCCTGGCATTAATTATGATCGTTTTTATTTCAGATATATAAATGATTTAGTGGCATATTTTCCCTTTTATCTTTACCAATATTTCAATATATGAAATAACAATAAATAATATGAAATCTTTTCTGCATGACATTATGTAACTTTACGTGTGCTGTTGACAAAAACACTATTGTAAGCAGCTTCATACATAGAACCAAGTATTTCATTATGTCAGCTTTTGAGATAATAGCTCATTATTCATGCGTATTGCGTAGCAATTAAGATAATTATGTTTCTTTTTGAAAATGTTTTCTTGGCTGTTTTATATTTCTTTAATGGATATTAGGCTAAGTGCACTGAAGTATGCTGCCTTCAGATAATTATAATTCAAAACATAGTGGCCGTACCCCAGGGTTCAATCATGTCAAATTTTGATTTTCATATGCTAAAAATAATTGTTTTTATGTAGATATTTCTTGGGGTTTTTACACCTGTATCGATCTGTTACACTTGGTAACATTCATTTAAATGTCACTTCTGCACAAAAAATATTTTTGATTCTTTGAGGTATCTTACTTCTATGAAAGTCATAAAAAAATTCTTTACTAAATCAAATCTGTGGTTACCTTTGAATTGCCAAGAATGATATAGATATACAAAATTTATAGACAAAATCATAGCAGTGCTAAATCTTCAAAATTTTATGCCACTTTCATATTCAATGGCAGCATAATGATCCCTGTTCAGTGTAAATCTTTGCATCTTTTTGTAAAATAAATAATAGTCGAAGGCTAAAAGTGTTTCACCACAAAATTCTGCTATACATTTTTCATATTAAAACACATTATTTTCTAAATTCTCTTTGAGTTATATTTTGTCAAATTTAAAAAAAAATTACCAATTTCTGCAGTTTCTTGCAATAACTTTAAAATGTTTGTTTTTTTTATACTTTTTATGCCCCCGCTGTAGGCAACTGTTACCTTGACTGTCCATCCGACTTTCTGTCTTTCTGTCTGTGTATAGGCATTGGGGGCATTGAGTGTTACTCTTGACCGTCTGTCTGTCTTTCCATCCATCTGTCCATCCTTCCGTCCATCTGTCCTTTCGTCCCTCCCATTTTCATTTCCGCACTCTAACTTAAGTTTGCCTACTGCAAATTTTATGAAACTCATACACGATGCTAAGAACCAAAACTTGCAGACAGAGTTCAAATTTGGGCTGTCAGTCACTTACCGTTCTGGAGTTTTGCCCCTTTATAACTTTGAAAATTGCAAATTTTTTCGTTTCCTCACTCTAAATTAAGTTTTCCTCATACAAATTTTCTGGAACTCTTTCTCAATGAACCAACACTTGCAGACAAGAGTTTGAATTTGGGTTGTGAGTCACTTTCAGTTCTAGAGTTATGCCCCTTTATGACTTGGAAAATTGCAAATTTTTTCGTTTCTGCACTATTAAGTTTGTCTAATCCAAATTTTCTGAAACTCATACACAATGCTTATTACCATAATATGAAATGAGTTGTTGGTCATTTACAGTTCTAGAGTTATGCCCCTTTTTAACTTGGAAAATTGCAAAGCTTGAGTGGGGCATTTGTGTCCTCAGACACATTCTTTCCTTTATTATACAAATGACTACTGTAAATTCAGAAATTGTTGCATGTATTTATTATTGCGATTATTAAAGAATGGACAAAAATGTGAGATTAATTATTGCAATTTCGGGAAAAGCCTCACACACATATATGAATCAGATAACAAAATGCAAGTTCTTATTGCGATTCTCACCAATCGCAATATTCGCATTAATAAGATCTAGCAATAATTTCTGAATTCACAGTATTTTACGATAAATATGTATTTTTTACGAAAAAAATAATAGGTATAGGGAGCAATGACAATTTTTGGGTTTAAATGATTATTTCTCAGTAATGACATGTCATATAAATATTTCATAATTGACCATAAAATAGTGGACACATTCATGAATATAACAGTAAACTATGAAACACTGATATGCATAAACTATCATACTATGATGAAACACTGATGCATATACTATTGGCACACTGATATCAATGTGTCATAGTGTATGTATAACAGTGTGTCAATAGTGTATGTATAACAGTGTGTCAATAGTATATGCATATCAGTGTTTCATCATAACATGATAGTTTATGCATATCAGTGTGTCCTTATTAATGCATATTAATGTGTCATAATTAATGCATATAAATGTGTCAAAGATTTTGCATATCAATGTGTAATAGTGTATGGTAATATGTATCCATATCAGTTTTTTACACACATTCGGATGAATATTGATGCAGAGAATGTTGGATAATTAACAGTTGACACTAACTATATCCATATTGTTTCAACAGTTATATAATATGCATCATAGAAGAAAATTACTAGTTGTCCCAGATCATTATAGCAAAAAAAAAGTTTTGTAATTATATGACTGTTTATAAAAATGTCATAGCTAATTAGATTTACTATAAATAAGGTCAAAAGGTTTTGTATTATGTAACTAAAATAACATGTCAAGCTATATAATTGCCCTAAATAATGTGTTATGGAGTGGCAAATATAAGAACTTCCAGTTCCTCAATCTATTGTAGAATAATTTCTTTGAAAGGAAGACAGCTATATAAATGTTAAGATAAATGTTTAAGGTACATAGGGAAAATGAACAAATGGGAATAACTCTGATATTTTATTTGGAAGAACTATGGTCTCATGAATACTGTAATCAATATTTAGCTTCACGGAAAGATTTCAGCAGTGTAATTATTTAATATTTCAATCTTACCATCCATTTTATGTAGCTTTCCTTAATGCATTCCCTCAATGTAATGTTAATTTTGCTTAATGCATTACTTTAATCTAATGTTAATTTTGCAATTCTTTTTGTCTCCTAATTTTACATTTAATATTTGCCCATATCCCCTGTGAAGCCCAAATAACAATTATATTATACTGGAGTGTCCTGAATTCAACATATATATAAGCATTGCGATCTTCAATTTTAATCACAGGGTATATTGGTTCACATACCCCGTCAAGGTACCCAATCAAATTACAGTATTAACTAGACACTACAGTATAATATTATAATAAATATATGTCCTGGACCATATGAGTATTTGGACCAGACCTTTGAAAAGTTACTTTTACAGTCAATTGTATAAGGTATTTGGACCATTCAAGGTGTTGTAAATAAAGAGTTTTTAAAAATGAAATAATCATATGGTAATCATTTTAATATGATTAATGAAATAAAGTGAAAATCACTCATAAGGTAAAATTAAAGTAAAAGCATTTGTATATGGTGGTTATCGATTTCTCCTTATGAAACACACTATATCGACTTTGGAAAATAAATTCAGGAAATATCTAAATGGACTGTAAAACAAGAAGTCAACAGTTTTACTCATTTAACCCTCTCTTTTTCTATTTTTTTTTTTTTTATTAAATTGAATTTTTTTCAATTAGTTTTAGTTATTTGATGTGTTTTTTGTTCCTTTTCATTCAATCTTACAATAACAGTAGTTTATACAGTCGGCCCCTCTATAATGATAATAATAATAGAGGACAGCATTTTAAACTACTGTTATAACATGTAAGATCTTATGAATAGGAGCAAGCACACTTTAATTAAGTGAAAATATATACAAATTAGAAGATTTTTTTTCTTAAAAAACTCATCCAAACGAACGATAAAAAACTTCATGCCCCAACGCTTGTGGTTTCACTTACGGTCGAAATAGTCGACAGGTTAAAGTATTTCAGATAGTAACTTGTGCCAAACTTGGTTCAGAGAACGAGCTGTGTATTCCTGCAAAGGAAGTTAGAATTATAATTTATTTGAAAAATACCTATATGGTCTAAATACTCATATGGTCTGGCCCGTTAATAACCAAAATAAGTGTATATTCATATGTATGGTGGACCCCATATGAGTATACGTATATTGTCATGACCATTCAAATATGGTCCAAATACTCTTATCGCACCGTGGGTAAATTATCACGTTGTGATTGGTTTAACGCCGTCACGTGGTGACCCCCTATGGATAAGTAGGGGGTTAGTAAATTTCATAGGGGGTTCATGACGTCACTTCTACTGTTAATGGTGACGTCATCTATTAATGTTGTTGTGTTTCATTGTTTATTTTTCTACAAAACGCAGCATAAAAAGTCCTGCGTGCGATAAATTTGTTAAACGTACACAACTGACCCCCTACGGACCATAGAGGGTGAATAAAATCCATTGGAGATTCGGCCTTCAGCCTCACCCCCTATGGATTTTACTAACCATCTATGGATCCGTAGGGGGTCAGTAGCGAACCGTATAACTTATAGTATGTATTTGTAAGTGTTGTTTCCAAGAATCATGTTTCATTAAAAAGACGATGCCTTTGTGACTTCCACTTGAACATTTATGTCATGTATGCACGATGCAGAGTTTAGGAACATTTATGTCATGTATGCACGATGCAGAGTTTAGGAACATTTATGTCATGTATGCACGATGCAGAGTTTAGGAACATTTATGTCATGTATGCACGATGCAGAGTTTAGGAACATTTATGTCATGTATGCACGATGCAGAGTTTAGGAACATTTATGTCATGTATGCACGATGCAGAGTTTAGGAACATTTATGTCTTGTATGCACGATGCAGAGTTTAGGAACATTTATGTCATGTATGCACGATGCAGAGTTTAGGAACATTTATGTCATGTATACACGATGCAGAGTTTAGGAACATTTATGTCATATATGCAGAGTTTAGGGAGCATTTTTTATTTTATTTTATTTTCCATCTGTTCATCTCTGATGTTAAAACTAAATCCTTGATGTGATTTTCAGAAGTCAAAACACTGATTATTTTGATAAACGTCAACATTGATTGAAATTTCTGCTCAGTATATATTTATATCCATATATTGATCACTAAATTTCATTCTCTGAATATGATTTGTTTTTTTATTTCAGGTATTAAATCCTCAGAACTTTATTACGTGAGAAATGGAATTATCAATAATTATGCACTGTCATTTGAAATGCCAATCAACTATGATGTTAAAGAAATTTACTTTACATGGCAGAGCTTACGTCAGACTCCTGCAGTGAGTATTTTTAAGTTTGGAAATAAATGCATCTTTTATTGAACTTGGTAAAGGATTTGCTCAGAATAATCATAGAAGAATTTTAAGATTTGGCACAAAATTTGATTACTTTTGTTAGTTTTATGAGTATGTTTTTTATAAGACCACACAATTTTTGTGGTCATATAATGGTATGATGATGTTGTCTTTGTCATCCGAAGACATTTGGTTTCCAGACAATAACTTGAGTATAAGTGTATGGATCTCTATGAAATTGTACCACAAGGTTCCATTACCACAAAAGGAAGGTTGGGATTTATTTTGGGGGTTATTGTCGTACCTGTTTAGGAATTAAGGGTCAAAGACAAGTATTTTTTCTTGTTTCAGGACAATAACTTGTGTTTAAGTGTATAGATCTCTATGAAATTGTACCTCAAGGTTCCATTCCTCAAAAGAAAGGTTGGGATTCATTTTGGGGGTTATGGCCCTTACCGTTTAGGAAATTGGACCAAAAACAATACTTTTCTAATACTTTGTATAAATTGCCCAATTTTGATGGGGTTTAATTCAAAGTCTTTAATTCTTGGGGTTCTTTAATATGCTGAATCTAACTATGTATTTAGATTTTGGAGTTTGGTCCCCGTTTTTTAAATTGGGCCACATTGAGGTCCGAAGGGTCAAAATTAAACTTAGATTTCATCAAAAATTGAAATATTGGGGTTCTTTAATTTGATAAACCAAATCTATTCAAATCTATCCATGTATTCAGATTTTTAATTTTGGGGCCTGTTTTCAAATTGGTCCACATTAATAAGGTTCAAAGGGTCCAAATTGAACTTTATTTGATTTCAACAAAAATTTGAATTCTTGAGGTTCTTTGATATGCTGAATCTAAACATAAAATTTCATTTTTGATTTTGGGCCCAGTTTTCAAGTTGGTCCAAATTGGAGTCCAAAATTAAAGTTTGTTTGATTTCAACAAAACTTTAATATATGGTATGCTGAATCTAACCGTGTATTTAGATTTAGGATTTTGGTCCCCATTATCAAATTGGTCCACATTGAGGTCCAAAGGGTCCAAAAATTAAACTTTTTTTTGTTTGATTTCTTCAAAAATTGAATTCTTGGGGTTCTTTGATATGCTGAATCTAACCATGTATTTAGATTTTGGATATTGGACCATAATAGGTAAATGTCCAATTTCAAATTTTTAAGTTCTAACCATATTCATTCTGTGTCAGAAACCTATGATGTGTCAAACATTTAATCACATTCCAAATTCAGAGCTGTATTAAGCTTGAATGTTGTGTCCATACTTGCCCCAACTGTTTAGGTTACGACCTCTGCTGTCATATCAAGCTGTGCCTTGCTGAGCATTTTATGTTTTTCAGATGCTGTTTAGCTTGAGATTCAATGTGTCTAATTCAAGAGCCATGTCCCAGCCAAGAGCTAACATCACAAGTGATGGCTATGTACCTAACACATTATCTGGTAAGTCATATGGAGTAAGATATCTATAACATGTTAAAATTAAATATCTAGTAGAAGAGTAGTCTGTATGTTAACCACTTGATGTCTTTCAGTCTATGTAGTTGTGTTGTTGGGTTGCTGTCTATTGATGTATATCCCCTCATCTCAATTTGTTCATATACATTGTTTGACAAATTATATCATTATTATCTTGATGAATATTTAATTTGTGCTGTTGTATTCATTGATTTAACTACAAATTGTTTTTTTTTCCATTCGAATACTTTCTTTTCATTCTGTTGAGGAGATATGGTAAGTTGGGAAAGTTTTAAAAAAAGAACTTCATTCCTATTCTTAAACTTGATGGGTTTTTGGCTTGTATCAAAATGTTGACAAAGATAAGGAATCTGACAAATATTCTTCATTTGTGTAGATAGATACTTGGTAATAAGTGCTGTTGAAGCATGTCTATGATTGTGGTAATTATATGTTATTATACACTTCAAACTTAGAGACAGTTCTTGTGTCACATATATGTAAGTAAAAACTGCACTAATTAACTATTTTATTGTTTATAACTGTTAGAATTCTATATGAACGTGCAGAAAAACATGAAAACATAGCCAAACATACATTAGAAGAAAGTATACTTGTGTTTCCTTTTTTATGCCCAACCTTCATCAAAGTGGAACATTTTCTTTCAGGAGTGAGCTGTTTAATATATATGCAAAATTAGGATTTTTACCCAAATTTCACAGTTTACTGAATATGGAAATGTAATTGTGTGAGAGGGGCATGGTGTCCTATGGACCCATATTCTTGTTTGATCTTTTTCTCACCTGCAATGAAAGTAGCAGAATGCGAGACATTGGGATTACAATCTGTGGAAGCAGTGGCATAAACTATTTGTATAAAGCTTAATATTTCAGAAGCTAGAAGACCTTGGTGCTTCATACCTTGTATGCAGATACCTTATGTTACGAAGTTTCCATCTGTCATATGTCCATTTTTTTTTTTTTTTTGGAAAAGGGAAGACTCTCTTATTGTGAGTGATAGAAGAACTATATTTGGTATATGGGTTCCTTGTAAGGTCCTCATGTCTGTCAGGTAGGGTTCACCTGACACCAACCTTGATCTCATTTTATGGATCAGGGATCAAGGTTAAAGTTATTTGGTAAAGTCTTTATCTCAGATACTATAAGCAGTAGGTCAACTCTCTTTAGTGTATGGAATGATTGTAAGGTTAATATGTCCAACTGGCAGGTTTCATTTAACCTTGACCTCAATTTCATGGTTAATTGGACAATTTTAGTTTTGGTTGGTTTGGTCTATTTCTCAGACACTATAAGCAATAGGGCCACTATATTTGGTATATGGAATGATTGTAAGGTGTACATGTGGACTAGTAGGTTTCATCTGACCTTGACATTCTTTTCATTGTGAGTTGGATAATGTCCAGTTTTTGTGGTTTGATCTATTTTTCAGATACTAAAAGCAATAGGTCAAGTAAATTTGGTGTATGGAATAATTGTAAGGTATACATGTCTGTCTGGCAGGTTTCATATGACCTTGGCCTCATTTTCATGGTTCATTGGTCAATGATAGGTTTTTGTAGTTATGTCAGTTTATCATTACTATAAGCAATAGATCAACTATATTTAGTGTATGGAATGATTGTAAGGTGTACATGTCTAACTGACAGATTTCATCTGACTTTACCTCATTTTCGTGGTTTATTGGACAATGTTCAGTTTTTGTGGTTTGGTCTATTTCTCAGACACTATAAGAAATAGGACCACTATATTTGGTGTCTGGAATGATTGTAAGGTGTACATGTTAGACTGGCAGATTCATATTACCTTGACCTTATTTTTATGGTTCATTGGTTAATGTTAAGATTTTTGCGGTTTGATCTGTTTCTCAGGTACTATAAGTGATTGGATCACTATATTTGATGTATGGAAAGATTGTAAAGTGTACATGTCTGTCAAGCATGGTTCACCTGACCATGACTTCATTTTCATGAATCAAAACCTTCATGTTACAGACTTTCAACATGAATTCAATCATAAGTAAAGCAGGTGAGACATTTCAGCGTTTGCACTCTCGTTTTTTCTTATGTAGTACTTTTCCCCTTTGATGCTATTTAATTATTCCCTAGCTGTTGCTTATTTTGAAATTTACATTCTATGCAATACTTGAGACTGATTGTAAAACTTACTGAAAACTGTTTTTTTTTTGTTATTTCCAGTTTTCAAGGTAGAATTTCCATGTACAGGAAAGATTAGTGGAGAGGTTATAGTCAACATGCAGTTGAATATCAGTATTTTCTCTGCATCAAATCTAACTGTCTTAAATCTAGTCAGGAGAAAAATGTGTATAAAAGGTAAAATATTATTTAAAACTGAATAGTCAATAGTTGACATATTAGAAAATTAAAAAATATTGCTTTACAGACCTAATTTTGCTCTTAAAATATTTCAGGACAGAAAAAGGAATTTTAGAACTTATTCATTGTTATTTTGTGGTTAGAAATTTTATACAGAAAATGGTTCTCATTATATCTTATACTCAAATCAAGACAACAAAAGAATATGGAAAACAAAATTATATTATGCCTGTCCAATAGATAAAAATCTTTTGCAACTGTCATATTAATTGTATTTTATTTATTTTTACATGCAACTTCTAAACTGCATGTATTCTTAACTTGAATGTTAGATAAATTATAGACATGTTTTGTCCATCAGCTGTCAAAGGCTGATGTCAGATTTAAGTTTGGAAACCGACCGTCTAATGTTGACATCACTGATTACATCGGTATGGGATAATACGGGGCATCTTAATTAAACAGCAGTGGTAAAAACATTAACTATCTTTTTTTTTACAGGTTATCTTAATTATAAAACCTGTGGGAAAAGCATTAGGTGTCTTCTATTATTGACAGCTTTCAAGTTGTTTTGGTCAACTTTGGCTTACAAGATTTAATTAATGAAGTAGAAATAATAAATACTGAAGTGTGCAGGTAGTGCATAGGAAATGAATCATAATAATTTATACAGATTTGAAGAGGATTTATCTGTTTATTAGTTTTTTTTATGAAAATGATCTGAAATCCAGAATAAGATGGCGAAAATAGTTTTCCTGAACTGAACTTGTATGACAAGGATTAATTCATCATTTTCAAAATATAAAACAATTTATAATAATCATAATGATATTCTTAAAATTATTTTCAGATAAAGTTCAACAGTCGTTCCTAGATGAAGGCAGTGTACAAGTTGATACTCCAAAAGTTTTCCCTACTCCGCCAAACATTTCACATGCTGTTCACAAGGGCATGTCTAATACTCTAGGTAAAGTATGATATACAGGCTGGGAGAGAAATATGTCCCTACTCCACCAAACATTTCACATGCTGTTCACAAGGGCATGTCTAATACTCTAGGTAAAGTATGATAAACAGGCTGGGAGAGAAATATGTCCCTACTCCATCAAACATTTCACATGCTGTTCACAAGGGCATGTCTAATACTCTAGGTAAAGTATGATATACAGGCTGGGAGAGGTTGGAACCCCTTTTTTTTTTGATGATCAATGCTTTTGAATGGGGACATATGGTTGGAACCCCCCTTTATCCTGGGTTAGAACCACTCCCTTTTAAAAATGGCTGGATCCGCCCCTGAAATACAGGATGAGATTAGTGTTAACTAGATATTTTGAACAGCAAGCCATTTTTTCGAATTGACAATTTATGATTGTATATTCAAGCTCCATATTTCTTGGTTAATCATAATAATAAACACACAAGTGATGTCACAAGTACAGATACAAAACATTCACAAATAAAATATACAAAGGTTCGTCAATATGAAGTATGGAATCCCTTGCGGAATGATACAAGTCCTCAAAGATCACTAATAAGGGTCGTCTGCTTAGCATTTAATGGTTGTAAATGTATCATAATTGTCTTAATCCTTTTAATTATTGTAATAAATTGGTTTTAATTCTAGCAATTCATATAAGGATGCTTGCTCCTCTATTTCAAAGTAACAAGCTTTCTAAAAGACTGTTATAAATTGATAGTGTATAAATAACGGATCTTAAAAAGTAGAATAAAATGACAGGTCCGTGTCCTTGTTTTTGAGATATAATTGATTGTAAATAAGTATGTTTACACAGCTTTAGATAAGAAAAACATCAGATTCCCAAAATTGTTTTACTTCAAACTTCTAGAAATGAGGGTCAATTTACATTAATTTTACATCGACAGGACTTTGAAATTAACCTCGACTAACCGCTAGCCCGTCTATAATAATCAGTTCAGTCATATATACTCTTGATTGCCATGGGAAGACCTTTTCAATGCATTTAGAGGTTTGCCCACTGAGAGTCATCCCTGCCCCCTCATACAATGAATTGTCAAGTTTATCAGATATACTTCAGATCTCACCCCTTTAACCATATACAGTGTTAATTGCTTGGTAAAACCTTTCTAGTTAAAAGTAATAAGTATTAAACCAATAAAACATATAAAGTACATTTATCTATTTAATATGTGATATTTTTATCAGTGCAAATAATTTCAATGAATGAACAAACTTACATTTTATTTAATTTCTTTTGTCTCTGAAAGTAATTTTTATAAAAAAAATAATTATTCAGCTATGATAAAAGTGAAGATCTATCCACAAACTTTCATGAGATGTACACACTTTCAAAATTTTAGAAACAACAACTTACGCTTGTGATGTGATGTCATTATTGTCCACTTAAACATTAAAATACAAATCTTGAGATTCAAACATTCAAACACTAGCTTTATTTTTCTGTCACATATACAAGAATTAGATAAAGTTATATCACATAATTGAAAATAATAAGCAATAATAAATCTGCAAGGGATATTTTGGATTTACAGTATTGACCCATCTATTTTTCAGATTTCACCCTATCAAAATTTAAAAAACAAACATGTACTATCTTATTTATAAATTAGTATATTATATAAAAAAGGTTGAAAAGCTATGACTGCCTCAGATATTAATAAAATTATTAATGCCATCTGCCCTTTCTATTCAGCTGTGACATTAAAAAAACGGGTACAATATACACAATTAATATTTCTTTACAGATCAGCCACCGTCCAAAGAAACAGCCATGTCAACCCATGTGTTCTATATAGCTGTTGGATGTGCTTGTGGTGTAATTCTCCTCATTGCATTAGCTGTCGCAGTTTATTACCTCAATACACAGAAGAACTCATCCAGGGGATATAACGAAAGAATAAAGTATTAGTATGTCTTATCAAGCCTTTGTACCCTTAATGTATAGTCAAGTCTTCTTTAATGCCTTTAAATAAAGGAAAAGGGGGGGACATTACTATCCTGACAATTTTTATGCCCCCGCCGTAGCAGAGGAGTATTAAATTTTACCCTTGTCCGTCTGTACATCCCTACATATGTACGTAAGCTCGAAATTGGTTTCCATTCTCTAATTGTAGTTTGCCTCAACCGAATGTTATGAAACTTATACACAATGCTTATTACCACACAACAGATCAAGTTTGAATTTTGGTGTTGTCACTTTTACCTTTCTAGAGTTATGAGCCTTTACAAATGGAAAAATTGCTGATTTTTTTTGTCTCCGTTCTCTAACTTAAGTTTGCCTCAACTAAATTTTATAAATCTTATACACAATGCTTATTACCACAAAACACAGATCGAGTTTGAATTTTGGTGTTGTCACTTTTACTGTTCTAGAGTTATGCCCCTTTACAAATGGTCAGCAATTTTTCATTTCCGTTCTCTAACTTAAGTTTGCCTCAACCAAATGTTATGAAACTTATACACAATGCTTATTACCACAAAACTCAGATCAAGTACGAATTTGGGTAGCATCACTTATACCGTTCTGGAATTATGTCCCTTTATAATGTTGTATGCATGTAGGGGCATCATCTGTGTCCCATGGACACATTCCCCCCTTTTTTTTTAATCCACAGTTTTATTTGTTCCCTACTGGCAGTCAGTCATTACATAACATATCTATTTTTTTCTTTTTCCCAACCTCTTTAAAAAAGTCAGCTTCATATTTGTTGTAAAAGGTTCATCTTGAGCTTGTTACATTTCAAGTTTGCATTTCTGTCCAGCTTAGTGGCTTTTAACGAGTTTTATTCCTAGGAAGGACTAAACACGTTTTTCTAGATGATATTGCTGTGTAAACTTGGCTGTTGACCCACAAACTTAACATAAAAGTCCTTTTTATTTTTCTTCAGTATGCGAGTTAAATGACCTAGTTTTCACACCAATAACCTCTAGAATAAATGTGTTAAATCCATTAATGTCCCGAGCATTTACAAAAATATAATCATGAAAGCTCATATTTGATATGCTGTGGCCATTAGCTTATTGTTTAACTATACTCTCAGAATGCTTCTTCAAATTTATTAATCACTGGGCAAGGATTTTCAAGATTGTAACTTCTGAAATCATCTGTTAAAAATTGAATGGTTATCTATATTCTACTTTCCAATACTTATTTAAATTAATTCTATCCAAAAATAGTAATGAATTAACTGCTTTTAATGTAAAATTCATAATATTATATTTTATAGTTACCGTAATTGTTAAATAATATTGTCATTTTTTAGTGATACCAACAGCAGTTCTCAAGCATTAACAAAGCAACAGAGCCAGTCATTTATCAGACCAGAAACTCCTATGGAAAATAGCATTAAAGGTTCAAGTGAGTTATTTTTAATACATCACTATATTGTCCTTTCCTAAACATTTTTAAGATTTTACATCATAAAAAAATGTATATAATTAGAAACCTTTATGAATTTGACACATTGCTCTACTGCATAAAAAAGCTAGTATTGATTTAAGGATTGTAACCCACCTGTTTCTAGATAAGGGCCAAAGAAGCACAAACAGTTAGACTGATAACTTAGGTAAGGTTAAGAGAAGACCTGAAAACTTTGAAAACTTCTAGGAACATTATAAAATGCAGACCAAGTTCAAATTTTGACTGTTGCAACAATTACCATTTCATAGTTATGTCCCTTGAATTTGTTTCTTAACTGTAAAAATTGTTTACATATGATTACTTAGGTTAGCCTTGGACTAAGTCTTCATCTATTTTCAACATAATCAAATACCATTTTCTACTAAACAACAAAAGAAACTCCATTAATTATACTCCACAGAACAAAGTTTTGTAGGGTATAATGTTTTTGACCCGTCCGTCTGTCTGTTGTACCGTCCGTCTGTCCGTCAGTCCGTCAGTCCTGTTCTTGTCATCACAACTCCTCTGAAACCACACAAAAGAATTTCATGAAACTTTGTAGATAATAAGGACTTCCTATGTAGATGTGCTTATCGACAGGAAATTATGATTCAATATTTTTTCTAGGAGTTATGCCCCTTTGAACTTAGAATTTCAATCTAAATATACTACTGCAACAGTTTGTCATCGCAACTCCTCTGAATTAACACAACAGAATTTCATGAAACTTTGTAGATAATAAGGACATAATATGTAAATGTGCATATCCACAAGAAACATTTATTAGTTGACTTTTGTAGGAGTTATAAGTCTTTGAACTTAGGAATCTGATGATACTTTATTTGCCCAGTGACAAGGTGGGGGGCGTGGGGTATGTGCTCACAAAGGTTCTTTAATTTCTTTGGAGTGAACATTTCTATTGCATATAACTTTTTGAATAGTTATTGAAATGAGCTTAAATTTTGACTCAATGTTTATGGAGTCGTAAACATAAAATTCTGTGAAAATAAACATTTTTTCAATTTTCAGTTTTTACCTTAAAAAAATTTTTTTTTTTGTACCCTAAAATGAAAATGTTCACAAATTTGTCAAAACTTAAGTCACTTGTATCTTTTCACCTGAAAACGATGAATAAAACTTGGATGTTCAATTTCTTAATAGATTGTTTTTCCAAAGACAATTATCGAACTTTCCTTTTAATAAGTAAAAAGATTATGTGTGATTCAATTAATGAAGCATGAATTCACTATATTTTACAAGTAATAAGGTTATTTGTATTTCAGTAAGAAATTTTTCCTGTGGACCCTCACCAATACCAGAATTATGTCCACCTGAGCCTGCTGAAGTCTTAAATGAAATTGCTATTGGCAGAGAAAGAATCTCATTAAAAGATGTCTTAATGGAAGGTAAACCTTATTGGAAAGGAAAGATTTGATAAAGTTTTATTTCAATGGAAAATAGCTGTAGCTTTATATTCAATAGATAAAGTTTTAGAAAATGAAGGAACGGTAGAATGAAAAAGAATGGATATTGGATTGATGAGACAATGCTATGTAATAAAAAAAAATTTAGCTCACATGCTGGAAAATAGTGAAAAAAATAGTGAAAAAAAACTGTCAATAAAAATTTTGAAAATGAACTAAACTTGTAAACTTAATTTTGTCCAAAAATTCCTCAACGTAGCTGAATTTATAAATATTGATCTAATTTCAGGAACATTTGGAAGGATATATGAAGGAATATTATTAAGTGATGACCAGAATCAGTTTGGTGTAGATCAAGAAATTATTGTAAAAACTGTCACTGGTATGTTTAACATAGATATAGCTACTTATATAATAGTTGGTAATCAAAATATAAAGATAAGAAGATGTGGTATGATTGCCAATAAGACAACTCTCCACCAGAGACCAAAGGACATAGACGTTGACAACTATAGGTCACCATACGGCCTTCAACAATGAACAAAACACATACCGCATTGTAAGCTATGAAAGGTCCTGTAATGTAAAACAATTCAAACCAGAAAACTAATGGCTAAAAGCATCTTTTTTTGAGATGAAAAATATTCACTAGAAGAAGGTTAAAATACACCATCCTTTAATTAGCAAAAGTTAAGTAGGTGACTTTTTTTAAAGTGATTGTTTTTAGATTGAATTTACTGTTGAATTTCAGTATCTCGGACACCAATAATTGTAACCATGATATGAAATGGTAAAAAGAATTTAACTTATAATCACATAACATTTTTTTCGTTTAAGTGTTTTGAACCACTTTTTTTCCCACATATAGGCAATGTTTTTTGTGATCTAGTAAGCTATTTATCAATTTCAGATCAAGCTCGTGAAGACCAAGTACAACTATTTTTATCGGAAAGCTGTATGATGAAAAGTCAAGTGAACGCCAATATTTACCCAGTAATAGGTTCATGTATTGGAGATGGACTTCTACCTTATATCATTTATCCAAATACCACAGTTGGCAACCTCAAAAAATTCCTACTTCAGTGCAGAGTCTCAGATACTGGTTCACATTGTGTGAGTGGAAATATTCAACTTTTGTTGAGTAAACATTTTGCTGCTGTTTCGTGAATCATTTTTCTACTACAAATAAATGTATCATATGTCAGTGACCTCAACTGACCCCATACAGCCTTGTTTGTTATGTTGACAATGTGACCTCAACTGACCGTATACAGCCTTGTTTGTTATGTTGACAATGTGACCTCAACTGACCGTATACAGCCTTGTTTGTTATGTTGACAATGTGACCTCAACTGACCCCATACAGCCTTGTTTGTTATGTTGACAATGTGACCTCAACTGACCGTATACAGCCTTGTTTGTTATGTTGACAATGTGACCTCAACTGACCCCATACAACCTTGTTTGTTATGTTGACAATGTCACCTCAACTGACCGTATACAGCCTTGTTTGTTATGTTGACAATGTCACCTCAACTGACCCCATACAGCCTTGTTTGTTATGTTGACAATGTGACCTCAACTGACCGTATACAGCCTTGTTTGTTATGTTGACAATGTGACCTCAACTGACCCCATACAGCCTTGTTTGTTATGTTGACAATGTGACCTCAACTGACCGTATACAGCCTTGTTTGTTATGTTGACAATGTGACCTCAACTGACCCCATACAACCTTGTTTGTTATGTTGACAATGTCACCTCAACTGACCGTATACAGCCTTGTTTGTTATGTTGACAATGTCACCTCAACTGACCCCATACAGCCTTGTTTGTTATGTTGACAATGTGACCTCAACTGACCGTATACAGCCTTGTTTGTTTTGTTGACAATGTGACCTGAACTGACCGTATACAGCCTTGTTTGTTATGTTGACAATGTGACCTGAACTGACCCCATACAGCCTTGTTTGTTATGTTGACAATGTGACCTCAACTGACAGTATACAGCCTTGTTTGTTATGTTGACAATGTGAACTCAACTGACCGTATACAGCCTTGTTTGTTATGTTGACAATGTGACCTCAACTGACCCCATACAGCCTTGTTTGTTATGTTGACAATGTGACCTCAACTGACCCCATACAGCCTTGTTTGTTATGTTGACAATGTCACCTCAACTGACCCCATACAGCCTTGTTTGTTATGTTGACAATGTCACCTCAACTGACCCCATACAGCCTTGTTTGTTATGTTGACAATGTGTTCTCAACTGACCGTATACAGCCTTGTTTGTTATGTTGACAATGTGACCTCAACTGACCGTATACAGCCTTGTTTGTTATGTTGACAATGTGACCTCAACTGACCGTATACAGCCTTGTTTGTTATGTTGACAATGTGACCTCAACTGACCCCATACAACCTTGTTTGTTATGTTGACAATGTCACCTCAACTGACCCCATACAGCCTTGTTTGTTATGTTGACAATGTGACCTCAACTGACCGTATACAGCCTTGTTTGTTATGTTGACAATGTGACCTCAACTGACCCCATACAGCCTTGTTTGTTATGTTGACAATGTGTTCTCAACTGACCGTATACAGCCTTGTTTGTTATGTTGACAATGTGACCTCAACTGACCCCATACAGCCTTGTTTGTTATGTTGACAATGTCACCTCAACTGACCGTATACAGCCTTGTTTGTTATGTTGACAATGTGATCCAACTGACCCCATACAGCCTTGTTTGTTATGTTGACAATGTGTTCTCAACTGACAGTATACAGCCTTGTTTGTTATGTTGACAATGTGACCTCAACTGACCGTATACAGCCTTGTTTGTTATGTTGAAATATAACTTTTTAGTACTCAACTTGAAACAGGATAGAATGTCAGCAAAGTTTTATATTCTACCTGTTTCTCAGCCTTACACAAATAAATTCTATATTTTGAGACAATAAACAGTTTTTTTTTCTATATTTAGATGGAAATGAAAAGGCAGTTAAAGTCATAACACAATAATATTTTTAGGTGCATATAAATAAAAGAAGATTTTATGTATACATCTATGAAAACAAATCAGCATGCAGTTTCTTTTGATAGAAAAGTTTCAATACCTTATGTCAAGCTCTTAATTGCCACAGGTGTGAACAAGTTTTGAATGAATTCATTAGACTTCCAAAATTCTGCCGACTGAATGCAAATTTTTAGCTTCCAAGATTTTGTACAAACTATGCGGCTGTCAGTGTTTTCACATACCAATGAAACTGCATAAAAAACATTCAATTCTAAAAAAATTTACACAGAGAAATCATAAAACATTTTCACTTTGAAAGCATGAAAGTGAATTTAAATCTAAAGTAAATATTAAATTGAGCACTCAAAATTAGATTTTATTTTTTGCAAAATATGTAGGAGTACAATCATAAGAAAGAAGAATGTATGATAAAGCTGCTGCTTTCCCTCTTGAATTTGAAAATCTAAAACTGTTATAAATTTAGCTAGTGATATCCCTTCAGAAGACAGAAGACTGTCATGTATCAGTACATTTGTTATGATATTTTTCTATTCTTATCTTCAATAATTAAAAATGTCTTGCTTGAAAAATGCCAAAATTTTCATAATAGAAGGTCATATAAATGTTGAACAAAAATCTTGCCAAAAAAGTGGTTTTGCCACATATCTTCCACAAAGATGTTGATGTCAGTCGAATATCTTGTTGGATAATGCTGTTGCTAATTTAACTGAAAATTATGTGTTAAATTTCAATTTATGGTAAAATATTTAATGACACACCGACATCACAATTAAAATTATTGCTTGAAAGTGACACAAGGTTATCATTAAATAGACATACTTTGTAAAGGAATGAAGTATTTTAGTAATTTTGCAATTTCAGAGGCCAAACAGTGGGGATTATCATGCCCTTTTTGGCAGAAACCAAACTTCAAATGTTAAGTTGAATCAAGTTTGTAATGAATCTGTTATTTATTTTGTAGCCAATGTCAACACAGCAAATAGTGTTCATGGCATTACAGATAATCAAAGGGATTCAGTTCCTTCACAGAAAAAGAATCATTCATAAAGATATAGCAGCTAGAAATTGTGTGTAAGTTACTTAATTAAGATAACAAATTCTTTAAAAATTGTTATGTCTTCAGTTATCCGACTTTTGAATCACAAATAATTGTTGGACACCTTTGCCCATAAAACAATATTTTGAGTTATGGAAGATTACTGACATTATTTAATTTCACTGAAATTAAAAATAAGTTGGAATCCATTCCTTATCCATATTTGAGGAGACAAGGTCTATTTTAAATCAAACAAAAAAGAAATATCATGGTACTGTCATACTATGTATAGCAGTTCGAGAAATGTAAAATGTTTAAGGTAATGAAAGTTGACTAATTAGTGAAGAGTAAATCAATGTACAAGTGATATGTAGATATAAGATTAAGAAATGTTTGATTCTAATCAGTAGAGTTATCTCCCTTGTTTTACTCCATCATTTGACAACTTTTCAAAGCATTACTTAAACATGTATTGATCTTATATTCAACAGACTATCTGCAAATATTCTCTAATATTAACACATATTGTATATTTGTAGCATTGATGGTGATTGTGTTATAAAGATAACAGACAATTCTTTAGCCAGAGATTTGTTCCCATCAGAATATAACTGTCTCGGAGACAATGAAAACAGACCTGTTAAGTGGTTAGCAGTAGAGGCCATTGTAGAGAGGAGATTCTCATTTCCCAGTGATGTGGTATGTTGCATTCAAATATCCTTAGTTGTGAGAAAGATGTATAAGTCCTGTTCTAGGCTTCAAAAAACCAATTCAATAATATTAGATAAATATATATTGGTGATTTAACTTCCGTTACCTGAACACAAGTCTCATCCGACAGGTTTCACTCTACATGAAAAATAAACAAATATAGATTTTACCTCTGCATCAAGGATGATATGCTATTTCTTCACTCAACACATTAAAATTTTCAAATTTAAAATGTGAGTCATGCTGAACATTTTAGATATTAATTTGATTTGGTATAAAGAATCATTGTAAGCTTTACATGTCTCTGTCAAATAGGGCTCAACTGACTATAATCTCATTTTCATGTTTCATTGGTCAAAGTTAAGTTTTTGAGCAACATAAAGATATCTCTTTGATGTGGTATGTCATATTTTGATGGAAATATTTCTTGTTTTAGGTTTAGAGATAATTTTCTGTAACAGTTTGGAAATATGCTTTTCTGCTTTATGTTTTGTTGTCTTTTGCTTTAACGTTTTAGGATATTATGCATTTTTTTATGTTTCTAGTGGTCATTTGCTGTAACAGTATGGGAAATGCTAACTTTAGGCCAGATTCCTTATGCAGAAATAGATCCGTTTGAAATGGCTGGTTATTTACGAGAAGGATACAGAATAGCCCAACCTATGAACTGTCCAGATGAACTGTAAGTTTTGTGTCACAAATAAAGAAATTGTGTTTTCTTAGAATGTTATGCTCCTGAATATTGCCCGAATTTTTAAATTTATGACCAAGTCATAAATTATGCTCTTTCATCTTGCTGTGAACCCAAGAGTTGACTGGTATAAAGAAATGTTATCAGCTTGACATCTCCCAATCCATAGTAAGACCCATGCTGAGGGAAAATTGTCACACAAGTGAAAAAAAACAAACTTTGAATTATAGAGGTTTTGTAGATGATCTGTTGCAAGAAAAGTTTTTGTCTCTGAACAGCATACTACTTTTTCAGTGGCATTCCAAAATTTCCAGGTTTCCTTCTCGTAGATTCATTTGGCAGAACCTATATTATTGATTTATTGCTTAATTAATTTTGGTCCTGAATATGCATGTAATATTTGCCACTGGATGTTATGAAAGTTAAAATGTATCGATCAACCATCTTGTTGTTTCAAAGTTATAATGCTAATTCTACAATTTAGATAAAATCACGGCAATTTGCCCTCACATAAATTTGATTTTTGAAGATGATCAGCATTAGGGACAAGATAATAGTGAAAAATAAAAATTTCACAAACACAGGTTTGGCCCTAAAAATGAATAAAATTAAAACTCCATGAAAATAAATAACTTCAGTTTTGAATTAAAATTTTCATATTCATGTATTGTTATTCACTTTTGCAATAAACTGAAATATTATTTTAATATTTTCATATTTACAAATTAATTTATATATTTTTACTTCACACTGGAATGAGAGCAACAAGACGAGAAAAAAATATCCAAAAGGTTTCTCAAGTAGATAATGAAATTGATATATCATATCTTTATTTTAGATTTACCGTGCTTTCTTATTGTTGGAATACTAATCCTGACGACAGACCAAAGTTTTCACAGTTACTTATCTGTTTACAAGACTTCTACACTGCACTCGGGAGATATGTCTGATATTAACATACCATTGTGTGCTTCTGTGTAACATCATTCTGATCCAAGGCATGACACTGAATAATGTGCTGAAATATTCAAATAGACTTCCAGATCAGCAAAATCATATCAATGAAGAAATATATGTAAATGAGGACAGTAAGAGTGACAAATATTTGTGCAACAATTGTGAAATCCTGTTTTTATCAAACTATAGCCCAAATATCAGTAATATGATAGAAGGTATTTGACAAGAGTATTTTACTCTTAAACAATGCCAAAGACTATAAAATAGAATAATCAACAAAGATCAGACAATACCCTGTCTCAATTTCTGTGGTGTATGTTCATCAGGTCTTTGACAACTTGTGAAAATATGTTTTACAAGAGATTGTTGGTTTGTTTTATGCTCAGGAAATGTGTATGACAGATAGATGTTTTACTTCACTCAGTCAGTGTTAAAATGGATAATTATGGATAATATATACTACTTTGTAAGAGGGAATTCATAGCTTGCCAAGCTATGAATTCTTGGTATCAGTACAATCCATTTATATAAACAAATGTGTAATTATAATAAAGGTAAGAAAGTGGCAGGTCAACAAGAATCCAGAGCAATTAAGATAAACCAGACCAGAGATGCAAAGAGCAACTGTGGTCTTTCAGTAGAAAAATCGTGATATAAGGAAAATTGCCTAATAAATAGCTGTTTTATTCTATATGTTCCTTGTGTCTGATTTCTAGCTAAAAACAAAATTGCCAAAAAAAAAGTAAAATAGTCTATATCTGTCAACTTTGTATTATTCTAATGACCTGAAAATCATGGTTTATTTTATAGTTTGGAACATTTGATATTTTTCAACAACATTCATGAATAGCTTGAATATAATAACTTAATTATACAAGTTTCAAAATATTTGTCAGATCAGTTCTAGAATGGCAATGGGCTAATGCAATATTGTAATTAAATAGCTAATGTAAATAGATTTTTATGATTTAAAGCAAAAGATATGTGGATTTTAGAGATTTCAACTACTTAATTTAAAGATTTTTGTTTTTTATATACTTTTTTGTATTTTGTCAAGAGTTTGAATTGCAGAATATGAGGGATGCTCCATAGATAAATGTATTGGCAATCAGAGGGCAGTTTTTATTTTAACCCACAATTTATAACATTTCAGTAACTTGTTTATAATTGAAAGTATTTGTTTCGTTCTTTCGTTCATTGTACCATCACTTTCTTCCAGATTATTTTACAGTCTTTCAGCTTGTTAATGACTAGCATGCAACTGCATGATTAACAAAGTAATTTTTTTTTTAATCTCAGTTTTCTGATGATCAGTGGTGACTTAATAGTGGAATGCATAGATAAAGCCTTTAAAGGGGGAATTAAATTTGTAAGACATGGTGGTCAAATGTCTGCTTTCTTTGTATTCAATTTATTATTCAAGCAGATTATTTGGAAGTCTGGAATAAATGAATAAGCTATAGATGATTGGAGAAAGTTGTTTGCCTTGAAAATAAAAATGTGTTTGTATAATTTGTTGTTTGTGCCAAATTAGACATCATTGTAGAAAAAGTTCATGTGTATATTTTTATTAATCATAATTACATAAAAGTTTGTTTATATATATTATTTACATTTTTGTTTTCATTTCATCAGTGCCATATATTGAACTGAAGTGTTCATTTTATAATTGTGATAGTAATCTAATTATTTTTTTCATTGAAAGACATGCTTTGATGGCGTAAAGATAGTGTCGTTCATCCTCTTTTATTTGTACTAAATATAAAAATGTATAAAATATAGATTGTTTAAGTGTATCATCTTAGATTGAAGGGGTCTAGTGTAAAAAAGGTTTCTTGTACCCTGTCTATGTCTGTTTTAAAATGAACTTCAATTGTTTGGTTTAATTTGATTTGATCACTAATATAGAGATGTGAAATTGTTATAATTTGACAGTTTGTACTTACACAAATAAATGTGAGAACCAATGAGCATATTCTATTTGTTATTTTATCTCCAGAAAGGAATCAAAGACTAGTATCTGTGATACAAGTTATCTCTTTAAATAAAAACTAGACTTAAAATATTTTACAAAATTTCCTACTTACACCTTAATATTATTTTTAAGGAGACTATAAGGTCAAACATTTTGGATATCCTAAAGTTAATACGGATGGTACTAAGTAACAATGAGTGCTAGAAAATCTTATTATAATGTATTTTTGTACAAAGACATGGGTTCTCATATTTAGGACTCATTGTATCAATTTAAAAATGTTATATGATTCTAAGAGGTATTCAACCCTTTATTTACTTACTTCTTATAATAGAAATCATGATTGTTTTAACTTGTGAAAAGATGAGAACATTAAAGTTGTCACTATATGGACCAGGAGATAAGCTAATTTTTTTCTTCAACTATTTTATCAGTTTAAGGATGAATTATTGAACATTTTAACATAAAACAATCAGTGTGATATTGTATGAACATCTCTATGGAATATATGTACTTGTATGTGCTGCTGACTGTAACAGTTATTGGAACTTGGCACTGTAAAATCTTAAATTGATGTAAGAGGGTATTGAAAATTAATTTGGTTCCAGTGTTTATTTCTTATCTGGTTTGTGAAATACATTTTTATATTATTTGTACATTTTGTACTTTAAATATTGACTGTGGTTGGTCACTTATTTCAGCAGGTATGATAATTATTTCTATCCTATTTTAATTTGATTTCAGTAGGAATAATAATTATTTCTATCCCATTGATTTAATGTTATTTCAGCAGGAATAATAGTTATTTCTATCCCATTAATTTTTATGTTATTTCAGCAGGAATGATAAAAGATTAAAACGTGCCTTTTTAGATATTTGTCCTGTTATTATCCCTAGATCTTGGCATCTACCAGAGGACTTTAGTCCCAGGGTAAATAGCAATCGAGGGATAATAACAGAGCAGATATGGAAAAGACAGATATTTTATTTATTTATCACTTATTTGTGTGTATCAATGATGATATATTTTTTGAAATAAATTTTAAAGACAAAAACAACAACAAAGTTCTGAAATCTTTTAATAACATTGTAACAGGATTTCTATAAATGTAAATAGTTAACACTATTTCCTAATAAATGATCTGGTATGATTATCTGATTCTGTAACAAAACACCCATTTATAAAAGTCTTCCTGCTCCGCCATAATGCAGAATAACATCCTTTACAGATCAGAGACATGACATCATAGACAGATCACAGGCGTGGCGTCATAACTCAATTGGTTTGTTCTTTTGAATACGGCAAAATTACATGTCAATCTATCCTATGGTTTTGCTCCTATCAAAATATTACTGGGCAGATTTTGTTAGTATGACATGTGCAAAACTGCCGAAAGTTTTGATCTAAATATGTGATAATCATGATTTCAATCCTATAGATTTAATGTTATTAAATAGACTTATTTTGTCATGATGTATGACATTTTGAAAGTGTTTTCATTGAAATCTGTGCTGATTGACATTTATTTTTCACAAGGCTTTGGAGCAGTGTGTTGATTTATAGTTTTATAAAAGTGTCATGAAGCTTCATATACTAACAATGTTTTGTTTTATAATATCATTGTACTTGCAGTATTAAATAAATAAATTTATCAGAAAGAGACAGTTTATTTATGTAGATTAGATAACAGGTGTTACACCAAGGAATGCCAATATAGTAGTTGTCTGTCTGCTGCTGATGAGTAGACATAAAATACCTATTACAATACCTTCATAGAATTGCTGATTCAATATTCATAGTGACCTAAAGGGTAAGTAATCTCTAATTGCTTCGTTTGGGCTCAAAACCAAATTAATTTACATTCTAGGCTATTGTACTACATTAGTAAATAGTTGCATACACAGGAAGGGGATTTGCTTCACATATTGGACTAATCAGAAGTCAAAATTAGGGTATCCTTGCTTGATTTCATCCAGTCAAAGTTTGGAAAAAAATTCAATTTTATGTTAACAAAAACATCTTGAGATTTTGATGGATGGGATAGGTGCAGACAAGGCTCTAATCATTGAATATCAGTTATCTCTTGAAATTTGCCTAAAATTCTTCCCTGACAGTAGGATTCTGCAGGTGAAGATCAGATTTGTTTCAGGGCATTAGATTTTTTGCCTTATTTGCAATGAATTTATGAATATAAAAATCTCCATGCCTGACAAACACCCAAATTTACAGGTTTTCTCTTAATTCACATAAGCATGCACATATCTTAGTTACCAGAAACCATTTATTTTATTTGCATATTATCTTGAATGAGTTTGTAGGAAATTTTAATGATAAATCAATGAAATTCTATGGATTTAATGTAAAATAATTGGTTTCTGCCACCTCATTTTAAATGGAAAATAATAAATAAACTAATAGTATTCCTCAATGGTGGTATCCATTTATGAATTCATTCACAATTCTAGTTTCTTTTGTATTTTCCTTATATCAGAACTGATGTAACAAAAACTTAGCCATTTTTGGTCCCTTTTCAGAATAATATCTTGATACCCAATCTGCACTTCAATATGGCCACTATAGACTATGATTCAGTATATCAATGTGACCACTATAGACTTTATAGAAATAAGATGTGGTATGATTGCCAATGAGACAACTCTCCACCAGATACCATATGATATAGAAGTTAGAAACTATAATTGATTGAAAACTGCAATTATTATAAAAGAAGGAGTAGTTCTGTATACATGAATTCAATCATCAGGGATTGTTTGGAGTGACATTTAGTGTATATTTAAAGTAAGTATATTTTGCTGTGCATTTATAACATGTCACTCAAAAAACATCTTAAGACTTTTGCAATGCATTACTAGAGGAGGTTATTCTCTGAGCTAATGTCATCACTATATGCCTATTTTCCATCCCTCATTAGACAAAATACATTTCCAAAATCTCCTCTGAAACCACCAAGTCAATTTGAACCAAACTTTGCAGTAGTATATGGAAGGTCCTTTATAGAAATTCCCAATTTAGTTCAGATTGGATGAAATGGCTGCCTAAGGTAATCTTTGATTCTGATGGGCCAGTTTTAAAAGTATTCTTTGAAACTCCTAGGCAAAATGTTTTGAAACTTAGTGGTATTAATGATTTTAAGTCCTTCTACAAATGATTCTCAGTTAATGTACTTGATCAGCTGACAAACTTGACAACCTTGGTTGAACATAGTTTCCATTAAAAACTGCATGTATGAACATTACAGATTTATTTTCATTTCTAAATCTACTAGGCTAATTGTAACCAACATTTGTAGGAATGATGTATGAAAGGCCCTCTATAAACTTTAAACTAATCATCCTTTGCTTCCAATGGGATAAAAAACAAGACTGTCGAGGCATATCTTTGATTCAGGTTGACCAAATCCAAAAATCTGCTTTGGAACTTTCGTAAATAGGTGATTGAAAGACCCTTTACACACAATTCATATTCAATGTTGATTAGGTGGCAAACTTTGCAACATAGATGGCACATACATTTTAGCTTCCATTGAAACCCTGTGAAAACTACTGGGCTAAGTTTAATCAAATTTGCAAGGAATGATGTATGGAAGGTCTTGTGCTCAATATTCAAACAATTTGACATACATTTTATTTCTACAAATGTAAAAAAAACATCAAAACTTCGGCCATTAGAAATAAAAACTAAGATAAAAAGTAAAATAACAAAAATACCGAACGGAAAGTCCTTTATCAAATGGCAAAATCAAAAGCTCAAACACATCAAACGAATGGAAAACAACTGTCATAATCCTGACTTGTAACAGGCATTTCCTTATGTAGAAAATGGTGGATTAAACCTGGTTTTATAGCTAGCTAAACCTCTCACTTGTATGACGGTCATATAAAATTCCATTATATTGACAACAATGTGTGAGAAAAACAGACATAATAGGTAAACCCGTCTAACAATCACAGAACACCATCTCATAACACTTCTGTACCAATGGTATTTATTGTTCACTTGCAAGGACACCAAGGAACAGAAACAGGATTTTTTCATTTGCTTTCAATTGAATTGAAATATGACCATCAGAGGCAATCTTTGATTCTAATTTGCCAATTTTTCAAAATCTTCTCCACTAAAACTTTACATTTTGAAATTTTGGGGATTGAAGAAAACAAAGTCAACTGTATTTGAATTTGACAGAAATTATCTACTCCTGAGCAATTACATAAAAGGTAAAGTCAAATGATCGGCTCAGACTCGTAGAAGCTTCTAGTTTTGTTTTTTGTTTGTTTGTTAGAAGTATGGCTCAATCAAAGAAGAAAGTACCGCATTATTTACTGCATCAACGAAGACACAAATGGTATGCAATAGGCTTTCATAAGATAGTGTTTGCAATGATATCGATAATCTGAATGTCTCGGACATCTGTTCCTAGCTGTCCCACTTACCTTGTTAGCCTTAAAGCTGCTTCTTAGATCTTCAGTTGGTGTTCAGTCATGACCAGGTGCTTCAGCCCTCTATAAAACCATTTTCGTCCTTTAACTGCTGTGTCCACAGCGCTTAAATCAAGTCACTTTATGTCATTGTCTGGCTACCACTCTTGGTTTTCTTTCTAACAACAAATAGTTGAAGCTAACCTGTTGATCTGTTTTCGTCTGCTCACTCTGGCTACCACTCTTGGTTTTCTTTCTAGCAACATATAGTTGAAGCTAACCCGATGATCTGTTTTCGTCTGCTCACTCTGGCTACCACTCTTGGTTTTCTTTCTAACAACATATAGTTGAAGCTAACCTGATGATCTGTTTTCGTCTGCTCACTCTTGCTACCACTCTTGGTTCTCTTTCTAACCACATATAGTTGAAGCTAACCTGATGATCTATTTTCGTCTGCTCACTCTGGCTACCACTATTGGTTTTCTTTCTAACAACATGTAGTTGAAGTTAACCTGTTGATCTGTTTTCGTCTGCTCACTCTGGCTACCACTCTTTGTTCTCTTTCTAACAACATATAGTTGAAGTTAACCTGTTGATCTGTTTTCGTCTGCTCACTCTGGCTACCACTCTTGGTTCTCTTTCTAACAACATATAGTTGAAGCTATCCTGATGATCTGTTTTCGTCTGCTCACTCTATTTTCCTCAGTCACTTCTTCCAATTCACCATAGACTGTTTTAGCTTTCTATTTGGGCCCTTTTAGTTTTTATGGTATCCAACGTTTTATATTTTCAGATTTGGTCTCAAGCTTTGTTAAAAGACAGTGGATACGGAAGCGGAAGCCAATAGTGCCAGTAAAAAACGATTTTGTTTGCAGATATGCAATTCAAAGAATTGACTATTATTTCAAAAGCAAATTTAATTGAAACATTTTTGATTTTGAAGCTATGTGATTGATTTTGTTATAATAAGGTTATATCAAATTAATATGCAATGAGATTTTTAACTTTTATTATTTTACAACATACAGTTAAAAAATCTGAGATTTTATTCTTATTCATATATGTCATGCACGTAGCATTAGATTGTGACTGATTTTAGAAGTAATTTCAACTGCACGTTTTTATATGATTTCATAGCTACAAATGGTGCTCAATATTTTTATTTTTATTTATTTTTACAAATTCTTATTTTGACTTTGACTGATAAATGTTCTCAAACAATTATATGTAACTCAAATATTGTTACTGTTATCTTATGTAACTGCATGAGTAATAATTTGATTCTTTTATGTTGACAATGCACATTTTCGTAGTGCTAAGAACCAGCAAAATAACAAATTCACTATATTGCCGGCTTTAATTAAGATATTTTAATCAGAGCCGGCAAAATAGCATATTTTCTATTTTGCCGGCGCCGGCAAAATAGCCACTGCTTTGTTGAAAAACTTTTGTTCAAACTAACGTTCTTTCAAACAGACATCCTCAAGATCTTTGATTCAGTTTGATTTACAACATATCTGTTACGCTTAGATAATTTGTTTTTCTACAGACGATCAGCATTCCTATGGAAACTATTTGTAGTAACCTTTTGCTCTGAAGGATATACGATACTGTGAGCAGTTTTTTTTTTACTGGCAATCTCCTTGTATCAGTAGCAGAGTGGCAGTTGATTTTGATCAGAGGGTGTATATTTCCGGTTCCCAAGTTTTCACATGTGAAGACATTTAACCCTTTAAATAGTGGCTGTAGCTGCACTATTGACCTATTCCAATGACTTTATATTGGCTTCTTTATAATTGAGGTCTGTACGGTCTTCTTAACTGGGTTTTTCAAATACCAGCTTGTAGGTCGTGCTTTCGTAGCATATGCTTAATATCAATGAACTAGGTTGAACTTCCGTCGTTTTTAGTAGTGGCGTATTGCAAGTGATTTTTTTACACTGTCTTCAGGCTAGTTGTATATTTTGTTAAATAGGCATAATGCTCGGGTGTGCCATAGGTACTTGGGAATAGAGACTCTATATAACATACCAGTGACCGCTGTGGATAGTAAACTTGGAATTGATAGTAAATAGCAAATACAAAAGAGGGACGAAAGATACCAGAGGGACAGTCAAACTCATAGATCGAAAACAAACTGACAACGCCATGGCCAAAAATAAAAAGACAAACAGACAAATAATAGTACAGATGACACAACATAAAAAACTAGACTAAGCAACACGAACAACACCAAAAACTGGGGGTGACAAGTTATTTCTAGTATATTCATGTTCATTTAATATAAAAAAAAAACGCGAAAATAATTCAAATTGATAGAAAAAAAAAAAAATAACGGATTTTGGAAAAAAGGGGGAGGGCTAAAAAAAAATGTCCTGTCCCCAAGTACCTATGGGATGTGCAGGTAGTATTCCTGTTAGGATGTTAGCTGTCTGCTACACAGGTTGGTAGAGGAAATATCTAATTTAGGAGTTTTTTCTGGAAGTTTTCAAAAAGTGTTATGGAGCTTGCTGTTGGTAGTATTAGCTCTAATCAATGCAGTAGTACTGGAGAGATGTAAATTTTGTGCAAGTGCACCATTGTCTTTACATCAAGACCGTTATGACCATGGAGTTCTCCCCCAAGCAGGCTATAAGCACTTCGTCTTGCTTTTTTCATATTATCTTCTACATTTGTTGTCATCTTGCCTTTGAGTGTTGTTGTTCTGATGATTCCTAGATGTGTGGCTTTCTCAACTGATGGCATATTGTTTGGCCCCATTTTAAAGGTCTGGTTGTTGTGTTCTTGTTTACGCTGTTTCGTAGCCTTCCATATATGCATAATCGTAAGCCAAATTAATGAATATTTGTACTTTATCTTGGTCTTGACTGATTGGTGCGATGTCATCTGTACATGCTGTACTATTAACGCCAATATCTTCCCGTCTATATAGCCAGCTCCAGCTATTGATATCCTCTCACTGAGTAATTCGAAGTTGGGGACTATTTTGATTCACGGCATCCAGTATCGAATTGAACTTTCAATAAAGGATACTACAGATTCAGATCAGTTCATTTTGCTTCATATCTCAAATTACATCCTTCTAGAGATTCCTTTGGATATTTTCAGTTCTACTTTCCATTTCTGTATAGCAAAATTTCAGCAGCGACAGCATATGGAGTGTTTATCTCATAGTTGAAATGATATTCCAGGAGGTTCGTTTCCTTTCATAGTTTCCTTAGGAAGCAGTTGCTGACTTAAAGAACCTATTGAACTAAATGTGCGACTTATCACCGAATTTTTACTTGCCATTGGTTTAGTTTAGTTTAAATATATTTTATTTGCAAAAAAACTCACAAAAAGGATTAGACACAAGTTAGTCCAACTTGGATTGTCTTCTCCTAATTCCTTCTCCTTCTCCTTGCCATTGGTAACACGACATGTGTCACTGGTGGAGCAGGAACTACTTGCCCTTCCGAGCACATCCTCTTAGATCTTCTTACATTCATATTGCTGCCTAGACATCAAGGATTTGTATAGTCTAATATATGCAAATCCTTGTTGACATGTACTCAATATTTCCTCTTTAACATTTGTTTCTCAATTTTTTTTGTGGCAACCTCTTGCCCTCATACATAAAAAAAATTGATAAGAAAATCTCGTCTTAATAAATGGAATTCTATCTGTAAGGAAAAATCTGAAACATCATAATTTTTTACCATTTTATTAATTATTTTAAACGGAATAACATTTAGAATTTTTATATCATATAATGAAGTGCAACCTTGATTTAAATAAATAAATAAATAAATAAATAAATAAATAAATAAATAAATAAATAAATAAATAAATAAATAAATTAATAAATAAATAAAAAAATAAAAAAAATAAAAATAAATAAATAAATAAATAAATAAATAAATAAATAAATAAATAAATAAATAAATAATATTTCTTTACGAATATAATGAGGCTTGTCCGGATAACCATACACATTTTTGATTTTCTGTCACTTCCGGAAAAATCTCAGTAATCTCCCTTCACTTGGACCATTATGTTTTTGATGTGAGCTCACCGAAATTATCTCTTATTCAAAGTTGTTCACGGTTTGTTTAAAGTTTATCATAACAAATGGACAAAAATGACTATGTTTACACCTCATAAACTACTCTAGTACAGACTCACAAGTGCAGTTAGAACTGTTTTATGGTCTGGCATCCACTGCTGGCACTATTTTTTTTATATAGGAAAAAAGATGTTTCGGTGATGGAGCCAGTGCGGGCTTGGTCGATTCGGCCTTGAACGTTTCGATCATGTACCACTTTGGCCATGTAATAAAAGTTGTTTCAGACATACTTTTATTTTTATATTAAAAAGAGATTTTGTTGTATATACTTTCATTTAGTTACCTTTTATAACTCTGAAATGTTGACAAATTTAATACCTACCTATGTTACAATGAGCATAGAACATGGCATTGTAGAATTATTTCGATTCTAATAGGAAAATTTAGAACTTTGTACCTAGAAGCGGACCTATAATACATGTTCGAAAGGAAGCCATTTTCATTTGATGAGGTTAAAACCTTGTAGAAAATCAATCGTTTCATGATCAAAAATGAACAGATCCATGTGAACTTTCTTTAAGAATGATTTTATTAATTTTCCTAGTGAGCAACACCAACATCCATATTGATCTCTGGCGCTCTTGAAAATAACAACTGACGTCAATCACGTGCAGCCCATGGAATTAGAACATGGCTTTGTTTCCAAAGCAAAAAAGGAACGTCATATTAGAATACTCTTTTTGTAATGCTGTTTTATTTAATAAAAAAACAATAGTGTGTACATATATTTACTATAAAAGTCTTCTTTATTTGAAAGTGAATTCAGGTTGTATGCAGATAACAAATACAATTATTTTTCATAATTGCTGTGATAATAAGAACACAATGTTTAACTTTGAAGTTGTAATATGTCACGTTTCAAAAAGAATAATGGTCTTAAAGAGTGCTACAGTCCCAAGCTGAGCACAAGCTTATGCATACATTGTACATTTACTGTTAAAATAAAAAAACCTAAAATCATAGACTGATTCCTTTGATATTCCGCCTTGTACCTATTTCCATGTATCCACTGTGAGGCGTTTGGAACTTGTTGAACTGCATGGCCATGTGAAGATCAACACAGTTACATTTGTAACTTGACTATGAACAAGATATTTGGTCTCTGGTAGAGAGTTGTCTCATTGGCAATCATATCACATCTTCTTTTTTTTAATATAATCTAATACCACATCTTCTTATATCTATAGACAAAAAACATTGATTAAATATATAATCATTGAATTTCAATTTCCCGAAATTAGGTCCACAGATTTCCATAAATTCTTTTTTTCTTTGTTTCTTTTTTTATCTCTGTTTTCTTTTATAAAAGGAAACTAAAAGGCGACAGTCTTGTTTTCAAATGATCAACTTAAATTACAAGTTGATTTGTTTATTATGAGACACACACCTTTGTCAATCACTTAGGCACTAATTTTATACTAGTAAGTTAATCCAATTATCGAATTAAATATATAGACGTATCTGTAGTGGAACCGATTATCTATTGTATTAATTATTATTAAATCCACTACAACATTATTATAATATTTTGAAGCAAAACAAATGCAATCATTATTTTTTTCAAATCAATTTTTATCGATCGTTTGGCATATATATAATAGATATGGGGGTAAATATTTTAATGTGCTCTAATTGTTCAAACTACAGTTCCTGAAGAAAAAAAATATGTAGATTTTATTCTTTACCTGGCTCTCCTGACTGTGACATTTTCCATACATTACATCATACTTATTTTTATAAAGAAATATTTACTTACTCTTAATATTTTATTCAAAACATTGATCTTGATTTTTACCGGCATTTTAGAACATTTATCTTATATTTTTATTCAACACTCTTTGTTTACGTCTTTCAGGGCTTAAATAGCTGATTGTTGAAGAAATTTAATCATTAAGGGTTAAATATAAAACTGCATGCAACATGTATTATTATTTGTATGCCATTGTCCAGAAAATACAGACATATTTTGTGATATAGAATAAACTGAAATCAAACAAGACGAAAACATAATGGAATTGTGAATTAATATACATAATTTTATTATTAAAATTGTTTTCTTGTCCCAAAATTAGTTTTCTTGTCGCTACATTAATCTTCTTGACCCTTCTTGTTGGTAATTAGTGAGACCCCTGAAATACATATACATATAAAAGATAACTCATTTAGCGACAATCAAAAACCAAAAGACCAATAAATCCCTTTTAATGTAAGACTGGTATAATATAACACAAAAAAACAATAGAGTGTCATAGAATGCTGGTAGTAAAATTCACTGAAATCAAGCTATAAGTAATTAACTGAATGAAATGAAATGATTCTAGTCTCCAAGATGTGGTCTTCAAAATCTGGAATTAATTCAACTTTTTAAATATTATCAGATAATTTGCAATGACTACAGCAGCAAGGCCTACCTTTGAACCAGCTAGGGGTGGCAGAGGTAAAAATGAAGGTGACCTTAGTGCACTGTCAAAGCAATACTCCAGCAGGGATTTACCATCACACACTAAACTAAAATACAGGTATGTAAATTTGTAAAAATCAATTAAGGTTTGTATATTTGTAATACTCTTAGAGATAGACGAAGAAGCAAAATTTACGAAAGACCTTACATGTACCAGTTTTATGTAATCAATTCGTCCTAGTTTTCGACCAATACATGTATCTAAGAAATTTCCCCGAACGATTGCAAAGTTGAAGTTGTGCACCTGCTATTATAGAATTGAGGATTTCCCATTTTCCCAGACTTGAGAACTTAAGTCAGTTTTCATCAAAATCTAAAAAATGTGTTACCAATTTTGTGTAATTAACTCCTCCTACAGATTTTGATCCAGATCTTTGAAACTTCAAAGAATGACTGCACATATACTGAAGTTGTGCACCTGATATTATGGAATCCTTATAATAATATTTCTCATTTTTCCAGACATGGAAACTTAGTTATTTTTCAGCAATATTTCAAAAGTTGGTAACAATTTTTGCTTTTAATCCAGATCATTGGAACTGCTGATATTTTGCAAACCTATTGTGCACCTTCTATTATGGAGTGTTTGAAGATTTTCACCAATTTTGCATTTTGTATTTCCATGTATTTGAATCTTCATCATATACCATTCTCAATTGTTTAAGAAACAATCTGTGTGACCCAAACATTTGAGGCTTTAATCCATTTTTCACTGATAAATTAGTTACAAATATACAAGCCTCCTGGAAATGGCCAAATGATAACCAAGAAAACTAAATAATGTTACAGTTGGTTCTTGGACTCTCAGATATGTTACATTTTTTTAATGACAATAAAGAATTATTCATTGAAAAAAGATGTTCTTGACATATTACATGTTATACTATTCCTTAACTTCATTTTATCCTAAGTGTCTCGTAGCTTGCTTGCCATGAGTGCCGGAGGTCCTTGGTTTGATTCACGGCCAAGTCAAACCAAGGACTTAAAAATTGGTATTTGCTCACCTTCATTAAGCACACAGCATTAAGGAGCAAGAGCAAAGACTGTTAGCTTGGAGTCAGAATAATGTCTCCATGTAGGGTGACATGTCTTCCTGAGGACTGTTATCTTGCAAGCACATTGAATATCCTGCTTAACATGTCAGTTTAGTACAAAGCAGTCATTTCACATTAACATGTTCTCGTCCTGATAATTGCCATTGGCTGTTATACATCAATCATCATCAATTTATCCTTGTTTTCAGACAAGAAGGGCAGGGAACCAGTGAAGAATTGAGAAGCCGTGACTTCAGACGTGACATTGACGATAGAGAAAAGAATGTCAGAGAAAAAAGGGACAGAAATAGAGGTTTATTTCTATTAATATTATTGAAGTTTTAAATTTTGTCCCAGACAAATATCAGCTTTTATGGGGTGCATATATAAATGACCTAAATTATTGATTGGTTTCTGATCAACCAGTACAAATCACTTTTGTTCAAAATATTTACCAATGCAAATCCATTCTGTTTATAACATTTACCAATACAAATCACTTTTTTTCAAATTGTACAAAATATCTATCAATACAAAATAATTCTGTACAAAACATCAACCTATAAAAATCAATTCTGTACAAACATTTACTGATAAAAATTATTTCTTTAGAAAACATCTATCAATACAAATCCTTTATGTATAAAATATCTATCAATATACATCACTTCTGTTCAAAACATCTACCAATACAAATCACTTTTGTACAAAACATCTACCAATATAAATCACTTCTGTCATGTCTGTATAAAACATCTACCAATACAAATTATTTCCTTACAAAACATCTACCAATACAAATCCCTTCTGTACAAAACATCTACCAATACAAATCCCTTCTGTACAAAACATCTACCAATATAAATCACTTCTGTACAAAACATCTACCAATACAAATCCCTTCTGTACAAAACATCTACCAATATAAATCACTTCTGTACAAAACATCTACCAATACAAATCCCTTCTGTACAAAACATCTACTAATATAAATCACTTCTGTACAAAACATCTACCAATACAAATCCCTTCTGTACAAAACATCTACCAATATAAATCACTTCTGTACAAAACATCTACCAATACACATCATTTCCTTACAAAACATCTACCAATACAAATCATTTCCTTACAAAACATCTGCTGATACATATCGCTTCTTTACAAAACATTACATCTACCAATACAAATCTCTTCTGTACAAAACATCTACTTATACTAATCACTTCTGTTCAAAACATCTACCAATACAAATAAATCACTTCTGTATAAAAACATCATTTCCTTACAAAACATCTACTGATACAAATCGCTTCTTTACAAAACATCTATTAATACAAATCACTTCTGTTCAAAACATCTACTGATACAAATCACTTTCATACAAAACATCTAGCAATACAAATCATTTCTGTATGAAATATCTGCCAATACAAATCATTTTCTACTAAATAATAGTCATGAACTTGCACGTACGTCCCAAAATGTGTTTCCATTCTCTAACTTAAGTTTGCCTCAACCAAATGTTATGAAACTTATACACAATGCTTATTACCACAAAACACAGATCAAGTTTGAATTTTGGTGGCGTCACTTTTACTGTTCTAGAGTTATGCCCCTTTACAAATGGAAAAATTGCTGAAATTTTGTTTCTGTTCTCTAACTTTAGTTTGCCTCAACCAAATGTTATGAAACTTATACACAATGCTTATCACCACAAAACACAGATCAAGTTTGAATTTTGGTGGCATCACTTTTACCGATCTAGAGTTATACCCCTTTACAAATGGAAAAATTGCTGAAATTTTTGTTTCTGTTCTCTAACTTTAGTTTGCCTCAACCAAATGTAATGAAACTTATACACAATACTTATTACCACAAAACACAGATCAAGTTTGAATTTTGGTGGCATAACTTTTACCGATCTAGAGTTATACCCCTTTACAAATGGAAAAATTGCTGAAATTTTTGTTTCCGTTCTCTAACTTTAGTTTGCCTCAACCAAATGTTATGAAACTTATAAACAATTCTTATTACCACAAAACTCAGATCAAGTACAAATTTGGGTAGCGTCTTTTTTACTGTTCTAGAGTTATGTCCCTTTATAACGTTAAATGCAATGGACACATTCCCCATTTATTTCCTGGTCTACATCCATCTACTTTGCCATGGAACTTTTAGAAAAATTCACCTGAGTGACAGAACTGAATAGATTGTTTTGTCTAAAATTTCTTATAATCAAAACGAAAAATTTACAAAAGCATCTGTAGTTCTCTTTAGACAGTGGAAACAAGTGAAAGAGAAGGTGTCTTCTTTGTTCAAGCCACCCACAGGACCTTGAAAAAAATGAAATTTATTAAGAGGAATTTGTTTTTAAAAGAAACTTTTTACAAATATTGATTCCTTTTTTGGCTCCATCATAATTTTCACTTTACATTTTGTTGTAGAATCTGGCAGCAGCAGCAGCAGTAGTAGTAGCAAGAGACAAAGATTAGAACAGATACCAGCATCTAACCTTGATGCAGATGATCCTATAGATGATGATGTATGTAAAGAGGTTTTAGAAGTTCAAACTAATTGGATAGAAATACATATTATAATGTAGCAATGAATTTTTTAAAACGGAACTTTTATTTTTTCACAATTGTAGGATATATACATATACAAATATGCTCTCAAGGGGGAAGGAGAATGTTAACTTCTGTCAAATTAGACTGAAAATATGCATTCCTGTTTCTCTCATCCATTCAGGTATTTTGTCATGATAGTTTGAAGTCACATGTCTGGGTTGTGCATGACTTTGTGAAATTTTGCCTTTAGTAAAGTATTCATGTGAAACAGAACAGATAATGCCATTGACTATTGTTTAGGAATGTGTATTTGAATACTATGAAATCAGTGGACATAATTTATCTTGTTCAGCAGATCATTGTGATGTAAATACTTGTTTACACCCTGATTCAAACACTTCTTAACTCTAATAGTATGAGTGACAATCAGACAATTGTGTTACTGGCTCTGATGCTAGATTGTTCTCTTCTTGTAAATATGATAATGAATCATCTAGATTCAGTAGACTTTACAGTAAGGCAATGGGATTTTGTTGCAAATTTTGAGACTTATAAATATAAACTTAGTCTTTTTACTTTTACATTTAAACCAACTGTTCATGACCCTAATTGGTAGTCAAGGTTGTCAAACAGTCCCATAGTAGTTATCTGTTATTATAGTTAAAAACTAGTGAAATAAAAATCTTCATTGATTATTGATGTGTAGTGAAATAAAAATCTTCATTTATTATTGATGTGTAGTGAAATAAAAATCTTCATTGATTATTGATGTGTAGTGAAATAAAAATCTTCATTGATTATTGATGTGTAGTGAAATAAAAATCTTCACTGATTATTGATGTGTAGTGAGATAAAAATCTTCACTGATTATTGATGTGATTTATTATTATATATGTATTTTATAAGAAGAAAACACACAGAACATGTGTTTATGTATTTTCCTACCTTTTCCCCAATTACAAGATACTTCCATACATAAAAAAATAATATGAAAAAAAACTAGATGACTATCAAAATGACATTTTTTTGTTAAATGCCTCGAGGTGAAATGTGATAAACAAAATTATCAAAATAAGGAAGCCCAGTTTTTAGCCCACCTGGTCGAAAGTCAACTTGTGATAGGAGTTTTTGTTTAAGTGTAATAGATACAAATGTAGATAGAAACTTTAAAAAGCAAAAAGAAAATATCACAATGGTATTTTGATTTATAAAAGTGTTAAAAATCCAATATTTTAATATAGGATGATGATGATTCGTCAGATGATGAAGATGATGCTGCTGAATTAATGGCTGAATTACAAAAGATTAAAAAAGAAAGAGCAAATGAAAAGGTTCGACTGGACGTGGAGAGAAAAGCTGAGGAAGAAAGAATCAGAACTGAAAATATCTTGAAAGGAAATCCTCTCCTAAATAAGGATAAAGATAAAGGGGGAAACTTTAATGTTAAAAGGAGGTAAGATTCACATACTGAAAATATATATATAGCTACAACGAGTGTACTTCATATAAAAATTGTTCTGTATGCTGACAGCAACATCTGTATACAATGGACTAAAAAACTCAGGGTAAAATTATATAGATATTTACTTTTTATTCAGAATTCACATTTTTTTTCAGGAACTAAAAAATTCGGGTTTTTAAATTAGGAAGCTTCTTGTAAGCATGCTATACTGTGTTGTACATCCATTGCCTGTTTCTGTTTATTGAATACTTATAGCAAGGATATTATTTGTGAACTATAGCTCACAGTTAAACTTCTTTTTAACTAGGTTTTACGAAGGAAAAATCAAGTCTTGTTGGCCTTTTCTCTGTACATTTATAGATTGAAGTATTTCATTGATATGCCCTTAGAATAGTTAAGAAGAGTTGATAATGAAAAAAAGGCACAGAACTTGGCAGGTCAAACAAGCCTGAAAACACTGTACATTATAATACATCAATTTTATTTATACTAGCTATCCTGTTAAGTTCAACAATTGTTACCTTCAAAATACAGAAAAACAAGTCTGCTGTCAATTTAACAGCTCATCTATTGTTACTACATTTAAGCTTTAGATTTATATGAAACTACAAACATTTATAACATATGTATTCTTTTTGTAGGTGGGATGATGATGTCGTGTTCAAGAACTGTGCAAAAGGAGAGGAGAAGAAGTCAGCATTCATAAACGATACACTTAGATCTGAATTTCATAAAAAGTTTATGGAGAAATATATAAAGTAGTCCAAGTTTTTAATTTTATGTTTTACTTTGCAAATGTATACTTGAATATGTGGGAGCCCTTACAGAGAATATTTTAACAAGGCCATCTTTTAAAATATGTTTCCCAAACTGATCCTCCATTTTCACAGTTGGTTGGTAGGAGGGTTTTTTTTTTTAAACAGTTACATATTGAAAGATACATTAATCTAGATACCACCTGCAAATGATATTTTTCCTTATTTACTATTGGAAAATGTTTATTGTCTTCAAAAATTGTCAAAGTTGATTTCTGCATTTGTTTCACATGTCATCACCAGTCATTTAAACTTGTCAAAGTCAATATTTTCAAGTTTGTGAAGCAAGGGAACAACTAAATGTAAAGTCTGAAACGGTGTCAGGAAATTCTGACAATTTTTCAGTGTTTTATAAAAAAGATGACAACAAAATGCTCTTGAAAATGTTTCTGTAACATTGGTTTTTAACAGTAGGTAGGAAGTGGGAAATAAAATTTTTAATATTTTACCAACTTAAATTGGGTAGTTAAAATAGTAAATTAATTTGATTCTTTCTCTCTTTTTTTTTTTCTCAAGCATATCTCGTTAGGAAATCTTCAGCTGTATACCTTTTATTGTTCATAAACATGATAAAGGAAACATTGTCTTATTTGCCTGTTTTAAATTTAAATCACCATATCATTAATGTATCAATAAGTTTCATGTACAAAACTTCATGATGGACATGTATTTCTGTTTGTGATCACTGATGTAAATATACATGTATGTAAATAAAGTTGTTTTTTGTGCATTGTAAATTGTTTTTTGTTTAATTGTTAACAATAAGTAAGACCTAAGATTTTGATAGAATACACTCATTTGCTTTGGATATGATATATTAAAATATTGAAATGTTTTTATTACTATCAGTACGTTATCACCATTTGAGTTGAACTCCTTTGAAAGTTGAAAGAGTTCAAACTTTTTTTTGGTGAGTTAAGCCCTTTTAAACTGATTTTTATACGACAGCAAAAAATTGCGGTCATTTATTGGTATGACGTTGGCGTCGTCATCCAAAGACACACGTGTTTTTGCACAATAACTTTAGTTTAAGTGAATGGATCTCTATGAAATTTTACCATAAGGTTCAATACCACAAAAGGAAGGTTGGGATTGATTTTGGGGGTTATGGTATCAACAGTTAAGGAATTAGGGGCCAAAAACAAGCATTTTTCTAGTTTCCAGACAATAACTTGTGGAACGGTGTATGGATCTCTCTGAAATTATACCACAAGTTTACATACCACAAAGGGATGATTAGGATTTGCTTTGGGGGGTTATGGCTTAAACCGTTTAGGAATTAGGGGAAAAACAAGGGTGTCCTGGTTAATGGACAAATACTTTAGTATAAAACATAATTTAAAGCAGTGTAAGGGAGGTAATTCAATTACATCATTTGAATTACCTCCCTTACACTGCTTTTAAATTATGTATAAAGTAATGGTTAATGAACAATTAAGACAATTTAAAAGCAGTGTAAGGGAGGTAATCCAAATACAACGTTTTAATTATGTTTAAAGAAATGCATATTTGTAAAGGAAGACCAGTAAAAATATCTGCAAATGTTGCATTTTTTTTTTCTACAAAAAAATTCATATGAAAGATTTGACACCATATTTTAAATTTTATTATAAAATAGAGTAAGTTAGCACTATGGTAAATTTAAATGGGTAATTATGGTTGCAAACTCCATTGGAAATTTGAATTGAAATTATGACCATATCTTGAGGGAAAGATTTTTTTGGGGGGAAAAGGGGGGGGGGGGGGGGGTAAAAAGTAATTGTGGGGGGGTCAATTTTTTCTCATTTCAGATTTCAGAAATTAAAAAGAAAAATTCTTCAAATATTATTTTTTTTGCAAAAAAAAAGTGTGTGGGGGGGGGGGGGAGTGAATACGCAAGAGCATAGTGTATTGCACAAAAGCAAAAAATAAAGGGGGGGGTAAATTTTTTATTATTGTGGGGGGAGGGGGTCAAATCGCAACAGCAAAGTGTATTGCACAAAAGCAAAAAATTGAATATAAATTCAAATCATATAACCAATTCTAAGTTCTTTGACTACATTTATTCTGTGTCAGAAACCTTTTATGTGTCAAATATTTAATTACAATCCAAATTCAGACCTGTATCAAGCGCGAATATTGTGTCCATTTTTGCCCCAACTGTTCAGGATTGGACCTCTGCGGTCGTATCCAGCTGCGCTCGGCAAAGCAATTTATTGTGGTTATGTGAGTTAATCAGTTACTATAAACATTAGTTCAACTGGTGTATGGAATGATTGGAAGGTGTACATGTCTGTCTTGCATGTTTCATATTACCTTGACCTTTATTTATGGTTCATTGGTCAATGTTAAGATTTTTTTATTTGATCTGTTCCTCCGGTACTTTAAGCGATAAGACCACTATAGTTGGTGTAAGGAATGATTGTTAGGTGTCTGGCATTGTTTATCTGACCTTGACTTCATTTTTATGGATAATTGATGATGTGAAGTTTATGTGATGCTTGTAGTAAAACCATCATATTCAGACTTTCAATATCAATTCAATCATAAATAAAAGAAGCGAGAAATTTCAGCATGTGCACTCTTGTTTACAATAACTGAGAGAAAAAACTATTCATGAAAATGAGCTTATGACATTGTGAAATCTGTCAGATGTAATATTGATTGTAAACTTATAATTTTACAATGACCTGTGAAACTGACATAATCAGGATAATTTTACAATGACCTGTGAAACTGACATAATCAGAATAATTTTACAATGACCTGTGAAACTGACATAATCGGGATAATTTTACAATGACCTGTGAAACTGACATAATCGGGATAATTTTACAATGACCTGTGAAACTGACATAATCGGGATAATTTCACAATGACCTGTGAAACTGACATAATCGGGATAATTTGACAATGACCTGTGAAACTGACATAATCAGGATAATTTTTTACAATGACCTGTGAAACTGACATAATCAGGATAATTTTACAATGACCTGTGAAACTGACATAATCGGGATAATTTCACAATGACCTGTGAAACTGACATAATCGGGATAATTTTACAATGACCTGTGAAACAGACATAATCAGGATAATTTCACAATGACCTATGAAACAGACATATTTAGGATAATTTCACAATGACCTGTGAAACTGACATAATCAGGATAATTTTACAATGACCTGTGAAACTGACATAATCAGGATAATTTCACAATGACCTATGAAACAGACATATTTAGGATAATTTCACAATGACCTGTGAAACTGACATAATCAGGATAATTTTACAAAGACCTGTGAAACTGACATAATCAGGATAATTTTACAATGACCTGTGAAACTGACATAATCAGGAAAAATTCAAAATGACCTGTAAAACATAAAAATGAGGTTCAGGCCAGATAACTACTGTCAAACAGAGAGGACACCTTACCAAGATTCGTTAAAATGTATAAAGTTGACCTTTTACTTTTTATATATGATGACTTGACTGAATTAGGGAAACTTTAGTTGATTAATGAACCATTGGAAATGAGGTAAAGAAAAAAACATTTTCAGAAAGACATCAGGGCTCACGCTAGCAGGCGACTGGGGTGAAAAAGTCGCTTTCCTGTCCCATGTCACATGTAGTACACCTTAAAATTATTTTATAAAACAATTACTTATTACTGATGGAAATGGGAAATTGACTAGTGACAAAAAAGTTTCAGATTGATGTGTACACCTCAAAATCATTCTATACACCAATATAGTTGTCTGATTACTCACAGTATGTGAAAAACTAACCAACTGTGGAAACTAACTGTTCCTATTGAGCTCTGAAAATGAGATGAAGGTGAGAAGGATATTTTCACTTAAAAAATGGTTATGTAGACCAAAATTTTGTAGTAGTTTTATTGTTGCGCCTGCGACTTTCTCGCAGAAAGCTCGACATAGGGATAGTTATCCGCGGCGGCGGCGTTAACTGACTTCTTAAAAGCTTAATATTTTAGAAGGTAGAAGACCTGGATGCTTCATACTTTGTATATAGATGCCTTATGATATGAAGTTTCCGTCTGTCATATGTCCATAATCCTTGACCTCATTTTCATGGTTCAGTGACTACTTGAAAAAAAGGTTAAGATTTTTTGTAATGTTAATATCTCTCTTACTATGAGTGATGGGATAACTATATTTGGTATGTGCGTACCTTGCAAGGTCATCATGCCTGTCAGACAGTTTTCATTTGACCTCAACCTCATTTCATGGATCAGTGAACAAGGTTAAGTTTTCGTGGTCAAGTCCATATCTCAGATACTATAAGCAATAGGTCTACTATATTTGGTGTATGTAATGATTGTAAGTTGTACATGTCCAACTGGCAGGTGTCATCTGACCTTGACCTCATTTTCATGGTTCAGTGGTTATAGTTTAGTTTTTGTGTTTTGGTCTGTTTTTCTATTACTGTATGCAGTAGGTCAACCATATTTTGTGTATGGGAATATTTTATGATGTACATGTCAGTCTGGCAAGTTTTATTTGACCTTGACCTCATTTTCATGGTTCACTGCTCAATGTAAAGTTTTTGTGTTTTGGTCTGGTTTTCTAATACTGTATACAGTAGGTCAACTATATTTGGTGTATGGAAATATTTTACGAGGTATATGTCAATCTGGCAGTTTTTATTTGACCTTGACCTCATTTTCCTGGTTCATTGCTCAATGTTAAGTTTTTGTGTTTTGGTCTGGTTTTCTAATACTGTATGCAGTAGGGCAACTATATTTGGTGTATGGAAATATTTCATGATGTACATGTCAGTCTGGCAGGTTTTATTTGACCTTGACCTCATTTTCACGGTTCATTGCTCAATGTTAAGTTTTTGTGTTTTGGTCTGTTTTACTTATACTGTATGCAAAAGGTCAACTATATTTGGTGTATGGAAATATTTTATGATGTAGATGTCAGTCTGGCAGGTTTTAATTGACCTTGACCTCATTTTCATGGTTCATTTCTTATGTTTAGTTTTTGTGTTTTGGTCTATTTTTCTTAAAGTTTAAGCAATATGTCAACTATATTTGGTGTATGGAATGATTGTAAGGTGTATATGTCTGTCTGGCAGGTATCATCTGACCTTCACCTCATTTTTATGGTTCATTGGTCAATATTCGGTTTTCCTGTTTAACTTTGTTTCTTCGATACTATAAGCAAAAGGTCAACTATATTTGATGCATGGAATGATTTTAAGGTGTACATGTCGGTCTGGCAGGGATCATCTGACTGTGACTTCATTTTCATGGTTCATTGGTCAATATAGAATTTCCATGGTTTGGTCTCTTTCTTTTATACTATAAGCAGGTGTACATGTATTTGTGGCTTGGTTTATCTAACTTGACCTCATTTTCTTGAATCATAAATGTTAATGTGATACTTGTAGTAAAACTTTATATGTTGGACTAGCAAAATAAAATCAATGGTCAGTATAGTAGGCGAGACATTTCAGCGTGTGCACTCTTGTTACTCAAAGTATTTAAACATACAAATTTAATATTGATCATTAATCTGTGACAAGAGGTCAAACTAAGTTGGCTCCAATCAAAAGTAAATGAGAACTTATTCTTTATTTCAATCTTCATGTCTCCTATAGTTATAAATTGAACTATGACCCTAATTATAAGGTCATTAAAACTACTGTATGCCAGTCAGAAAATTAAAGCCATTTATATACAAAATAAAACAGATTGTCTGGCTCATCTACCTCCTGACATATTAAGATTTTTAGTATACAATACTGTGTTCTTCAGATTAGCATACATATGTCCCATCATTAGAGGGGCCTCAGTGGCCGAGTGGTCTAAGTAGTCGAACTACTGTTTCACTAGCCTGTCAACACTGAGGTTGTGAGTTGAATCCCGCACATGGCAGGTGCACTCGACTCCAATCTTAATTGACTTAAGGATTGTCAGTTTTCCTGCTGAAGGTTGTGGTTCTCTCGGGGCACTCCAGCTTCACCACCAATAAAAACTGACAGCCACAAAATAGCACAATAGTGTTGAAAGTGGCGTAAACCCACAATTAATCAATCCTATCATTAGCAGCATGAAAACTAGAAATGAAGAGATTTGAACGACCTAACAAAAAATAAACCATGTTTGGTTTTGTCAATTATCTTTCAGATGATTATCTATGTGACATTAGCAAAAGATGAAAGAAAATTATCTGGAACAGAACTAGTAGGTTAAATATCTGTTCCTAGGTGTATAACATATCTATATGTGCTAAAAAATCAGCTAAAATCAACAAAAAGATTGTTGTGAGTTGTGGTCTATTTATAGTTGGACAAACAAAAACAAATTGTTTTTTTTTCAAAAACTTTTGAACCATAGAATTAATTATCTGATCCCAGAAACAGATTTACACTGGAAAACTTAATTTTGATCAATGATCCATGAAATGATGACAGAGACAGATTAACCTAGCAAGATGGAGATGTTGCAATCTTTGTATACAAAAAATGTTGTTGACATGTTCCTTATAGTATCTGAGAAATGGACCTGATCACTAAAAATTATGACCAATATTGACCACTTAAACTATGATATAGGTTTTACTACAAGTATCACAAAAGCATAACATTTTCAGTCCATGTAAATGAGGTCAAGGTCAGATGAACCCAATCAGAGACGCACGAGCACCTTACAATCATTCCATACACAAATTATACTAGTGATTACAGTATCTGAGTAAAGGACCAAACCATGAAAACTAGACATTGACTAATGAACCCTGAACATGAGGTCATGGTCAGATGGACATGTTCACCTTACATTATTACATACAGCATTACTTTTAGTATCTTAGAAATTGATGTAATCAAAAAAACTAAACAATGACCAATGAACCATAAAAATGATGTCAATGTCAGATGTGCCTGTCCCAAGTCAGGAGCATATGTAATACAGGGGTTGTCAATTGTCATTTGTTTTTCCTTAATATTGCTTTGTACTGTCAGGCTGTTGATTGTCTCGTTTCAATTGTTTCACATTTTGTGAGTTATGGCCTTTTATAGCTTTCTATGCAGTATGAGTTTTACTCATTGTTGGAGGCCTTACAGTGATCTAGAGGTGCTATCATCTACATCATTTGCTAGATAGTTGTCTCTTATTTGGAATCACACCACATCTCCTTATTTTATAATGTTCACCTAACAATCATTCTATACACCAAATATAGTTGACCTATTGCTTATTTTTTTGTTGAGAAAAGGACCTTAACACAAAACTAAGAGTCAACCAAAGAACAATGAAAATGAGGTCAAGGTCAAATGAACCCTGCCAGACAGACATATACACTTACAATCATTCCATACCCCAATTGAAGATGACCTTTTACTTATAGTATCTGGGATATGGTCTACCAAGAAAAAAATTACCTTGATCACTGATCCATGAAATGAGACCAAGGTCAGGTGAACCCTGTCTGAGTCATTTCAACACTATACTGTGTGATGTGTTTTCACATCCATAGCTCAGCAACTCCCTGTTTTTAGAATAGTTAAAGTAGGGGTATCATTTTTGAGCAGTAGCTCACAGTTCAACTTGTTAAAATATATTTTTCAGGGTAAAGATTACATTTATGCAATCAAAAGTTGAAAACCCTTATGGGAGTGGCTTGAAAGATTTATTTTCCATACCTCACTACTTTTGAGTATTTTCTTCATTTACATTTCAAGCAATTTATCAATGAAATATATACTTACTGTGACTTGACTGTAAGTGTTGGTCTCCACCTATTGCAGTTTATTTAAAATTCTGACCAACTTTCAATTTATTTTATCAAACCAAACTGTTCAACTGGTCAGAAATTTTAACAAACTACTGTAGAAAAGCACAGTCAAGTCATGAAATTTGGTAAGAATTTTGAATAAACTGCAATAGGTGGAGAGCAACAGCAAGTCACAGTAAGTTAATCTATCTATTCTGAAAAAAGCCATGAAAGATAATTTATCAAAACTGGAGTAATCTTCCTTTGTGCATAATTGTAGTTGAATCAACCAAATACCAAGACAGCGAAATGGATAGGATCTAAAGAATGTTCATCTCTCTGCACTATGTTGTTTGTGCCCTCAAAGTTCAAGATGAGACTTGGAAGATACAGATACCAAGCAAGAGATATATTTAATTCAATCTTTTCCCCAAAAATTACAGCTTTCACTACATTCTCACTCCACACTCTGAATTTAGGGATGGTGTCCACTAATGCTGATCATTAGAAATTCACACAGAATTACTGTCCTTGAGTTGAATATGCATGAACTATTTGCCACTGGATGTTAAAAAAAATATCAATCAATCAGAATGCCTTGTTGTGCTGTGTCAAATATAATCTTTCATTAAAAGATAAAAGACAGAACAACAACAAATACATGTAATAAATCATATTTAATTTAATGTCATCTATGTACAATATCATCAATATTTGCATTAATCTTTCTTTGTCCTTTTATGAACCATTTCTTTAAATTGGGAGAGAATCTTTATCTCTCTCTTTGACCTTTCTTCATGATTAAATGTAGCTAAAGCTCTCTTTTCGTCAGCACTGTAAATCTGGTTTTCTTTACGTAAACGAACAGCTTCCATTCTCCGATGTCTGAAAATAAACAATTCAGATGAATAAAGATAACGAGAAATAACATTCTTGTGTTCTTTGATTTTGAATGTCCAGTTAACAGAATTTTACTATTTAAGAAAACAATTTAGACAGAAATAATTTCGTGTACAGGTACTATATAAGCCTTCAAAGACAACACACTTAAGCCTTTAAGAGCCTAATGAGCAAGTCTTACCTCCTACCCCTCCCCCTTTTGCACCCTTGTTACACAATGGAAAATCTTGCTTTAAATATCATGCAACTGGACGTTAAGCAAGCAACATAAGCTAAATGGGAACCTAGAATGTGGCATAGTTGCGACCAAGTATGTGACCTAATCACTAATACAGTAATAAACTTCTTTGAACAAGGATTCCTTGTAGAAGATCTTCAAATCATTACTTTTATGAAGTCTTGTACAATTGGGTTTGTGTGATCCTTCTGATTCAAATTAAAAATTCCCCAATCACAACAAAGAAATGCCTCTAAAGCAGGGCTTCCAAAATGCTCGTATTGTCGGATAAATTATATAAATGACTTGTTGTGCCGAGGCTGAAACGGACATTTTAACATAGTTCAGAAAAAAAAATTGAAGCTTATGCGATCTTTTTGACCTGACCTTTTGCCTTAAACAGCCACACATTTCCGGTCATATAAGTGACATGATGAATAATTACTATCAAAACAAACCCTATTTTAATACCCTCCCATTACAATCAAGGTTAATTAGTTCTGTGACAGCTGAAATTTACCTGTTCAGGCAACAGGTAAACTATTTTGTACGGACATTGATCGGTCTATTAAAAGTTATTTTCTTAAATTTCAGCAGTTTGCATCTAATTAATTTAGTCAACAAGATTAAGATTATCAGTAAATGTATATAAATATGATTTGATGAAAATTAAAAAGGTAGTATAAATGTTTTAAGTGAAAAATTGTCAGAACCACGTTGTTTGAACTAGTACACTCGTGCACATGTGCACAGGTGTGAGATTTAATTATGCATCCGAATATTCAAAAATACTAAAAATATCATTGATACCTTTAACTAACGTTCATTTCGAGTATTTTCCTGAAGAAAATATGCAGAAAGAGCTACTTGAACTCAATCGTGCTTTGTAAACGTACATGGATTTTACGTATCTGTCTCTGGTCCGTGTCAGAGTCTGAAGCCATGTTTTTAACTGATCAACACAAAATGAAATATTCTACCTGCTTTTATTCATCACATATAAAGTTTCGTCAGAAACCTTTAATTTCTTCATAAGTTTACCTCCTTTACATCACAAATAATATTTCCCTTAGGATTCAGAAAAAAAGTGTGTGGCATCATTGCGGCAAATATTGCCACACAATCAGCATGCATTGAGGATTCACTAATGGGTCTCAAAATCATTTAATGTTTTAAGAGCTTTGCCAAGTAGTTTCATAGAAGAAAATGATTGTCTCTGTTTTCCATCAAATTGGAACATAGGACCTTATACATATTCCTGCCAAATATTAAGTCATATTGACTAAGTAGTTTCAGAGAAGATCAAAATGTGAAATTTAATGGATAAATGATTGAAACCAAGATTTTGCAACAGCTAAAACTGTCCTTTTATGGGACAGGTAAATGCTAAACTGTAGAACCATGAAAAATAAGATGTTCTGCAGGGCGCAGATTGATAAGACCCCAGAGGTCGAACCCTGAACAGTTGAGGCAAGTATAGACACAACATTTAAGCTTTATACAGCTCTGAACTTGAAATTGGACATTAACCTGTTATGGTCCAATATCCAAAATCTAAATCTATGGTTAGATTCAGCATATCAAAGAACCCCAAGAATTCAATGTTAGATGAATTCAAACAAAGTTTAATTTTGGACCCTTTTGATCTCAATGTGGACTAATTTGATAATGGGGCCAAAAATCCAAAATCTAAACACACAGTTAGATTTAGCATATCAAAGAACCCCATCTATTAAATTTTTGTTAAAATCAAACAGTTTAATTTTGGACCCCGATTTGGACCAACTTGAAAACTGGGCCCAAAATCAAAAATCTAAATACATGTTTTGATCAGCATATCAAAGAACCCCAAGAATTTTTGTTAATATCAAACTTAAGTAAATTTTGGATCCTTTGGACCTTAATGTGGACCAATTTAAAAACTGGGCCCAAAATCAAAAATCTAAATCAAGGTTAGATTCAGCATATCAAAGAACCCTAAAAATTCAAAATCAAATCAAACAAAGTCTAATTTTGGACCCTTTGGACCAATTTGAAAATGGGGCCAAAAATTAAAAATCTAAATAAATGGTTAGATTGGGTATATCAAAGAACCCCAATAATTTAATTTTTGATGAAATTAAACTTTATATCAAACAAAGTTTAATTTTGGACCCTTTGTTCCTCAATGTGGACTAATTTAAAAACGGGGTCCAAAATCCAAAATATTAATACACGGTTAGATTCAGCATATGAAAGAACTCCAACGATTATAGACTTTGAATTAAACCCCATTGAAATTGGTCAAGAAATAGGCAATTCATACAAAGAATAAGAAAAGTATTGTTTTTGGCCCCTAACTACTAAACTGTTAAGGCCCAAACCCTCAAAATCAATCTCAACCTTCCATTTAAGGTATGGAACTGTATGGTACAATTTCATAGAGATCCATACACTTATACTCAAGTTATTGTCTGGAAACCAAATGTGTGAAACGATGAGGATGACATAGCCATACCATCATATGGCCGCAATTTTTTTGCAGTCGTATAAAAACCAAGCAAATTCCACATCACAGAATATTTTACCTGCTTCCACTCATTACATATCCAGTTTCTTCAAAAATTTTAATTTCATCACTGGTAAGACCTATTTCTCCTCTTCTTGGAATCCTCTTTCCTTCTGCTATGTAGGCAGCCATTGCAGCTCCTTCTCCTGGTAGCAAAGCTTTACCATAACTTAAAAGAAAAGGAATATACATTTAGAATATAGTTTGAAGAACCTGTGTATCTGATAGACTTTTTTTTATTATTGAAATTTCCATATCAGTGATTAATGACTATTTAAACAATGGAACTTCTAAACATGTAATATCCCTAACCAGGATCCTTAACTCCATGACCCTAAGCCTAAATGGTAATAATTGTTCAGTGATTAGTATCCTGAGTTCTATGATTCAATGATTAGCTTTTATATGATAACTTTAGTAACAGTAACTTCTGTTGTTAGGACTCTGCTGTAATCACTGTAACTTTGGTGTAATAAAATGCTCCGCTGGGCGCAGCTTGATACGACCGCAGAGGTCGAACCCTGAACAGTTGGGGCAATTATGGACACAACATTCAAGCTTGATACAGCACTGAATTTGGATTGTAATTAAATATTTGACACAGCATAGGTTTCTGACACAGAATGAATGTGGTCTAAGAACTTAATTTTTTTTTAATTTACCTATTCAAACCATATCATTATTATTTGCTTTTATATATAAATCAGAAATAACCAATTTAAAATGGAAAATTTTAAAGAAAAAAAAGGGAAAAAAAATCCTCCACCAATTTTTTGAACCCCCTTATGATTCATCACCCCCAAACTCAAACCCAGCTTTCCCTTTGTGATATGGAACCTTGCAGTACAATTTCATAAAGATCCATACACTTACACACAAGTTATTGTCCTGAAACTAGAAAAATGCTTGTTTTTTTGCCCTTTTATGGCCCCTTATTATTAAAATTTTGAGGGAATTACCCCCAAAATCAATCCCAGCATTCCCTTTGTGATATGGTACCTTGCAGTACAATGTCAGAGAGATCCATACATTTGAACACAAGTTATTGTCTGGAAACTAGAAAAATGCTTGTTTTTTGCCCCTTTTTGGCCCCCTAATTCCTAAAATTTGGAGGCAATTACCCCCAAAATCAATCCCAGCATTCCCTTTATGATATGGAACCTTGTGATACAATGTCAGAGAGATCCATACACTTACACACAAGTTATTGTCATGAAACTAGAAAAACGCTTGTTTTTTGCCCCTTTTTGGCCCCTAATTCCTAAAATTTGGAGGCAATTACCCCCAAAATCAATCCCAGCATTTCCTTTGTGATATGGAACCTTGTGGTACAATGTCAGAGAGATCCATACACTTACACACAAGTTATGTCTGGAAGTTACAAAAATGCTTATTTTTGGCCCCTTTTTGGCCCCTAATTCCTTAACTGTGGGTACCATAACCCCCAAAATCAATCCCCACCTTCCTTTTGTGGTATTGAACCTTATGGTAAAATTTCATTGAGATCCATTCACTTAAACTAAAGTTAGAGTGCGAAAACTAATGTGTCTTCGGACGACAACGCCGACGACGACGCCAACGTCATACCAATATACGACCACAAAATTTTGTTTGCGGTCGTATAAAAATGAGAGTAACCAAACAACACAACATAATCTAGAGGTTAACATAATCTAGAGGTCAAAATATGTTCTTCAATGATCAAATGTCAATATTATATGTCGCTAAAGAAGATTCATCGTATAGTGTTGGAATGACGGACAAATGTAAACCAGTATATCCTTTCAGAGCTATGGAATAAGTATCTTTTCATTTTATTTCAATAGTGGTCTGATGAATGTTATATTTGTCCGATAAACTTACTCTACTTTAGTTTGTACTCCTCCTTTGTCTGTCTGTGGTTGTGGGCCAACTATTGAATCCTCGTCATTAACATCTGTTGATTCTGTTGACAAAATAGATAAACTTATTTACTGTGTTTCATTTGTTTCACTTTCAATATCATACAAAAAGAATAAATTAGTCACATGACCAACAAGTTGTATATGTTACAATTTACTCCTGAAAATTTTGATCTTAACTTGACATAAGCATGTGACATATTTAGATAAAACAATTACAGATTATAGTGTAAGCAATAATTGCTGTTATTATACCTTACATATATTTCAAACAATTCTATTGGGTAAAACGTTATCACGTGACATGGAATAATTCAGTTAATTTTCATTCAATTGCAAGGAAGAACGAATAACCCTAAAAATTTACACCAGCGTTGAATAACCCTATTATTCACCGGCGAATAACCTTTTTAGTTTGTTGATTTGTACTCATGAAAATGACGTCACAGACGTAAATAAACAAAATGGCAACATTCAAGTTACAGGAAGCCCATTGATCGAGAGAAGAGGAAATAAGGCTTTTGACGTGCATCTTGTGCCGATGATATCTCTAATAACGGTCCTTTTCAGGGCCATCAATATTTTACAAAAAGAATCTACCTTTGTTGTACATACGAGAATTCTAAGACACAAATTACATGTATTTTTGAACGTCAACTTGTGTTTGTTACTGACTCAAGTAAGGGTAAGTGCTTTTACAATGATTCAAAACACCCTTCCACTGTTAGTTCGGTATAATAAAACAATTGTGGCCCCTTAAAAGCGATGAATATCCAAAATTGTCAACCCTTAAAAGTTATTTCACTTCGGGCTGCGCCCTCAGTGAAATAACCTTCTCGTGTTGACAATTTTGGATATTCACCTTTTCAACAGGCCATAATTGTATAATATCAGGAATTCAGGATACTAATATTTAAAGTATCAATGTCTGCTCCTATCAAAGCAAGGAAAAAGTTGTTTTCTACATACATTCATTATTTTCTCTACCCACAAAAATCAATGAATATTACCATTCTACCAAAAAATAATAAAGAGAAATTCATTTGTATAAGAAAAACACACACAATATGCCTTTCGACATTTTTGTATCAATGGGATACAGTCACTGTCTCATTTATTTATATCCCACTTCTCTGTTTGTTCATATATAATCTTAGAAAATATAAGCTTTAAGTCTAGCTACTAATAAAAGAAGATACTTAATGGAAAATCAAAATTCATAAGCTATAGTGAAACTGACAAATTATGGCAAAAAACAAAAAATTGCTCTTAACCCTGATGACTACCGGCTTACTTTTTTCTACCCACATGACCTGCCCATCTTCTTCTTCCTCTCCACTACTCTCTGATTCAGAACTGTCTGTTACATCTTTTCTCTTTTTCTTCTTTTTTCTTTTCTTCTTAGATTTCTTTGACCTTTTGTTGTTCAGCAAAAATAAAAATGGCAATATTATTCTTGGTTTATCTAAAATACAAATCCTAATAATGGTGCATTCTCAACCCTAGAATAATGTGCCCAATTTTGGAATGCAGCTGTATAATACTTTTGGTGACTGTAAAATCTATTTCTCTAATTCTTTGGCAATTTAACCCTTTCTGAAACCATTGTTTAAAATAATTGAATCAATGTGTGGTTGCTGATCACAGTAGATGATTTTTTAAGTTATAAGGCCTTTATCAATCAGCTCAAAGGATGGATCAAATTGCTAACACCTGTTAGAGAATTTGACAACTTTATAAAAACTTGTACTATGGGGAAATGGTTCCACCTGCAGAAATTGTTACAAGTAGTTTACTATTACATATAAATATGTATTTCATTAAATGTTCTTGATTAAAAGGGTTCTTTTTATAATGTTTTTTTCCCCATTTGATCCAGAAATGCATTTTGCACAACAATTTCATAAATTTATGATGTAATCATGAATGTGAAGGCACTCAAAAAGGATTTTAATTTATCAATTATAAAAATTTATTGATAATCATTAGAGAAATAGTTTCTTACATAGTTACTAGTGGATTATCAAATTTATCCAAACATGATAATTCAACTATCTCAATTTGATATATCTGATAATCCACTGGTACCAATGTAAGAATCTATATAATATATAGGACTAGTGTTTTCAAGTAAAGTTATTCCAATTTATAATTACCTAGTAAGTAAATACTTGAGAACAATTGTAAGGGAGGGGTCAAGTTATCTTTAAACATTAAACTGAACAGTGTCAGCACACAATACTTATAATATCAGTACACCATACTTATAATACTACCAAAAATAAAGCTGTGATATGATAGGGATGTGTAATCGCCAATCTGTCAACTTCTTTTTCCATAGTTTTAAAGAAGTGATTTGAAAACAAAAGGGTTTGAATTATGACCATTGTCTTGTGTAAACAAGCTGTCAATCAAATTGAAATAAGAAAGTTGATTATGGCTATTCCAGGGGGAAAATGTATGGGGTTGGACACCATCTTTTTTATACCACACCACCCATATTTTTATAGTCATTTGTACAGTAACAGAATTGTATTTGCTTCAACCCCTACAACCTACAGAAAAAGTGTCCAACCTTCCCATCCTTTTTTCTGCAATAGCCCTTATGGAAAATTAAATAGGCCCGTTTGAAAAGGCCCCAAATGTACATTAAAATAAAACATCAAGTAATTTACAGATTTTCCTAAAATAGAAGGTAAATGTTTGGCATGGATATATTATCACTTGTCTCTAGACTGGATATGTTATCTCTAGACTAGATATGTTATCACTTGTCTCTAGACTAGATATGTTATCACTTGTCTCTAGACTGGATATGTAATCACTTGTCTCTAGACTGGATATGTAATCACTTGTCTCTAGACTGGATATGTTGTCTCTAGACTGGATATGTTATCACTTATCTCTAGACTGGATATGTTATCACTTGTCTCTAGACTGGATATGTTTTCACTTGTCTCTAGACTGGATATGTTATCACATGTCTCTAGACTAGATATGTTATCACTTGTCTCTAGACTAGATATGTTAACACGTGTCTCTAGACTAGATATGTTATCACTTGTCTCTAGACTGGATATGTAATCACTTGTCTCTAGACTGGATATGTTATCACTTGTCTCTAGACTAGATATGTAATCACTTGTCTCTAGACTGGATATGTTATCACTTGTCTCTAGACTAGATATGTTATCACTTGTCTCTAGACTGGATATGTTATCACGTGTCTCTAGACTAGATATGTTATCACTTGTCTCTAGACTGGATATGTTATCACTTGTCTCTAGACTGGGTATGTTATCACTTGTCTCTAGACTGGATATGTTATCACTTGTCTCTAGTGTTATCACTTGTCTCTAGACTGGATATGTTATCACTTGTCTCTAGACTAGATATGTTATCATTTGTCTCTAGACTGGATATGTTATCACTTGTCTCTAGACTGGATATGTAATCACTTGTCTCTAGACTGGATATGTTGTCTCTAGACTGGATATGTTATCACTTGTCTCTAGACTAGATATGTTATCACTTATCTCTAGACTGGATATGTTGTCTCTAGACTGGATATGTTATCACTTGTCTCTAGACTAGATATGTTATCACTTGTCTCTAGACTGGATATGTTATCACTTGTCTCTAGACTAGATATGTTATCACTTGTCTCTAGACTGGATATGTTATCACTTGTCTCTAGACTAGATATGTTATCACTTGTCTCTAGACTAGATATGTTATCACTTGTCTCTAGACTGGATATGTTGTCTCTAGACTGGATATGTTATCACTTGTCTCTAGACTGGATATGTTATCACTTGTCTCTAGACTGGATATGTTATCACTTGTCTCTAGACTGGATATGTTATCACGTGTCTCTAGACTGGATATGTTATCACTTGTCTCTAGATTGATTATTTTCCATGCTTTGCTAAAATTTACTGTAAGTATAATAAGGTATACAGAAAATATTTTAGAACTGACCTACGCCATATTATGTTAATATTATTTAATTACTTACAAAAATAATTTTAGGACTATAAATTAATTAATGAACACTGCTTAAGGGGGCATTAGCTACAATTTAGAAACAAAAAAATAAAATATGATTTTTCTTTTGTCTCAAACTTTTATAAAAGCAGAATATAGAAATGACAAAATAAGCTAAATAATATTGTTGATGTATTGTTGGCCTGCAAGTCAATAATTCAACCTCATTTGAATTTGTATTCATATTACCTTTAATTTGAACCTAAGCTGAAGACGGGTTATGCATTTGCTAAGTGTGTTCAATTATTAAAAAGAAAAAAATGTCAACAGTGAAATGTGAAACAAGAAAGTCTTTTTGTTGACTGATTTGGCCCACAAAAATCTTTCATATACAAGTGAGACAATGATTTACACTTTTTCAATCTATGAAATCAATCAAACAGACCTAGAACAGTTGTCATTATACGATTGCATATGATTGTCTGTCTATTTATATTTATGTTTATACCGGCTGTATGACCAACGGCAGTCTTCTGAAGTCATATTGATGGTTAATTAGATGGTGTCAAATCTAAAATACGAACCAAATGCTGATACATTGTAACGAATCCATGCATGGGTATTGTTTCCTTTGGACTTTTTGTAATTTGGATATATGTTTTAGAATGTTTTTAATCAAACATGAGAATTTAAATCAAATCGGTGATCATGAATTTGACAGCTAATGCCCCTTTAATACATATTTCAATAATTATTATTAAAATAAAACATACCTTGCACTCTTTTTCTTATGTTTTTTGTTTTTACTTTTCTTTTTCTTGGACTTTTTGTGTTTCTTTTTATTATCTCCTAAAAATATAAAGCATTTAAATATGAGATCATGCAGAAAAATATTTTGTTTGCATTTTAATTCTTTATACTGTAGTGAAATCAAATTTTATTATAAAGTTTGATAGGAAGAAAATCTGTTTTCCCTTTCAACATATATATGCAAAAGATCTTTTTACAGTATTCAGAATCAACATGTTAAAAAAAAACAATATGTGCACAATTTGTTCTATAAATTTCAAAGATCTGGGTTGAAGACTGAAGGAGTTGATTACACAAAACAGGTAATACTATACCCTGATAGTATAGATGATTCTTAAAATCTATTGCTTTATTTTGTTGCATTTTTGAAAAAATAATCTAAGCACAATATAATGATTACCTGATGATGATGACTCTGATCCAGATGACAACTCTCCATCTCCCGAAGACTCTGACCTATAAAATATAAAGAAATCATTTATTTACTTTTATTTTTTTTAGACTACGTATCCTAATCAATTATGTTTTTTTGTATATTAAGCAAAGTGCCTCACAATACACTCTAACCAATACTAATCATCACATTGCAACTATAACTTAAATATGCTCACAAATTATAAATGCAGATACTGGAAATTCAGAAATTATTGTGAGCATATATTATTGCGATTTTTGAATAATGGACAAAAATGTGAGTTTAAATTATTGCGATTTTAGGAAAAGCTACACACAGATATATGTACCAGATATCAGAATGCGAGTTCTTATTATTGCGATACTCAAGGAGTCGCATTAATTAAAACCTCACAATAATTTCTGAATTTACAGTACTGTAAATTCAGAAATTATTGTGTGTATTTATTATTGCGATTTTTGAAGAATGGATAAAAAAGGGGAGATTAATTATTGCAATTTGAGGAACTGCTGCACACAGATATCAGAATGCAAGTTTTTATTATTGTGATACTCACCCATTCGCATTATTTGCATTAATAAAAACCTCTCAATAATTTCTGAATTTACAGTCATTAATATTCATTGCTCAACAATACTGCACACAAGAAATATTCATCAGTTTAAATCAAAATTACTTGAGTATCTTAATGGTATATCAGGTTTGAATTCATAACAAAATCACCCAAGAGTGAAAAAACTCAGATTCAGAATTTAGTCTTAAATGATAAGCTTGTTTCAAGAAATTAATGACATCACAGTTTGATATGAACTGTATAAATATATTATTTATTATTTATACATCTAAATATGTGAAAAATCTACAACAGACATTCTCCATAACACTGCAAATATCATATAAACACTAAATAGGTTTTCACATACAAAAATTTGTCATTTCTAATTTACACTTACTCAGAATGTAATGCATGTTCCGGTGAGTTTCCCCAACATTCAGGGGCACCTCCAGCTCCAATCTTCTCTCTTTCATATCGTCTCCTGAAATGGAAACACACTAGTGATAAAAATGTATTGCTTTTTTCAAGTAACAAAGGAATATATGAAACATTACATGATATTACCAATTGTAAACAAAGGCCTTTAGCTTCGTCCACTATTTGAAATTTAAAGAATTACTCAAAATGTTAATAAGTAGAGAACAGAATAAAGAAATCACACAAAAAGACCCAGGAAAGATCTCTGTAAAGTGTAGCATAATTTATACTGCAAATTGTCAACCCTAATAAAACAAACGTTTTAACAGATATTTATCAGTATCAACTTTGGATAAGTATCGTAATTGACAAAGTAATGTCTTGGACACACAGTTACAATATTTTAATTCTATGAGTCATGTTTAAGTGTATTTTATATGCTACTTATGTCACCAAAATCCTGGAAGCTTTAATCAGAAGGAACCTATAGAAAAAATACCATCAAAACTGGATTAGACATGTAAATTGTAAGTACCATGTAAAAGTAACATTTTGAGCCATGTCATATGAAAAAGTCACCAAAATCAGACTTTAAAAGATTTTAGGGTTAACCCTAATAGGTTCCCTTAAAGCTCAAAAACTGTAAGAACTATGAAATATCTGTTTCGACTATGAGTACTTTGACATCATCTCTTCAGATGGGATGGTAGATGGTTGATAAAAGTATGGACGTAATAATTACACCTATTGAATGCTACTCCTGTGAGACCATTTCCCAAAAATCTTTCATACTAGGTAGGATTGATTGTTTTCATGTGTAGGTTGATTGTACTAATTGATAATGTTGTAACATGTAGGGTTATTATGAAAAATGTTGTAACATATATAATAAACTGTTATCACAGAGATATGTCTTGCTTTTTTGTAATTTTGATTATGCAAATGTTGAAATTAAAATGGCAATACTTAACAAGTTAGGCTAATATTCAAAGTCAATGAACCATGACTGAGGTACATGGTTAAACCATCTCCATGTAAATGAGATGCGCCAATGCTAATACAACTGCATACCAAATATCATTGACTTATTATAAGTTGTTCCCTTTAAACAAACCTAAACACAAACACTAACTTGTAAACTAAGCAAAAGTCAATAGGCCATGACTGAGGGGATGGAGCCAAATATTCTCCATTGAAATGAGATGTGCTAATGCTTATACAACTGAATACCAATTAACATTGGCCTACCACTAATGGTTCCCCTTGAACTGACCTAATCACAAACTAATACATGTAAACTAAGCAAAAGTTTCAAAGTCAATAGACCATGACTGAGGGGGCAGGGCCAAATAATCTCCATGGAAATGAGATGTGCCAATGCTAATACAACTGCATACCAAATGTCATTGACTTACCACTAGTGGTTCACCATAAACTAGACCTAATCACAAACTAATACATTGTTGATGCCGCCGACGCCGGAAACAGCATACCTATGTCTCGCTTTTTGACTTCGTCAAGCGAGACAAAAATGAATTTAACTATTACATAAAATTAAAATATCATTGATATAAATTGTACCAACACTGGTTGTGGAGAAATGAAACTGGCTATATAAATTCATAGTTATCTCATATGAATGTAATTTGTTTAAGTTTGCAAATTTTCAAGAAGCACAGAAGTTTAAGTAGTTAAACAAGTATTTATAAGATGTGTTAGGGAAACAATAGCTGCCAATAAACATTGGTAGGTTAACATGTACAATGTACATGTACTGTAAATTCAGAAATTAATGCGTGCATTTTTCATTGCGAATTTTGAAGAAAGGACTAAAATGCGAGATTAATCATTGCGATTTCAGTAAAATCTGCATACAAATATATGTATCAGATGTCAGAATGCGGGTTCTTATTATTGCGATACTCATCCAGTCGCATTATTCGAATTAATAAAACCCTCACAATAATTTCTGAATTTACAGTATAAGAATTAAAACAAAATAGTATCAGGTGACACAAAAACAAGACTTGAATTCATCAATACCTGTCAAAGAAATCAGGAAGTTTATTACTACTGTGTCCATGCTGATTGTAACTTTTGTCTCTGTGATGAAATGATGTACCATTCTCTCTTGAATGTTCATGTGATCCATATTTTGACATGTGATGTTTTGGAGATGGGCTTCTAGCATACTGTCTCAGAGGTGATCTAGACCTGGATTTCTTGCGATTATAATATCGTTCCTCATCCCTTTGAGAGTATTTGCTGCCCCTTTCATGATGGGAATGTCTTCCATGTCTTTTATCATTGTCTGGACTGGATGATCTACTATGAACCATAACTGTACTTGCCTTCAGACCTAAACAGAGCATAAATTTTGTTCACATAAGACTGAGAATTACCGGTATTATAAAAAAAGGTTTGAGAGATATTGTCCTTACAATTAGAGTTATTTGTACAAGACAAGAATTTGGTGTTTCCAAGATTCCTGTTGATACATTTGTACATCTAATTTATAACAAGCATAAATAATAATAAAGTAAAGAGTTTATTTATATAAACAAGCATTCTGTGAGTATTGCATGGCAATACATAGTCCCCTACCGGTTAAAAATTCATTGTATTGGAACTAAATTCTAACTTGATCTATAACTTGTCATGGTGTAAACTATATAACAAATATCAAGTCAATATCTTCAAGCATGACGACAAAAAGTGTTGAAAACTGATAATTTAAGTGAATTTTCTTAGTCCAAGAACCATAACTCTGCACAAAATCATCAGACCAGAACAAAATTCGAACTTGATCTGTAACTTGTCATGATGAAACTGTATACCAATTTCAAGTCAATATCTTCAAGCATGACGAAAAAAGTGTGGAAAACTGATTATTGGAGTGAATTTTCTGTCCAAGGACCATAACTTTCAGTAAAATCATCAAACCACAACAAAATTCAAACTTGAACTGTAACTTGTCTTGATAAAACCATATACCAAATATCAAATCAATATCTTCAAGAATGACAAAAAAAAGTGCTGAAAACTGATTAATTTAGTGAATTTTCGAAGTCAAAGGACCATAACTCTGCACAAAATCATCAGACGGGAACAAAATTCGAACTTGATCTGTAACTTGTCATGATAAAACAATACACCAAATATCAAATCAATATCTTCATGCATGAAGAAAAAAAGTGTAGAAAACTGATTTGCCGGACTGACTGATGGACAGACAGACAGACGGACGGAGTGCAAACCTCAAGTCCCCTTCGACTTCGTCGGTAGGGCACTAATAAGCCATTAACTCAAAAAAGGATTACATTTGTTGCATCTAACATTTGGGTACATGTAAACTCATTCCTTTGCCAACTAGTACTTTTGCCAACTCAAACTTCTACCAACTCATACCCATTTTTGTAGCATTGTTATGTATCATTTAACTAGAGAAATACAAATCTAAAAGAAAATTATGCAATTTATAATTGATCTTGTCTGAGATGTCATATGTACATGTCTCTGATCTACTGATAAAAAAAATTAATGTGTATTGACAAACATGGCATTGTTTAATGCTGCTTAAATCTCTTTGATTGTAAAATATTGAATTCATCACTTTTCTACTGTGTTGGTAAGTGAGGATATAAAGCACATCATCACTTTTAAAATCTGCAGAAAATTTTGAAAAATACCTTTTTTAACTGATATTTTTGTTGGGTGCATGATGAAGCAGACTTTTTTGGTTAGTGTACTGCATCTCTGAGGACTTAACCATTTTTTTGATATCATAGAGCTAAAACAAGAATTAAACAAATCCATTTGTTTATAATAGTGTTGTCTGCTCTATGGTCGGGTTGTTGTCTCTTTGACACATTCCCCATTTCCATTCTCAATTTTATATATATATTAGATACTTAACTGATTCATTCAATTTAGTTAACTGAACTTAAAATGTCAAACTTCAAAGCCATATTTTTTTCTTTTCGGTGAAAATGGTACTTGTTAAAGTATACCTCATATAACAGACTGTGATATTCAAAGTGCCGCTTTTATTCTGAAATTTAAGTTTTTAGTAACCTTCCTGGAATATTATTTCCACTGGAACAAATATTACAGTATTTGTTCCTAACAGAATAAAAGTTATAGAATATATGTTCCAATAGCAACAGAAACTTTGGCATTGTTTATAACAGTTTCCAGGAGAACTTCTGTTAGCCGGAACACTATAATGATCACTAATTAGTATATTTCATTACTACAATTTCAAATCAACATATCAAATTTTCTTTTTTCTTTTTAATTTCATGTGACAGAAAATAACAGCTTTATTGCATTTATTAATAAAAAGTAGGAGTTAATCAAAAAACAGGTACAAGTTGTTTGTGTAGAGAAATCAACATTTTAATCCTATGTTAATGTAGACCTTAACTATTTGGAAATCTGTGACACTTGCACTATTGACGTCATACAACAATCACTTTTGCATTATGGTGTGAGATACTACTTAGAGAAATAGAGCACCAGATGAAACAATACACCTTATCTCTATTTAGTCCAATCGGGTAAAAACGGTCACTAATATGTCCTATGACATATAACTTCTATGTCATTTGGTCTCTGGACATGCTGGATGAGAGTTGTATCATTGGCAATCATATCACATCTTCTTATTTCTATACGTAACGTAGACAACTTCCTGTTTTTGTCAAGTGTCGCAAAAACAAAGGTCATCAATATTGAGCTGAGGGAGGAAAAGTTTAAAAAGTGAAAATTTTGATAAACACAACTTAAAGTCATAAAAATGCTTTGTTCGAAGTGTTGATAATGGTTTATACAGGTCTCTTTGAAAAGTTTCATGCACAATAAATTGTTTAAAGACAGCTTTGAATGGTTTGTTATGTCATGAAAGTTTTGAAAAACACAACTTAAAGTCATAAAAATGCTTTTGTTTGAAGTATCAATAATGGTTTACAAAGGTCTCCTTGAAAAGCTCCATGCACATGCTATGTCATGAAAAAGTCGGTACCTCGAATGACCGAATAACACCGTTATTATCAGAATAACACTTGTAATGACCGAATAACACTTGAAATTTAATATTAGCACATATTGGTGACTTATAAATATTGATTAATAAATAATAGTATATTATTAATGTATTTTATAAATTAAAAATGATTTACAAAAAGTAGGTAAGTTCATAAAGATTATTTTAAATATAGTGTGTACATCCAACATGGCGACCAAGGAAATCACAATGGTCGCCATGTTGGATGTACACACTAAATTTAAAACGATCTTTATGAACTTACCTGCTTTCTGTTAATCATTTTTAAGTTATAAAATACACTTATAATATAATATTATTTAATAATCAGTTAAAAAGTCACCAATATGTGCTAATATTAAAATTTCAAGTGTTATTTGGTCATTACAAGTGTTATTTGGATAATAACGGTGTTATTCGGTCATTCGTGTTACCTTGAAAAAGTTGTGTAATTACAGAACTTATCTGGATTGGAATAAATAGCAATAAAGTATATTAGCACAACGTGACAAGTTGTGTCAATGTTTTGACCTCAGGATGAGGATATTTTCCTGTGTGTTGGAACGTTTGTGATGTCTAGTAATGGCGCACACCAATAGTAATATGGTGTATTGGCCTAGAGCATGACAACAGAAAATCTTCAACAACCACAAAAAAATGCATAGTTAACATTTTCTCAGTATCCCAGCCAACTCGGACACTTTGGAATTCAGCTTCCTACCAAATACAATTAAAGATTGGAACCTTCTAGCTCCGGATATCATCACCATGATGCAATTCGCAAAAGAACCAGCTTAGAAATTATAAGGGGGGTCACAAGTTGTAAGTAAGTTATAAACCTTGACACACGGGTAATGTACATGTAGTTATGTCTAAGGACGTGACATCATATCATATTAAGGGGACAAAGTCCCCTATAACGGTAAAAAAATCAATTAAAAAAAAAAAAAAAAAAAAAAAAAAATCGGGAAAATTTCCCGAAATTTTCATTCTACTAATGAACTCAAAATCGTTAACTTTTTAATTTTCAGACTTTTTTATTTTCCCGCATTTGCGCAGAAATCTACTTCCTTTTTCCGGTCTTGTTTGCATGAGTCTTTGAGTAAAATATATATTTATCAGTCTAGTAAAATATAGGAAGGAACGCAATACCAATTCCATTTTTAATAATTCCTTGAATGGCTTGATATGAAAAAACGTTACCTGATAGCGTTTCTTTGTTTACATTGAATATGACGTCATAACATAAATAACGTCACAACTAAAATTCCGAACAACAGAACCGAAATCGGAAACGTAAGGGTATTTCCGTTTCTTTTTTGAACAGATTTTGAAGTTAAAATATGTTTGAATTAAAAAAAAATAATTCATAGACTTCGTCCCCTTTCACAGGTAACGCCTGCCTCATATTATCAAGATCAAGATGAAATTATTCCTTACAATCTTAAAACATCATATCATCTTGGTAGCCTATGGCTTTGAAAGCAGCCAATAAACCGTAAGTCTGCCAAAGAAAGCATAGAAATAAGTATTAAACCTGTATTTGAATGATTATATCTAGAGAGGAAATAAAGTATTTTAATTTTAGACCTGAAAATCACGATGTTCCCAACAAGTGATTTATTGAACTGCTTATTGTTTACATTTTCTTCCAAAACGTCTGTGCGACGTAGACGATTAGCGTCGAAAAAAGGTTTGGATATGAAATTTCAGTTTGAAATAAATTTGATTCCTTTTTTATCAGAATTATACCATCTTGAATTATATTTTATTCGGTTCATCTTCGGGAAAATAAATAAAAAATCGTTTTAATAAAACCCGTATAAACGAGACTTGTCGTTTCCTTAGAGATGTTTCAAAATGGCGTCTGCCCCTTGGGTTAAATATGATGATGGGACATCCGATGGGTTTTCAGCCAATTGTTTTCCTGTTCGAAGTCTTGTCAGACACCCAGAAGATGGTAAACAAAAATTATTCATTTTATGAATGCAATTTATATTATTACGACGAGTTATGTCCACAAAGAATAGACTTAAATAGGTCATATTAGACCTATCAGATCCTTTCAGTCTTTTACTATATACACCAATCTTGAGTTGTTTTAAATGAATAGTGTGACACCGGTTGGCGTAAACGACGTCATCAAACAATAGCTTCTTACAGTGTAGTAATAACATAATAAGCATTAATGTGACATAGGAAATTTACGGGAAAGTGCATGAATTTGAAAGTAGTCTGTAGAGAATTCTAGTCACTTCGGCACCTGGTTAAATCGGCACCCTATATAGTCAATTCCGCACCTAGTCATATTGGGACCTGGTTAATTTGGCACCCAAGGTAGTTTTTCAGCACCCAAAATTTAGTATTATGTTTTGCAAGGAAATTATTGAAGACTGTTTTTTTCCACATTTTTTTTTAATATTTTATCTCAAGGTTTCAACGTATATTTGTTCCGCATAACAGAAAGTCCAATGGAAACTTTGTTATAAACAATGCCATAATATCTGTTCTTATCTGAACTTATATTATAAAGGAATTTCTATTTCATGACAACTGCACATTGCTAGTAAACATAAAACATTGGTGCCAATGTTATTCATTTTATACAAGAAGATAGGAAATGCAGGAAAAACACAATTTAAATTACAAATGTAATAGCTGACTTTTGGGCTTTAAATAAGACTCAAGTCGCTTGCTAGGGTTCAGGATATTTATTTATCAGTAACGTAAAACACCCAACTTGTGGAGCAAGGTAGTTACTGTTATGGCACAAACCATTTCAAGCGTTCATACTGGTAAATCATACAGTGAATTTCTATACAACAGCTTACAAATTGTTAAAATGTCAAGTCTGTCATTTAATACAATTCTGACTGTTCAATATCAATTCTCAAACTATTTCAATGGCTACTGGACATAAACGTCTGTCCATTTCGAATCCATTAGTCCTTCTAACTCAAACAAAGAAACTCACTACTTAGCGCTAAAACTTCAAACCAACCAATCAGATTACTTGAAATCCAAATAATCATGAATATTCAACAATACGTCAATAATGTATGGAAACGTTTCAATGTAATTAAAGTTTAGAAAAGACAATATGTTTTGTAGTTTTATTTAACATTTACATAATTATACATCTTTATTTTACAATTAAATCTACACAAAATAAAGAGGCTATCACATTCTCCCCTGTGTTGGAAAAATGATTTCCACGTCATTCAACTCCTCCTCCCTCTGACGAAGAAATGACGTCATCGGCATGCAAAACTGGTATTTCACTATGATGTTTCTTTCACAATCTCAATGATGGTACGTGTGATGTCATTCTCCATTCCTCTAAACATTCCTTCTTTCAGTTGTCTTTTTAACCATTCTACTTTCTGTAGCCAAGATGTATGCCCAATAGCTTGTTTGGTGATATAGTCTTTCAAATATGCAGGTGGTTTTCTAATTCTTGTTCTTGATGGTAATTCTTTTGGTGGTGTAGGTAATATTCTGCGTCGTCTGAGCCTTGCTGGTTGTTGCGGTGTGTTATCTGGAGCCGTTGTGTTATCTTCTGTATCTGCCTCGGTATCACCTGATGTGTCTGGGAGCGTACTGCCATCCTGCTCATCCTGTTTGTCAGAAGTATCCCCTCTGTCAATCTGGTCAGTCGCTTCTTGACCTGTTGTCACATCAGCCCCCAGAGGTGGTTCACCAGTGTTTAACTGTACTGGAGGGATAACGTCTTGTCCAAAACCATTCTCTTGACTACCATTAACTAGAGTCTGATCGTCACCAGCCAAGTTGACGGTCTCTTGCTGCCCATCTACCACAGGTACAGCATCACTGTTGGTGTTGCTCTGTGCGTCTTCCTCTGGCATATAAATAATATAGCCCTGCTCTGACTCCTCATCCGATTCTGTATCAGTTTCCTCTTTGGTACTGTCGGAGTTCGTCTTCTTTTCCTCAAGGACTGTCTTTGTAGGTTGTTTCCTTGGTGCAGGGTTTCTTTTAGGCTTTGTAGCCTTTTCCAAACCGGGCAGATGTCCAATTGGTAGAAGGAGGTTTCTGTGAAGTGTTCTTTTGCGTCCTTCTCCATTTTCCTTCTGGACCACGTAAACAGGTATGTCCATGTTAGGCTGTCTAACAATTCTGTACGTGTCCTCTTCCCATTTAACTGCTATCTTATGCTTCCCATCAAAGGCGACTACTTTAACAAGTACACGATCTTCAGGTTGCAAAATGGCTCCACGGGCTCTCTTATCATATCCCTCTTTCTGTCGACCTTGTGCTGTCTTTGCTGAACGAGATGCAAGTTCGTATGCTTTCTTCAGACGCTCCTTCATGGCTTCAGCATACTTTGTAGATGGTTCCTTAGTACCAGTATCCTCAATTCCAAATGCTATGTCCACAGGCAAACGTGGGTGTCTACCGAACATCAAGAAGTACGGCGAAAATCCAGTCGTTGTCTGTTTGGTACAGTTGTACGCATGTACGAGTCCAGCTACGTGGGACTTCCAGTCTTTCTTCTGCGTAGTCTGTAAAGTTCCAAGCATGTTCAATAAAGTACGATTGAATCTCTCCGTAAGTCCGTTACCCATAGGATGGTAAGGTGTTGTTCGGGACTTTTCCATTCCAGTAATGTTGCAGAGTTCTTTGATGATCTTGCTCTCAAAGTTCGCTCCTTGATCAGAATGAATACGTCTAGGCAATCCATAATGTACAATGAAGTTGTTGAAAAACGCCTCTGCTGTGGTTCGTGCGGTCTGGTTCTTTGTAGGAACTGCTAAAGCATATCTAGTGAAGTGGTCTGTTATTACCAAAATGTTGTCATATCCACCTTTCGATCTTTCAAGGGTTAAGTAATCCATGCAAACCAGTTCTAAAGGTTGTGTTGTTGCTATGCTGATAAGTGGAGCTCTATCATGTGGAAGCTGTTTTCGACGAATGCATCTTTCACAGTTGGTAATCCAGTTCTCAATGTCTCTGTTCATACCATACCAGATGAAGCGGTCACGTACCAATGATAAGGTCTTGTCTCTTCCCTGGTGGCCCATATCATCATGTAAAGATGTGAGGACTGTGGATATGCAGTTTTCTGGGAGAACTAGTTGTCTTGAAGTTTCACCATCAGATTCTATCTCTCTGTACAGCACTCCGTCTATAATCTTCAGCTTCTCATAGTTGTTAAGAAACCAGTTGTTGAGTGGTGAATAACTCAGCTGTTGTTTATCTGGTTTACGATGCTCACTTATCCAGTATATCCAGTCTTTGATGAATCTGTCTCTGCGTTGTTCGGCTTTAACATCAACTAACTTCTGAGATGGTAATGAAGGATCCACAGATGCATCTGAATTAATTGATAAGCTCTGGTAGTGAGGTTGAGCATGTTGCAGGTTACAGATGGCCTTCACCGACTCTGGTTGAATGTTCTCGGTACATCTAGGTAATCCTGGAAGTCTAGATAATCCATCGGCATCTGCATTAGCCTTTCCTGGTCTGTATACAATGTTGAAATTGTAAGATGACAGAGCTGCGATCCATCTGTGTCCGGTAGCATCAAGTTTAGCTGACGTCAAGACATAGGTGAGTGGATTGTTGTCAGTAACAACAGTGAAGGTGTTGCCAAATAAGTAGTCGTGGAACTTTTCTTTCACTGCCCACTTTAACGCTAAGAACTCCAATTTGTGGACAGGGTAATTCTTCTCAGATTTACTCAAGCCTCGGCTGGCATAGGCGATGACTGTCTTCTTTTCGTTCTGTTCCTGGTATAAAACAGCACCTAATCCAAGCATCGATGCATCTGTGTGAAGTTCAAATGGCTTGGAGTACGATGGAAATCCAAGTATCGGATGGCATGTGAGCTTCGACTTCAGTTGTTGAAATGCATCTTCTTGTGATTTTCCCCATAACCATGATGTATTAGCTGGTTGTAGTTTCGTCTTGCGCTTTCTAGTCTTCTTAGGTGGTGGCATAAGGTCAGTAAGTGGTCTGGCAATCTTCGAAAAGTCTTTGATAAACTTCCGGTAGTATCCAATGAAACCCAGGAACTGTCTTACCTCATCTGCAGATGTTGGACGTGGCCAGTTGACAACTTTCTCTATCTTCGCTGGGTCGGGTTGTATTCCATCTCTAGACACTATATGACCAACTGGTACCTTACCTTTCGATGTTTATTATTGAGAGAGAAGGAATTGCAGAAGAGGTCAATTCCATACATTATTGACGTATTGTTGAATATTCATGATTATTTGGATTTCAAGTAATCTGATTGGTTGGTTTGAAGTTTTAGCGCTAAGTAGTGAGTTTCTTTGTTTGAGTTAGAAGGACTAATGGATTCGAAATTGACAGACGTTTATGTCCAGTAGCCATTGAAATAGTTTGAGAATTGATATTGAACAGTCAGAATTGTATTAAATGACAGACTTGACATTTTAACAATTTGTAAGCTGTTGTATAGAAATTCACTGTATGATTTACCAGTATGAACGCTTGAAATGGTTTGTGCCATAACAGTAACTACCTTGCTCCACAAGTTGGGTGTTTTACGTTACTGATAAATAAATATCCTGAACCCTAGCAAGCGACTTGAGTCTTATTTAAAGCCCAAAAGTCAGCTATTACATTTGGCGCCCACGTAGGGACATAAACGTCTGTCCATTTCGAATCCATTAGTCCTTCTAACTCAAACAAAGAAACTCACTACTTAGCGCTAAAACTTCAAACCAACCAATCAGATTACTTGAAATCCAAATAATCATGAATATTCAACAATACGTCAATAATGTATGGAAACGTTTCAATGTAATTAAAGTTTAGAAAAGACAATATGTTTTGTAGTTTTATTTAACATTTTCATAATTATACATCTTTATTTTACAATTAAATCTACACAAAATAAAGAGGCTATCACACAATGATAAACAACAGCTTGTGTAGTAGCTTCTTTGTTTAATTTCGTTTGTTTTTAAATTAGAAAACAACATAAACTACATGAAAATTGTTAAAACAGGTTATTGTTTGTAATTGATATAAGTTCATAAGAGATAACCAATCAAAACATTATTGATAGAATATTGGAAAGAGAAAAGTAAAAATAAATTTGGGTGCTGAATTGATAAACCAAATGCCGAAATGACTTTATATAGGTGCCGATTTGACCAGATGCCGATTTGACCAGGTGCCGATTTGACTTTTACCCTCTTTAGATCTACTAAATAACCTGAATATATACATAGTAATTTCAATTTTATGAACATACTGTCCTGGTTGACCTGGGGTTATTCTGGGAAAACGTGTCACAGGACATTGTATTAAAGCCAGTATTGCTTTCCACAAAGTACTCATACAGATACAGATAAATTGTGACATGAAGATATTTGCCTTGTCAAATTTTTCCATGAAAAAGCGCTATTTGGAAGATCATGCATCCAATTTTAAAACTCCATTGAATTATGTACAGTGGAATGCCCTGTGTCTGCAAGGATGATGCTATTGCGCCATTACCTGATTTCAACATATCCACAATTGAACATAAACATGATAAAGAGAATCATCCTTATTTGATGATTTTGATCTTCCGAAGGGACAGAAAAGGTTAAAATTGTCAAGTTCAAGAATAAGTTGATTATTGCAATCCCATGTTTAACAATATTTAACCATTTTGAATTAAATTCATGACATGCATGACATCTTCAGATAAAATTTAAGGCAAATTTTATCAAAATATAATATTTTTTGCTTACAGTATTTTGTTTGTTGTATAAAATCCAGGGTTCACACTAGCAGGCGACTGGGGCGACAAAGTCGCTTTCCCATCCGTCACTTCGCTTTGCCCGACCGTCAAAAGCGAAATCTAGTCGCCCTGTTGTTCACGATACTTGCTTTCAGTCGCTTTCGTCATCGGCAATAGTCAACATTTACCAAGTCGATGAAACAGCAATTTTTCATTTGAAAGTAAAGAAATTCAAAGACATAAACAATTTATTTTCTTTAGAAAAGAGGTTAAAGCATTGATTTTAAAGTTGGTTGCATGTTATTTTCATAAAGACAATTTTTTTATCACTTCCGGTACTTGTTACTCGAGAGCGTACATCAAATCATTCTAACTTTCGGCAAAATAAGCTTGTTACTTCATTAGAACGTGATGAAATTTGCCTGAAGTAAATTTGTTATCCTTATATTGCATTAAAAACGTCATATTCCCTTCCAAATAGCGTGTCAAACATCGTTTATTTTTGTAAATTTTCTTCGTCCGCCATTTAAATCTTTCCATTATTAAAAGATAACTATATTTAGAGGGCATGCGCAAAATCACTGGACATATGAAGAACTATAAAAACCGGGGTTTCCCTAATTTGGGAAACACATTAGACAAAATCTATAGGTTGTACTTCTGTAAATATGGACAATGCAATTTCCCATAGATTTTGTTTCAAAGCCATAGGCTACCAAGATGATCTGATGTTTTAAGATTGTAAGGAATAATTTCATCTTGATCTTGATAATATGATATGATGTCACGTCCTTAGACATTACTACATGTACATCACCCGTGTGTCAAGGTTTATAACTTACTTACAACTTGTGACCCCCCTTATAATTTCTGTGAACAACAGAGCTGGTTCTGGTTTAAACTTATTCAAAGACTAAAATTCTGTACTATCCCTCCCTTTACTTTGAGTCTTCCTGAGAATTCAATTTGTCCTCTTTGCAACATTATTTATACTGGTAAAATCGCAAAGTTATATATGTCTCTATGAGATGAAACATGGAGATCATATCTTGAAACCAGTAGGTAAACAAAACAAAATATCTATGAATATTAAATATCTCACAAAAAGAGGTGTGGTTTGTGAATCAGATGTATTTACAAAGTGCAACCTACAGGGTGAAAATATACCCAAAGAAGAATTCATGAAATTTTAGTATGTCATGAATTTGTTAATAATATATTATCTGATTATTGGTTTAATAGTTATACCAAATATTACCCGATTATGGTTTTATAAGCTTACCAAGTGTAGCCAAAAGTCTTAGGTGCACAAATATCCAGGACTGCTCCATAGATCTAGCTACATATTTTGAATAACGAGTGAGAGTATGCTTAGCACGCAATGACATGGTTAAAATAGAAGAAGCATATAAATATGTCAAACATTCTGAATACATAAACCAATTGTTCAATTATCTAAATTGCTAACATATAAAATTGGCGTTTCCAAAATTTGCAAAATATTGAGAAATGAACAGTTTCTTTTTTCTGCTAGTTTATATATATATATATGAAACTGAACATGCATTGAAGATATATCATGCGATGATGCCTATAAATCTTGTCATTGTTAAAGCTTCATTGAGTGGAATAAAACAAATTCTAATGATACTAAGTACCAGTAGTCATATCAATGAGGCTTGATTTGATTGTTCATTCTAGATCTCCTTCTGAATAAAACCACCTCATGTAAAGGGCCCAACACTATATATGTTATAATATTATTTTATAGTCAGTGGTGCATGGCTGTTTGAACAAAAAGCAGAACAAAGAAGAAGATTTAAGGCTGTGCTATGTACAAAGCCAAAAACATATGCACAGATAAAAGAAGAAAGAAAACGATCAGACCGTGAAGGGACGTCTTTTAATCCTGCTGAAATTCCAAACTTGGATGAAGATGAAGAAGAACAGCAGGAGGCACCAGCATTAGATGGTTTCTTCTTGGTATACATTTCAAATTTAATTATCACTATATATTCATATCATGACAGAATCAAATTAAAATTCTTATTGTTTTGGTAACCTGTTCAATGAATTGAATGTTAGCAATTATAGGCAACTGTATGGACTTCTGTATGAGAATGAGAAAACTCATATTGTATAGTCGGCTATAAAAGGCCCTGAGTGGCATGAAAAATGCGAAACAATTCAAACTCGAAAAACGGCCTAATTTATAACAAAACAATTTACGAAAAACAAATATTACAGACATGAATCAATGACAACCACTGAACTACAGGCTCCTGACTTGGGACAGGCATATAAAGAATATGGTTGGGTTAAACATGTTTGTGATATGTACATAATGACTTGTTGTAAGGTAAAGTTTCTGACACTTAAAAATTGATGTTTTTTTTTTATACTATAAGATTAATATCCCAAAAACTCATGTTTTTGTTGATGGAGGTGTACCAGTATATATTGTATACATGTATATTCTCTTCTTTCATATAATACCATTGTTTGAACCACAAGAGACAAATAGCCAAATTATTAATAGATACATTGTAAAACTATTTTTATAAAAAATCAGTTAGTACCTGCTTTATATGTTTATATGCTAATAAATAATTCAATTTCTTGTAGATGAGACATTGCTGTGTAGAAGACCCTTCAGATTTATGTTCAGTCAACATAGCTGGAAAAGAATTGTCAGAATTTAAAGAAGAAGATTTTGCACTTTTTGATAATGTTGCATATGTGAATGCTTCTGAAAATTATCTCCCTTTTGGTAATTATTTACTATTAAGACTGTAACAATTTAGATGTAAATTACTTTCGTCATTATTTGTTCTTAATTTTTAAAATGATATACTATTGTTCAATTGTGTGTATGTCGTAGCCCATCCTTCAATATCTCAATGTTGACAAAATTATTACAGGACGTTTGATTCCATTGAATACTTCTTGATAATATGATGATTTTTAGGAACAGATTTTTATAGTAATAGGACTTCAATTGTTGAAAATTCAACCATTTGGAACAAAATTTTTACACAATATTTGGGTCCATAAGATCAAATTTCTTCTGATTTTGACAACAATCAGATTTCTTGTGTTAGAATTATGGAACTTTAATCAACATTGAACATTTGACAATTAGGGGCATCCCTCTTGATAACTCAAAGTTTTCTGTCACTTATCTTTATGAAATTTTCAACAAATCTTCAGGTTGATAAAAATAGATGACATATGTTTATTTTCTCTTTCAAGATTATTCAAATATTATGTTTTTACAATTACACAAATCATTAAAGTTTTCTTTTGTAAACTTACACAGGAACTCAATGCTTCTAAGAGTTCTTAAATTTTAATGATAATTTGTCAGTATTGTCATTCTGTTATTAGTACTCAAATTTGACTGTATACTTTCAGAGGCTTTTAGAGGTTTTCCAATAATCAGAGAACTGGAGATTCCACTGAATGGCCTCAGGAGTATAAGATTATCTCCAGGGGATTACCCTACCTTAGAGGTAAAAACTCTTTTCCGTGTAAACTAAATAGCCTCAGGAATATAAGATCATCTCCAGGGGATTAGCCTAGTTTAGAGGGACATACCCAATGTACACATAATATCAGTTTTAAGAAGACTAATAAAAAAATGAAGTATCTGTAGAAACCTTTAAAACATGTCTTCATCTGGAGGGTCACCATGAGCCATATGATAGGGAAACAGTCTTTGAGATTACTATGATTTTGTCGTCTGACAGCATTCAGCTGGTGCGACACAATGTTCTGTTGTCTTGCAGTGTCGTCTATTTCACACTTTGTTAATCCCCAACTCCTTAAAAATATCTTGACAATGTTCAGCTGAACTTGAACAGATTCTTCCATAGGACATGAAGTCGTGCACAATTAGGGGCTTTTTCACAACAATTGATTGTAAGTTAGACTGAAATGATCATGACTAAAGAGTATTTTTCTTTTAAGATCTTTTGTGAAATTGATTACTGCTATTTAATTATTTATCTGTGTGATTTTTGGGGTTTCCCAAACCAAAACATAGACTCTTCCAGGTTTGCTTATATTATTTTGAAATGACACACATCTTCTTTGGAAGACACTACCATTTTCTATTAAAGTGTGGCTAATGAACCAGCACATCTGTATGAAATAAAAGTGGGGAATTATTTGTTTCCATTTTTCTGATTACAGATTACTAATAACCTACTTCTGTTATTATGTGATGGATTGTATTAGATCAAATTCATTCAATGATTTGTTGGTTATACTTGTCAATAATTTACATAGGGATCTGTTTATTATTACCATCAAAACAATTCTACAACATGAAAATGTACACTGAGTCACCTGCTTATCACTTAACATATATGGATGATAAAAGGAAATCTTTAAATAATTTGTTGTGTATTTTCATAAACGAAAAACCTTTTGAAATTGAATGGCTTCATGATTTCATGCTAGAAAATATAAGTTAAAATAATTTGAAGAAAATTTACACGAAAATCTTAAACACCAAAAATGAAAGAAAAACAATAAGAAAAGGGGTGATCAATGCTCTAAGAACATGTGACAAAAAAAGTTCAAGAAGTAGACACATAAAACTTTTACTTTCCCCCAAAAAGAAAGTACAAAATTGGCAGTCCCCTCAAACACCAAAAGGAGGAAACTTTATAAAAAACATAAAAACACAAGGACACCCATTTTTTTTTTAATTATTTACTGAGCACAAAGATGTAAGTGTACCATTTACTTTAAACACAAATGAGTCAATATATAAAAGGAGATGTTGTGTATATGTCAAGAGACAGGAAACCAAAGACAAAAACGAGAAAAAAACAGCTTGGAGATCAACATAAAGTCTAAAAAGCTGTTAATGAGTTAAGCAGAGACAAAGATCTGCCATCAACACTCAATTCTAAAAAAACAATACAACAATAAAACATTAAGATATGACATAAGGAAACCACTGACAGGGTTCTGACTTGGGACAAGCATGTGAACTAGTTTTTTTTATGAGACTTCAACCCTCCTCCATATTTTATCTTGATCGACTGGCAAAATGTACCCTGATACATAAAAGTAAAAAAATTTTTTTTTTTACATTGATAGTGCAGTAAGTATTGTAGACTATATATTCTGTATTGATTTTTGCTATTTTTGTTACAGATAGTAGATATCTCTTATAACAACCTTTCCCATGAAGATATACTGTCACTGGGTACATTACCTAACCTTAAAGTTTTACATCTGACTGGTAATAATTTCCGATCCTTACCACCAGATATGGCACTACCTTTCCAGGACAGTACAAGGTATGTAGGATTTAAAACTTTGGTTTTTTTTTATCATATCTTGTTAGAAAATTTAACCAAAGAATTTTAAAAAAAATTTCAAAATTTAATTTTTGAGACACAAAAGTGAGGTGTGTGTGAGCTTTATTTACTTCAAAAGTTTTCCTATGAAAAAATAATATAGTAGATGTAGGATATACGTCAATGACATAGCACTCCAGTTCTTCAGGTGCATTTTAACAAATTACAGAGCTTAAATTATTGACAGAAAAGGAGCACTTCAGCCTTAAAAATAAAGTGGGAGATGTATATTATTCTATTTCTTTTCCATAATTAATGAAAATGTATAAAACATATAATTTTGTCTTCAGGCTGCTGCATATTTCGGTGATGTGGAAACTTTGAGGAAATCACATTGTTCTGTGTAAAGTTTTCTAATCAAGTATGATTTATGATTATGATGGATGACTGCTTAACCTCCGGTGGCAAATTATTCACAAAGTAACTGTCCGCAGGCAGAAATGCCATCCTACTCTAATATGTTATTTTGACTCAGAGCCGACCTGCACTTTCTCCTAAATGCCACTTGCTTAGCAGATAAGCAGCAAATACCAATTTTGAAGTCTTGTTTAACTCAGCTTGGGATTGTACCCATGACCCTCCGTGCTCGCAGGGAGCATGCTACCAAAAGGTGGTCTAAAATATGTTTTAGATGTATTTAAAAGGTATATTCTCTCTCATACCCATGTAGTAATGTGGAAGTTTATGAAAAGCAGGCAAGACATATGGCTGTGTAAGACTTGGAGGAGACACCAAGTATACAGATTTATTATTTGTCACAATTTTCTTATTTTACAGTAAAAGAAAGATTCCACGCTTCCGTAACTTAGAGATACTGATGCTGGATGATAACAAGTTGTGTTATGTTGCCTTATTTGCTGCTTTAGCTGGTCTAAGAAGGTAAGCTGCTTCACTCTTTCTGAAATTCAGAGCTGTTTAGTTCTCTCTTTTGTTTTCTTTTTAGAACTCTTCACTTTTTCATGTTTTGAATTTCAATAGTTATGTTATAAATTCAATTGTAGGTTTCATTATTATTCTGTTTATGCATAGTGTATATATTGTATATTAGGAAATATGATATTTTACTGTGAACGAAACACAGATACTGCACGAGAAGAAATAGTAAATGCACCATTAATATACTAGCTTGATACCATTACCTTTTCAAGAGCATTTTTATTAACAAACTTATTTCATGGATTCACGTTATAGATTTTTAAATGTATATAGTGTGAAAGGTTGGAACTAAGTAACATTCTGGGAGTGAAGTTTATTCTTGATCTTAAACTTGAAAATGCTTAATATTAATCTGTTTTCAATTAAGCAGCTTTTAACTAAATTCTGGTCATTTGTATACTTGGGCAATGTAACAGCAACAATTAATATTTTTTATGTATTTTCAGGCTTAGACATCTTAATTTAGAGAAAAATGAAATATTTTATGTTCCACAACTGAAATCAGTAGAGGGAAGTATGGTTGTAAGTGAAGACGATACAGGTGAAAAACGAAAAAAATCAGGCAAGAGAACATCAAGAACACCAAGATCAAATCGACACAATCGTAGAAAGTCTGACCATACATCAGAAACTTTACCTACTGTTTTATCAGAACCTGGGGTACCAGTGAATACAGAGGCTTCAATTCCTGTTCCTGCTAATTCAGAGGTCGTCTCAAATTCCAATGACAACCCAGATACAGAGGTTAAGGTTGACATTGAAGAGAAAGAAGTTAAAAAAGGTAATACTCACAGTACGTGTAATACTGTTTGATGTTACTAAGCTTTATATCGATGTTATTATTCTTTTATATTTTTGTTTGTGTATTCAACATAAAACAATTTAGGTTTAAATGCCACTTTTATTGTTTCTGTTAAATTCTTGATCAGGTTGGCAGAAAAATATTTATCGGACAATATTATCAATCTTTGGAGTGTTTGTTTACAAATAAAGGAGATGTTGCCTTCTTGGATATATGTTAAACACACAGCAACCATACATCACATAAAAAAAAAAAGATATCTTAGTTATTTAAAGACATTTTTGTTTTAATCTTATCTGTAGTAGAGTACAATTCCTTTGAGTCAACTAAACCTAACCAGGTATCCTTTCAAAGCTAAAACTTTTAAAGAATTGTCAACTTTATATTATTATTAAATGCATATGGCGAAGTTAACATAATTGGGAGGTATTTCAGATTTTTATTAAATTTCAGATGAATTTATACCTCATCCAACTGCATCTTGTCATAGAAAAACATATATATGTAGCATTAATACTTTCAGAGATGCAATCAGTCAAAGTTATGAAGTAGATCTTTTGTTATAAATTAGGCCGTTTTCTCAATTGAATTGTTTCATATTTTTCATGTAGGGGCCTTTTATAGCCAACTATATGGTATGAGTTTTTCTCATTGTTGAAGGCCGTACAGTTGCGTATAATTGCTTACATCCACTTAATTTGAACTTGGTTGGATAGTTGTATCGTTGGCAATCATACCACAACTCCTTATTTTTATACTAAAAATGTATAGACTGTATATTAGAAGCAGTGAATAAATGCAATTTTGTCACTTTAAATTGTGGTTTTCTTAAATTTCTATCCACAATTTTTTTTTTAATGATATGGGGTTACATAATTCTTTTTTTTTTCAGAAGAATTTAAATAGTCTAGATATATATAGTTTAAAAAAGTGTAAAAATTACAAAATAAGCAAAACTTCTTAACAACCTCACCCAGCAAAAACAGAATTTCTCATGTTTTTTATACATCACTCAAACTTAAAGGATTTAGACACCAAACACAAATCTGTTAACCCACTTATATATTTTCATATAAAGATGGAAATGTTTACAGCAATAACATAAAATTGTTTAACAAAATTCTGTGGACTAAATTTTGAGAAATAGCAATTTATAGTGAAAAAAATGTTTTTTAGCTGCTTTTTACATATGTTCTATACATTTTTAAATCACAATTTCATCACTTTTTAACTATGGTATGATTAAATATCGATAATCATTCATTTTAACTTTTTCAGAAGAGTTAGGAATAGATTTAAATGAAGAATTTGAAGACTTCTCCAAATCTTTGGCAGACTTGGATATAGATACAGACTTGCCCACAGAACTTGAGACTGAATTTTCAGCTGATGGATCCAAAAACCCAATTGTGGATAAATTTGGACAGGAGCCTAAGGGACCACCACTACCTCCTTTTCCAGAACTAAGATATCTAAATTTGTCTTATAATTTGGTAATCTATTATTTATTTAGAATTATACACATATACAAAAAAGTAGTTTAAAGTTTTGATATTAGGAAATCAAAACAGATATGTGTGAATGGTAAAATTGAGAATGGAAATGGGGAATATGTCAAAGAGACAACAACCCGACCAAAGAGCACACAACAGCCGAAGGCCACCAATGGGTCTTCAACGGAGAAAGAAAATCCCGCACCCGGAGGTGGTCCTCAGCTGGCCCCTTAATAAAATTGTGTACTAGTTCAGTGAAAATGGACGTCCCCCTATACCTCTAGCCAATGTAGAATAAAGAAACACATAGCAATACGCACAGTATTTTGTCTTTTCAAAGCGATACCAAATCTCAAAATATGCCAGATTTAATTTCTGGAAGGAAATTTTCTGTTTAGCTTAAAAACCTTTTATCTTTTTCCATGTAACCAATGTTGATTATTACCTCTACATATTAGAAGAAACATTGTCTGTATATTTTAGATTGCAGAGGAGGAGGCATTATTATCTATAGCAGCTTGGCCAATGTTGTCAGAACTGCTGATAGCAAATAATCCTCTGACAACAGAGAAAAGTGGTGATCCTCCATTACTTAAGAGATTCTTACAAGATAGACTGGGAATACAACTTGTCAGGAAAAAGGAGACTGAAACAGGAAAACCAACTATTGAAGTCCATGCCAGAAAGTCAAGAAAAGTAGGAAATTAGAGAAAACAGAGTCTATTGTTACAAAAGCACCTGTCTAGTTGACAGGGGAAACTATTTTATTGGGCTTTTATACATAACATTACTGTTTTTCATATTCTGGTCCATTCTATATGTACATTCTAAAAGCACACACTTCTGAATGTCTTTATTTGAAGTTCCATTTTACAACAGAAGTATATGCCTGGGTTACTAATACAGTCGAATTTTTTGGATTTGTTCATTATAAATGTAGAATACAATATAACTGAAACAGATCTTGCAGAATAATTCATATGAATAAGAAAAGAAATTGGGATTTAGATAATTAGTTTTGCTTGCTAGTAAAATTTCCCTAGCACAGACACACCTTCCAATCATAAGCATGACATTATGGGTAATTACTGAAAGAACAAGCCCTAATTCAATACATTATCTTCAAAGCAGTTACGAGACAACTTAGATATGCATGTTAATCTGATACTGTACAGATTAACTAGTACCAACTGCTTTCTGAAGTTATATCACATGTTGAATTGGCTTACAACTAAACAGTTGAAGAAAGAATTTAAACACAGACATGATGTATCCCCTCTTTGTCCTGGGAGTCTGTAAAGTTAACATCTGATATTAAAAACTAGGTTTTTTATCTTGCCTGTGAAGAATGTCACATATGCCAGACATTAGGATTTTAATCTTGCTGTGGCTGCAACAACTGCCTGAACTATTTGTATAATGCCATTTATTTCAGATGGGGTTAGGTCTGTTTTTCACTGTTAAGCAATAGGTCAACTGTATTTGGTATATGGAATTACTGTTATGTGTACTTGTCTGTCTGACAGGGTCTATCTGACCTTAAACCTGATATTCTTGGGTCTTATGGTCCACAATCATTTTTAGTTATTAGGTTGTTTCTCAGATATTTAACATACTATAAACAAAAGGTAGAGTATATTTGGTGAATGAAATGATTGTAAGTTGTACTTGTTCATCTGAACTTGACCTCATTTTTATGAATCATTTATAATGTTAAGTTTATAGGATACCTGTAGTTAAACCTATATATCAAAGATTTTTGACATATTATTCAATTTTGATCAGTAGGGCAGACGAGACATTTCAGCATGTGCACTCTTGTTTTTATTGCAATAACTATGAGAATAGCACAAACCTTTGTCTGCTGACCTTCCACACTTCATAGAGGGTACCACTTGTTAAAAAAGAAATTTTGCTATTGATATCTTATTTGTAGCTTGATTGACTTGACTGCTTTAGATACACATGAAAAAGAAAGATTAGAAAAAGAGGCTGTGTTTGGATATACGCCTAAGGCAGCCTATGGTTACCCATAGGTATCTTTGGGTACCCATGGTTTGATATTTTGATATATAGAATATCAAACCAAAGGTACCTATGGATAACCATAGGCCACCTCTGGCATATATCCAAACACAGCCAACATGGAAAATGTCTGGCTATCTGATTTTGATTTTAAAAAGCCTGGTTCTTGGCTGTGTTTGGATATACGCCAGAGGTGGCCTATGGTTATCCATAAGTACCTTTGGTTTGATATTCTATATATCAATGGCTGTGTTTGAATATACGCCTAAGGCAGCCTATGGTTGCCTATAGGTATCTTTGGGTACCAATGGTTTGATATTTTGATATATAGAATATCAAACCAAAGGTACCTATGGATAACCATAGGCCACCTCTGGCGTATATCCAAACACAGCCAAAATATCAAACCATGGGTACCCAAAGATACCTATGGGTAACCATAGGCTGCCTTAGGCGTATATCCAAACACAGCCTATATTGGGTTGTCATATCCTTTCTATTTGGAAATTCTTATAACCTGTGTTGAAAATGAAAAAATGGCATAAATTATCATGTCTCAAAACATTGGCTGTGTTTGGATATACGCCAGAGGTGGCCTATGGTTATCCATAGGTACCTTTGGTTTGATATTCTATATATCAAAATATCAAACCATGGGTACCCAAAGATACCTATGGGTAACCATAGGCTGCCTTAGGCGTATATCCAAACACAGTCATTAAATACAGGGAAAATATTTAAGGTCAAACTAAGGCTGTGTTTTGATATACGCATAAGGCTGCCTATGGTTACCCATAGGTACCGTTGAGTACCAATGGTTTGATATTTCATATATCAAAATATCAAACCATGGGTATTCAAAGATGCCTATGGATAACCATAGACTGCCTTATGCGTATATCCAAACACATCCTAAAACTTCTCATCACTTGAAAATTTGTATATGCATGGTTTCACTAATGAGAAATTTCTAATTCCTTACAGAAAGTTGAAAGATGTCCACTATGTTGTAATATTAAATCTTTAAAAAAAAAATGCCTAATCAGTTTTAAATTGGCTTTTTGAGCTTTTACTTATGTCAACACATATTGGTGTGTTCAAATATTTTTCTGAAATAATTTAGCTTAATAAATTGTAATTTACAGGTTTCAAGTAGAGTTCCAAAGATTCCTAAAATTTCACTAGAAGAGAAACTCATGCTTGAAGCTCCACCTAGACCTCCATCAGTTCCAAAACCATCACATATGAAAGCCCTTCCACCAATACCGACTGCTAATAATAAAAATGGTCATCATTCAAAGTCAGGAGAAAATAATATTCCATCTACTCCTGTCTATCAGCGTGCATTTTCAGAACAATCTGAGGAAGTTCCTAGTTCACCTGTGTTTAAAAGACAGTTCTCAGAACAATCAGAAAAGTCTGAAGACTTGCCTAATGCAGCTGCTTACAAAAGACAGTTTTCTGAGGAATCTGGAGGAATTCCTGATTCTGCTGCATATAGACGAGCTCACTCAGAAACACCTCAATCAATACCAGGAGAAAGTGAATACAAGAGAAGAGTATCTGAGGAATCCGGAGGAATTCCCGAATCTTCTACTTACAGGAGAGCTCATTCTGTAACCCCTCAAAATATTCCTGCAGAATCGGACTACAAAAGACAATTTTCACCTCAAGAGCAAACTATTCCGTCTTCTTCTGATTATAAACGACCATACTCAGCAGGAGCAATGCCACAACAGAAGGAACCTGATGATAAACCAGAATCAAAGTCAGCATGGTCAGATGCACAACCTGATCAAGCTTTCTTTATGACTCAGGTAAAGCCTAATTACTTTTGAAAGTTATCTCTTCATTTAAAAAACAGTAAGTTTACTTCAGAGTGCAAGATCTAGTATAAAAATAAGGAGATGTGGTATGATTGCCAACGAGACCACTTTCCACCAGAGTTCAAATGAAGTGGATGTAAGCAATTATAGGCAACCATATCATTCATATGGCCCTCAACAATTTAGAAAAAGTTAAACTTAGATTTAAGTTGCAATTAAAATCTTAATCAGTATCACAAAGTAATGGTTATGATTAAATTTTAAGATATTGAAGAAGAGTCCTTATGGCATGATAGTTAGTTTACAATACATATGATACTGTTTTCAATGTGCATGACATATAGCTTCTGGATTAACCTCATTAAGAACACTCAGGACTAAATGTTTCCAAAAAATGTAAAATGTTTGTTAGCATAAAAACTAGAATAAGAGCAAAATTAAAGTGGTGTAAGATCAACTTTTCTGGAGGGAGTTGGAGACTTAGCTTTGTTACAATTATATGATTTAGGAATTGGCACAATTAACAGAAAAAAAATTATTTCAATTAGGCAAAAATGAAAGCTGTTGCTAATGGTTGAAAGCTACCATTTTGATAATCATGCAAATAATTGAATGCAGTCATTTATGAGAGAAGCAAATCATACAGGTTTGAATAAATTTGAATATTCTAGGTTGATGAAACAGAGGAAGCAAAGCCTACAAAATCAAAACCAAAAAAGGAAAAAGTCAAACAAGGCAAATCCAAACCAAAATTGGATGATAAATATAAAGGCTATGAAATTCTTCTTGATTTCGAAGAGGATCCTCATTTTATGGATCCAAAAGGTAACAAGTTTCTATTACAATTTACAATGCTGACAATTAAATATTGAATGTTCTACAAAATGAAAGCTACTAAAAATAATTAAGATTTGACAATAAACATTTTTTCTTTCTTGTCAGTTATCATTGTCAACTTTATCACAGAAGAACAATGAGCTTATATGGAACAAAATAAAGAAGTCTTGCATAATGTTAGCAGTTAATTTTTCTTGAAATTAAATAGTAACCGATCTATTATTAGGGCCCCGCCGAATGGCGGGTCGCCCTATAGTGATCAGTCTGTCTGTCCGTAACAAATTGTCTAGAGAACTGTTATAATTTCATACTTTATACTGGACATGTATATTAACCAACACCAGAGGGTGTGTCATAATGTATGTGCAACTTCCTAGGTCAAAGGTCAAGGTCAAAAACTTTGGTTTCAGTTGACAACCCCATGTCCTATGGTAAAGATACACATTTTTACCACATGTTATTCACAGCGGGGCCCACAGAGATGGCTCCTATCTCAATGATGTGTAGTTTAAAATGTATTGCACTTAAAATGAACAACAATTACTGTCGGTCGATTTCACTGTGATATATTCATTGGCAATACACATGAATAGAGGTGAAAAAAAATTTGTTGTTTTGGTTAAGATTTGAGGATTGAACACATTTTTCTAAATGTTATTGATATGTAAACTGGGCCACTGTAATCACAAAATTTACATGCAAGTCATATGGACATTCATTCAGTTGTGTGCATCAGCCCAATTTAAACATCAATAGCCTCTGGAAATAAATTTTCAATCCTATACTATTTGATTTTTGTCTCGCCTGCAGTATGCGAGACATAGGTATATATCTGGCAGCGGCGGCGGCGTAAACTATTTATATAAAGCTTTATATTTCTGGATGCTTCATACTTTGTATGCAGATACCTTATGTTACCAAGTTTCCGTCTGTCATATGCCCATTGTCCTTGACCTCATTTTCATGGTTCAGTGACTGCTTGAAAAAATTATATTTGGTGTATGGAATGATTGTAAGGTGAACATGTTATGAAGTTTCCGTCTGTCATATGTCCATTGTCCTTGACCTCATTTTCATGGTTCAGTGACTACTTGAAAAAAGTTAAGATTTTTTGTAATGTTAATTTCTCTCTTATTATGAGTGATAGGATAACTATATTTAATATGTGCGTACCTTGCAAGGTCCTCATGCCCGTCAGACAGTTTTCATCTGACTTCAACCTCATTTCATGGATCAGTGAACAAGGTAAAGTTTTCGTGGTCAAGTCCATATATCAGATACTATAAGCAATAGGTCTTCTATATTTGGTGTATGGAATGATTGTAAGGTGTACTTGTCCAACTGGCAGGTGACATTTGACCTTGACCTCATTTTCATGGTTCAGTGGTTAAATTTAAGTTTTTGTGTTTTTGTCTTTTTTCTAATACTATATGCAATAGGTCAACTATATTTGGTGTATGGAAATATTTTACAATGTACATGTCAGTCTGGCAGGTTTTATTTGACCTTGACCTCATTTTCACGATTTATTGCTCATTGTTTAGTTTTTGTGTTTTGGTCTGTTTTTCTTAAACTATAACCAATAGGTCAACTATATTTGTTGTATGGTATGATTGTAAAATGTATATGTCTGTCTGGTAGGTATCATCTGACATCATTTTCATGGTTCATTGGTGAATGTTAAGTTTTCATGGTTAAGTTTGTTTCTTAGATACTATAAGCAATAGGTCAACTATATTTAATGCAGAGATTGATTGTAAGGTGTACATGTCTGTCTGGCGTGGTTCATCTGACCTTGACCTTATTTTCATGGTTCATTGGTCAATGTGTAGTTTTCCTGTTTAAGTCTGTTTCTTAGAAACTATCAGCAATAGGTCAACTATATTTGGTGTATTTGAATGATTGTAAGGTGTACATGTATTTCCGGTTTGGTTTATCTGACCTTGACCTCATTTTCTTGGATCATGTTAAGTTTATGTGATACTTTTAGTAAAGCTTTATATTTAGGACTATCAACATAAAATCAATGGTCAGTAAAGAAGGCCAGACATTTCAGCGTGTGCACTCTTGTTCAATTACCATATGCAATGGGTCAACTATATTTGGTGTATGAAATAATTGTAAGGTGTACATGTCTGTGTGACAGTTTTTATCTGACCTTGACCTCATTGTCATGGATCTTTAAAAATGTTAAGCTTATGTGATACTTGTAGTAAAACCTTTATCTTTAAGACTTTCAACATAAAATCAATGGTCAGTAAAACAGGCGAGGCATTTCAGCCTGTGCTCTCTTGTTTTAAGCATGAATAATTTCAATTTTCTGCTGGTGAATGTGTCATTTAGTCATAGAAATTATTATTGGTGTTGTTGTTATATGCCTAATTGTATATCTGTTTCCTTTTTTAGTAAATATATTGTATCAAAAATTAAAAGCTGCATATTTAAAAATGTTATAATATAAAAATAAGGAGATGTAGAAGATTGCCAATGAAAGAATTATCCATAAAGACAAAAAAATAAAGAGGTGAACAATGACATGTCACCATACAGTCAACAAATGTTGTTTTTCTTTTTTTTTATCAGATATGCAAGGCAATGTTAAGGCTTTAAAGTTTGCACTTGGACATGAACTTGTATATAGGGATGCAGCGGCCAGATTAGATCGCATAGAAAAATCAGTAGAACCATATAAAAAGGTAATAAAACATTATATTATTTAAAGCACTTTGATGTTTATACAATCATTAGGCTAGTAAACTATGTTGTTTTAATACTGTTTTGAACCAGTTCTGATTATTATATTTGGTAATTAACTTTATGGACCTTGCAGTAAGGGGTGAGCTATTTACAACTCCCTGGAAGACCTTCCAGTAAATGCCCAGACTCGATTTTATGATATTTTTCTCGTATGCATCCAGTTAACATGCTATCTTATTTAAAAGATGCAAATGAAATTAAACCTGACCATAAACATACTACAGTCAAACCTGCCTTAAAAGTCACCTCGTTTCAGCGATCACCTGCCTCTAACAATCACTTTCAGATACTCCCAAAAGTTTTCTCTATATAATCTAACTTGTTTCAGCGGTCACCAGTCTAACACAGTGAGCAGTCCCCTAAATTTTGCACAAAATCGTCATTTCAACTTTTGACAATAGTAATTTTTATGTTTTTAACTACCAAAATAATCATGACAAAAAATATATGCATTGAGTATCAAATGAAAATCGGAACACATTTGCAACAGAGATCATGCAATACGAGGTTTATGAATTCCCCTTGTTCCAATCAATTAAGTTTCCATTGAAAATCGTATCACCGACTTATTTCTCTCACAAGAATGATAACTCTACTGATTGAAAACACTAAAACAATTTGCCCCTATCCTGGCCTCAGGTGATGATAGAATCTGAACTTTTCGGTACCTCTTATAAAAGGTCACCTTTCTTGAGCGGTTACTTTTGATACTTCCAAATACTGACTACTTATATAATACAGGTTTGACTGTATTTAATGCAGGGACAATTCATGATTTTCTGACCATGCTTCACAAAAGGTGCTGTACATGTATGTTTGCAGTTTTCTGTAAACCACAGTATGCAAAATGAAAGCGTAACCATCAGGTTTTCAGATAGTTTTTCCTTATATTATAAATATACAGTGAAACCTATTTAAACTAAACACTGAGTAAACCAGAAACAGGTATACATTGTACATCATGACAAGCATTGAATATTCTTATATAATCAATGATTTAATCACTGTAAACTGAATACCTGTCTAATCTGAATTTTCTGTCTGTACAACCAAATTTTCTGTAATTTTCTTCAAATAAAACCAACTTTAAAATCAAGACTAAATTTACCCAGATGAACCTTAGAAAGGATAAGAAGATACAGGATATACATAATGTTATGAAATAACCATCATATATCATTACATCAGTGATGAATTTGATTGTGAGAAATCACCTAAAATGTGAAATGCCTAGGGTTAACTGAAATGATAATGAACTCAATTATATTATAGTGGGAGATGCCACCAAAGGTGCCAAGGAAGACTAGGGGAGAGAGAGTGGATGATGTGCTTACCAAGCTTAAGCACCGTGAAACTGTTGATGAAGCCAACCTCAGCAATGTATTGAAGGATACTCGTTCTAAGAGAAAACAGTTCCCAGAGGCGCAGACTCTTCTGGCTGAGGTTTGTAGTTGTAGCTGTTATGAACCACAACTTATTCTCTTACTAATAATTTAATCTCTCAAAAGAAATTGGGGATACTTATTGTTGTTCTCTCTACTTTTATAATTATTACCAGTTAAATTATTGTTCTTTCTTTCTCTGCGAAATTGTATGCAGCTGTTCTCAAAAACAGTAAGTCAGATGTTTTCACAACTGTACAATCTGCTAGCCCTGTGTCTCGAGATGAGACCTAAGGTTACAGTTTGCAGATTAACAGGTTTTCAGGTATATTTTGGAGGAATCAGTAGAGCATAGGAGTTACTACAAAAAGCTATATTTTTAAGGCTGTGTTTAAATTGTTCTAGTTATTCTTGCAATAATTGAAACCATTTTCACAGGATTTTACATGATGACAAGTTGACTATTATACAAGTGCACTTTTTATTTTGTTAAATATTTTGAACAGATCAACAATTTAGCCAGTCATATAATCATCACCTTTTTCCACTGTTTGTATATGTGTTCCTGGTAAGAGTCATGTTTGAATTGCTTTTACAGATCATTTGGAATTCTATTTTTTGCCAAATTCAACAATTTTCTTATAAAACACAGAAAATGTTTTAAATATTTATTTAAGGAATGACTGTAATATTTTTTCTGTCTATGAAGAAATAACATAAAAAATGTGGTGCACACTGAATAACCCTTGTAGCTGGTTATTTAAAAGTGTGCACCACATTTTTGAGGTTATTTCGAATAGACAGAAAAAATATAACAGTCATTCCTTGTAATTGAATTCTAAATTCCATTGTTAAGGAGTAAATCATAAAAAAAATTGACGACGTTACGGTCATATGACTAAATTATGTCTATGAGCTGATAGAGAAACAAATATCAGCCAATCAGAAGACGTGTTACATCCATTTAATTATTTAGAAATATCCTTACAAGCAAATAACTTTTTGTCATCATGTAGTTTTTTTTTAAAGATTTAAACCATATAAATAACAGTATAAATGTGAAAGTAGAGATAAGTTTTTAAAAAATCAAAGAATTATGAAAGTCTAATTTTTACTTACAGATTCAGAAGAGATACAACACAGTGAGAGTTAATTCAATGAAGGAAGCCAGAGAAGTTAAAAAGGTCATGACAGGAACAGCTCATGATTTATCAAAGAAAGCAGAGATATTAAAAGCAACATAATACTTTTAAGTTGATATTGTTTAACTCTTGTAAGTAAGAAAGGACATCGGTATTTTTGTACAACTTGATGAAATTTCTTGAAATATGACAGTCACTATATTTTGCAACAGATTTCCATGGGAAGAAGTACTCTTTGAAATATTAAAACCTTCTCCTTCTTATAACTTTCCTGTATCTAGCTGTTAGATTTAGCATCATTTGATGTCCCTAAATAAACCAAAATATGATATTGACCATAGTTTTTAAATTTTCTAGAAATTGATTGGCTGCATTGCAATTTTTTTGGTCTAAAACATAAATGGTTTTCAAGGATTCTCCGTACCCAAAAAATCACATCAGTAGATGATAATGATGTCCTGTAGTCTTTTTTTTTTTATAAAATATAATACCACTAGACTCATACAGTTGATATTTTTTCAAAGAATTTTCTTATTTTTATGAGCTAACATGTTATGATTTTTTGTATAATTTAATAAATACTTCCAGGTCAGATTCATTACTTGGATGTTAAATTCCAAGGAAATTCAATATTTAGTGAAGAAATATTGAAAAATGTAGCTCTTTGATGAAAACAGTAGTACTGCAGAGCATAAAGTCTTTTTGGGGCACTGATCTCAAAAAAGCTTTGTATAGAAATAAAAACCAATCAGTAGTAAGAGATATGCCCAAAAATGAATTGCTTTATTCAAAATTAAATATTACAATTTCTACTCTTTCACCCAGAAGAGATGACTAATGTTTACACAGCATATTGCCAGATTAATGTTCATATTTTGCCTAGGATAAAAATTGTGACATTTTGTATTGTTGTGCATGTGCAATTTTGTGAAGTACAGGCTGTGATAGATGATACAACTTAATTTAAAGTGGATTCTGTATGTATGAAAAGTTGTTCAAGTTGCACAGATGTGATTGCTTTTTGTTATTTAATAAATGTTTACAAACATATAGCAGTTTTTTCATGAAAATTATTTAAAGCATAATAGCTGAAGAAGTAAGATTTTACAATAATTCTTTTTCCAGTATGTTTGTTTTCATCCCCTCGTTACATCTTATCCTTCCCATTAACACAAATGACACCTGCAACATGAAATAGTCTGATTGCTTATATTTCAATTATTGGTTGCACACACAAGAAAACAAGGACAAACAGTGGGTTTTCCACTTTCAATAGTGAGTTTTCCTTTTCCTAGACTTAGATTCATGTCAAGTATTACAACTTTCTTTGCTGTCAAGAAGTTACTAAATCAAGTCTACATACTAACTAGATTTGTATCTAGTTGACGAATTAAATGAAGTTAGTGTCTCATAAGTGTTTGAAGTTGTGTTTCTGTAAATTTTTTCGATTCTTGAATGAATTGGAATTATCACTGTTTTTTCTGAAGAGTAATATGACAAATGTTCCATGCCAAAAACTGAGGCTTCTATTTTTGTATGCCAGACACATTTTTTTTTCTACAAAAGTTTCATCAGTGAAATGAAATGAGCTGTATTGCTTGATATGGATAATAGGTTGACAATAGGTGATTTAAACTGTGTAACTATCAAGCGATACTCAGGTGTTTATTTATTTTGCCTTCTTCTACAGACTTGAAAAAAAAAATCACATCAAAGTCCAGGTAAGTTTTTCAATTTTCTGAAACATGAAATTCATATAACTTTTATATATCTAGGTCCAGCCATGCCTTTAAACTTTTCTAGATGCACCTGTTTGTCTGTACTCGGGAGTAGATTTTGTGATGTAAACATGGGCCATATTTGTCAATTCCTTTTGATGAACATTAATTGTCGAAATGTGCATCTGGTGCAATAAAATTGGTACCGTTAATATTGATATTATGCATAGATGCCAAGTGAATGAGTCATACTTCGTGAGTTTTCATTGTATTTTTGTTGGTACAGTAAATCTTGTTTACTGCTGTATGTTTTTTGAATATCTGGAGTGATTCATTTCCTGGTGTAATGGGTTCTGTATTAGATCGCTTCTACTGATACTTTCCTACTATGCATATTCAAAAGGCTTTGTCCTATCACAAAACCAATTGGGCATAATGTTTTCCCAAGTTGCAGTTTGAACTCATCTCATCAAACTGAACAACTAGTGAAAACTATTTGCCCATGGCAAGTGCAGTGTCTATCTTTGTGGGTGTTTAAATAATGTCCTACACAGGAACTCAAGACGGACCCCAGGTGCAGTGTGAAAACTTTTTCTTCCTCAGTCCAAATCTAAGTAATTTACGTAAGTGGAAGGGAAAAAAAATTCTATAACAATGAATTAACCATTTGACCAAATATGTTATTTAAGAAAGTACTGCATGTGAACCTGAATGATAATCATTATAATGGTGTGGTTCCAAATTTCTGATAATTGCTTGTTTAATGGTTTTTGAAGAGAGCCTTTGTGTAGCACTATACAGACATTTCTGCATCCGGTGCAGAAAAAATGCATTGTTAATGTTATTAAAGACTAAAGATCATCTTTGTCAACTTATGGATCATTATGAAAAAAAGGAGATGTTGTATGATTGCCAATCAGACAACTGTTCATCAGAGACCAAATGACAGACTATTAGATGTTCACAACTAAATGTCGCTGTACATTGCAATTTTCATATTTTATAGAAATCTATATCATTGGTATACACATTGGCATATTGATACCAATTATACTTTCTAATGTTATATGTTATCAAAAGGGAAAGTAAGTAAGACATTTCCAAATAAGTGAAATATACCACTGAAAGTTATGAAGGCAGATGAAAAAGAAAGCTTATCTTGTTTTTTTTTTTTTATTTTTAGTATTTCCACTTTTTTTAAATTCAGGAGAATTAAGTTATAAAATTTCCAAGTAAATTAAAAGGGTTCCAAGGCTTTAACATTGAATAATTTCGAAGAACATCGGAATTTGAAAACATTTTAACCTCATGAGAACAATTTAGGATCTGGAAAACTTAAAAACGGAATTTTGAAAACATTTAAGCCCCATGAAAACAATTTCAGGATATGGAAAACTCAAAACGTGGAACAGGGTACTTTAAGCACTTCCGTGGTATATTTATTGGTCTATGATCAACAGAAACATTAGAAACATTTTAGTACCAAAAAAAAGCAAATCAACAAAACAAACATTGTTTTCGCATTTGATATTTTTTGTTTTGTTTTGAACACTTAATCAATCATTGAACTATACAGTTAATGTTACTGTTTCTGTAATGCTACTAAAAGGTGACAAATCTCTGTGTTTATATTTATTTCTAATATCAATCACATTTGATTTTTATCAACGATTAGAAATTACGATGAGAGATCATAAGTTATTCTGTTCTTCGTTCCAAATTGTCCCTGTCAATTTTGTTACCATGATGTAAAAAATATTTCGAAAGTTAAATTTTCGGCCTTTAGATAAAATATAATCATTAAATTCAATGGGAACCAACAGTGCTCCTCCTCTAGCTGATGTGTTCCTATATGCGTATGAGGCTGTCTTCGTGGCACAGATGGACTACTTCAAACTATGACAATCTTGATTTTGTCAACTTTCCATTTATCAACTTCCCATTTTTTAGCATTAACATACCTTCTGCCCATCTTATGGCGTGAGCATTGATAGAACACGGTCGTACATGTTCACACTACACGGACTTCATTAACAGGGGTGTTCTCCTTACACAAAAACTGTTATAACAGAGAAATTGAAAAGAAAGACTGAAATCGACAGTACATATGTTTTACGGTTTCTATCATGAATTAGTTGATCGATACGAAGTTTATTGGTCTCAACAGACAAGCGACATTTTTCCCGCGGTCTTCTATCTTTAGTTATCACAACTTTTTTTTGGTTTGTAAAATTACCGATTGTGCCCTTCCCCATTATGACACTTGTAACAAGTGTGGATACGCAAGCATAGCAGGAGACGCTTACCCTGTTAACACACCTGGTCTTGATTCTTTTAGAGTTCATGTGATTTCTTCAGTTTTTGTTTTTTACCTTGATTTGTAACTTTTTAATTGATTTATCATATTTTACCTTAGTAAACTGCTGTTGTCTCGAGTTCAAACAGAAGAATGATAAGCTAGCATTATCCCCAAACTTCACGTTCCCCTTTGTATAAGATATCGTCTCACTGAATATTTCAATTTGAAAATGGAAAAAAAAAACACGTCATGTTTATTTGTTTTGACCTGCCAGTGTCAGCGCTTATATTATCCCCCTCCCCATACAAAAAAAAAAAAAACTAAAAAAAACCAAAAAAATCATTAACTTATATTCATATATGATTCATATATGATTAAAATGATATTAAAAGATTGTTATTATTATTGATGCAACATAGTTATTCTATTCGTACATGTACTCATAAAGTTGGTGTGTCTGAAGTGCTTTTCTGGATCATCTTCACCAGGAACGCTCAAGCACACAAATCTGAAAGCCAAAGGTGTATCAATACTTGAATAATTTATGATCGTTTTGACTAAAATGCACCTTAATAGGTAAGAGGCAACAGTACTATACCGATGTTTAAAACTCGTAAACCCAGTTGTAGAATACAAACAAGATTAAAAAAATTGAGGGAATCTAACGAACTCCAAACGGACCGAGATAGGAGGGGTATGTTCAGCATCTCCTGCCATGCATGCAGGGCCCGTAATGCGAATCTAGATTCAGTCAAATAGTCACAAATGGAAATAGAACACACAAACGGCAACTTAGGGAATCGCATAAACTCCATAAGGATTGAGACGAGGTGCATCGTGAGGGTACGCGTCTCTTGCTATATGCATGCAACACCCGTCATGAGAATTCACACTCAGGAATTGGACACAATCGGTACAATTACAGATCAGATGACTATACTGGTATCTAGAGAAAAAAGATCATGAAAACATGTCTCAGTGAGTTAAGACACCGGAAGGGTTTATTATATTGGTCAACAAATTCGTTGTAAAACTTATGTAGTGTCGATTTCAGTCTTTCGTCCTCATAAATCTGTTGGAACACTTTTTATGTAAGGTGTATATCCGTGTAAGGAAGTCCAAACACAAGTCCGCCAGTAGGGTTGCACAACCTTTAGAATATCGAATGTTTATTAAAATATCAATCCACCAACCTCAATAAATACAGTTGAAATCAGTTCTTACCACTCTTTAGAAAACTGCCAGAATGATCTTTCATACCCGCGGGTATCACCAGCCCAGTAGATGGCACTTCTGTGTTGACATGAAATATCATTGATATGTTCATTTTCTGTAAATTTACTTTACAAAACACTAAGGGCATAGATTGTTTAAACCATATTTGGCACAATTTTTAGGGATTTGCGGTTTTAATGCTCTTCAACTTCGCATTTGATTTGACCTCTCAACTGTCTGATTTGAGCGCTACAGATGAGTTTTATAGAACTGTTCTATACATCTATAGGACATTTCTAGGGTAAAACTGTCTAAATCTGTTTTAAAGTAATACTGTCTGAAACTATTCCATGGTAGAACTGTCATGGTCAGTTGAAGATTAGTACTGTCAAAATTTATTTGAGGGTGGATCAGATCTAACTGGCATAAATAAGAGCAGCTTTTTGGTCGTGATTAAGGTTAAGGCGACAGTAATTTACCTATGTTCAAATCTCGCAAATCTATAAGGAAAAGACAAATCAAGGTAACAAACGACAACTTAGGGAATTGCATAAACTCCAAAAGGACCGTGGCTGGGTGCATCGTGAGGGTACGCTTCCCCTGCTATATGCATGCAACACCCGTCATGAGAATTCACACTTAATCAAAATGTCGCAATCGGGAATTAGACGCAATCGGTACAAATACAGATCAGACAACTATACTGGTATCAAGAGAAAAAAGATCATGAAAACATCTCTAAATGAGTTAAGACACCGGTACATTATACCAGTCAATAAATTCCTGATGGTGACCGTGAAACTTATCTAGTGCGATTTCAGTCTTTCTTCCTCTAAACTCAGTTGAAGCAGTTTTTATATAAAAGAGGGACGGTCAAACTCATAGATCGAAAACAAACTGACAACGCCATGGCCAAAAATAAAAAGATAAACAGACAAATAATAGTACAGATGACACAACATAGAAAACTAAAGACTAAGCAACACGAACCCCTCCAAAAACTGGGGGTGATCTCAAGTGCTCCGGAAGGGTAAGCAGATCCTGCTTCACATGTGGCACCCGTCGTGTCGCCCGTCGGTAGGTCACATTCGTGAAAAGGGAAGGGTATTGTAGTTACGACATAAGGAACATATCCTATATCATCTGTGAAACGGTTATTCCAACTCGTGATGGCGTCCGTAAAATTTACGAAGGGATGATTTCAATTTCACCATTTGGAACATATAAGGTGCACATCCGTGTTAATGAAGTCCGTGTAGTGAGAAAATGCACGAACGTAATGTTCTAAGTGAAATATGTTTTGCAGGCTTTGCTTCCTCTGTTTCATCAACATAGAATATTCAAATTTATTTTAAACATGTAAGATTTGTTTCTTTTGACACATGCACATTGAAAATATTATGTTCAGTGAACTAACTATCTTACCTTAGGGACGCATCTTCAAAATTAACAATTATTTTGTGTCCCTTATCAAGATTCTAATTGCAACTTAAATATAAAATAACTTTTTCTAAATTGTTGTAATGAACATAAATTCATGGATTACTAGATCTGAAGTAAACGTACTGTTTTTAAATGAAGAGAAAACTTTCAAAAGTAATTGGGCTATACCTGAGTCATAAATAAAGCTTGATCAGGTTGTGCATCCGACCATGCTGACTTTGATTCTGGTTTATCATCTGGCTCCTTCTGTTGTGGCATTGCTCCTGCTGAGTATGGTCGTTTATAATCAGAAGAAGATGGAATAGTTTACCCCTTGAGAATAAAATTGTCTTTTGTAGTCAGATTCACCAGGAATATTTTGAGGGGTTACAGAATGAGCTCTCCTGTAGTTAGAAGATTCAGGAATTCCTGCAAATTCTTCAGATACTCTTCTCTTGTTCACTTTCTCCTGGTATTGAGTGAGGTGTTTCTGAGTGAGCTCGTCTATATGCAGCAGAATCAGGAATTCCTCCAGATTCCACTGAAAACTGTCTTTTGTAAGCAGCTGCATTAGGCAAGTCTTCAGACTTTTCTGATTGTTCTGAGAACTGTCTTTTATACACAGGTGAACTAGGAACTTCCTCAGATTTTTCTGAAAATGCACGCTGATAGACAGGAGTAGATGGAATATTATTTTCTTCTGTCATGCAATGTTGTCATTTTAGTGTTATATTTAACATTGCCATAAAAGCGCGAGGTTTGGCTAGCCACAAAACCAGGTTCAACCCACCATTTTTTCTTAAAATGTCCTGTACTAAGCCAGGAAAATGGCAGTTGTTATCCGATAGTTCGTTTCTGTGTGTGTTGCACTGTCTTTTGTTTTTTGTTACACTTCAGTGTTTATGTCGTTTCGTTGTTTTCCTCTTGTAGTTGATGTGTTTCCCTCGGTTTTAGTTTGTAACCCGGATTTGTTTTCTCTCAATCGATTTATGACTTTCGGACAGCGGTATACTACTGTTGCCTTTATTGGAATGATGATCATTTTTATTTTTAGCAGACGGTATTGGTGGAAGGGCTTTCATATGTGATGGTTTTTTGGAACTGATGGAGGTCTAGGTGGAGCTTCAAGCATGAGTTTCTCTTCTACTGAAATTTAAGGAATCTTTGGAACTCTACTTGAAACCTGTAAATTACAATATTAAGTTGAATTATTTCAGAAAAATATTTGAACTGACACACCAATATGTGTTGACATGAGAAAAAGATCAAAAAGTCAATTTAAAACTGATTAGGCCTTTTTTTTTTTAAGATTTAATAGTACAACATAGTGGAAATCTTTTAATTTTCTGTAAGGAATTATAAATTTCTCATTAGTGAAACCATGCATATAACGATTTTCAAGTGATGAGAAGTTTTAGTTTGACCTAAGATATTTTCCTTGCATGTAATGTTTTGAGACATGATAATATATCCCATTTTTTATTCTCTCAACACAGGTTATAAGAACTTCCAAACAGAAAGGATATAACAACCCAATATAAACGGGGCTTTTTAAAATCAGAAAGCCAGATATTTTCCAATCTATTTCTAATTTTTTTTCATGTGTATCTAAAGGCAGTCAAGTCAATCAAGTTACAAACAAGATATCAAGAGCAAAATTTCTTTTTTAACAAGTACATGTGTAGTACCCTCTATGAAGTGTGGAAGGTCAGCAGACAAAAGTTTGTGCTATTATCATAATTATTGCAATAAAAACACTGATCAGAAAGTTTTCTTTTCTTTAAACAAGAGTACACATGCTGAAATGTTTTGCCTGCCCTACTGATCATGATTGAATAATATGTCAAAAATCTTTGATATACAGGTTTAACTACAGGTATCGTATAAACTTAACATTATAAATGATTCATAAAAATGAGGTGAAGTTCAGATGAACAACAAGTACATCTTACAATCATTCCCGTCACCAAATATACTCTACCTTTTATTTATAGTACGATAACTATCTGAGAAACAACCTAATAACGAAAAATGATTGTGGACCAAAGACCAAAGAGGTTTAAGGTCAGATAGACCCTGCCAGACAGACAAGTACACATAACAATCATTCCATATACCAAATATAGTTGACCTATTGCTTACAGTAAAAAACAGACCTTACCCCTTCTGAAATAAAAGGCATTATACAAATAGTTCAGGCAGTTGTTGCAGTCACAGCAAGATTAAAATGCTAATGTCTGGCACATGTGACATTCCTCGCAGGCAAGACAAAAAAAACCCCTAGTTTTTAATATCAGATGTTAAACTTTACAGACTCTCAGAACAAAGAGGGGGTACATCAAGTCTATGTTTAAATACTTTCTTCAATTGTTTAGTTGTAAGACAATTCAACATGTGATATAATTTCAGAAAGCAGTTGGTACTAGTTAATCTGTACAGATCAGATTAACATGTATATCTAAGTTGTCTTGTAACTGCTTTGATGGTAATGTATTGAATAAGGGCTTGTTCTTTCAGTAATTACCCATAATGTCATTCTTATGATTGGAAGGTGTGTCTGTGCTAGGGAAATTTTACTAGGAAGTAAAACTAATTATCTAAATCCCACTTTCCTTTCTTATTCATATGAATTATTGTGCAAGATCTGTTTCAATTATATTGTACTCTACATTTATAATGAACAAATCCAAAAAATTAGACTGTATAAGTAACCCCGGCATATACTTCTGTTGTGAAATGGAACTTCAAATAAAGACATTCAGAAGTGTGTGCTTTCAGAATGTACATATAGGATGGACCAGAATATGAAAAACAGTAATGTTATGTATAAAAGCACAATAAAATAATTTCCACTGTCAACTAGACAGGTGCTTTTGTAACTATAGATAGTTATAGGAAGATGTGGTATGAGTGCCAATGAGACAACTCTCCATCCAAGTCAACATTTATAAAAGTAAACCATTATAGGTCAAAGTACGGTCTTCAACACGATGCCTTGGCTCACACCGAACAGCAAGCTATAAAGGGCCCCAAAAAATACTAGTGTAAAACCATTCAAACGGGAAAACCAACGGTCTAATTTATATAAAAAAAACGAGAAACGAGAAACACTTATGAACCACATCAACAAACGACAACTACTGAACATCAGATTCCTGACTTAGGACAGGTGCAAACAATTGCAGCGGTTTTAAACGTTTTATTGGTACCAAACCTTCACCATTATGCGAAACAATAGTGTAACATCACAACATAGAAAGACACACTATAAAATTTCAATTCAAATGGCTTAACTCAATCAAAAGACATATTAAAACCAGTGAATATACACTGAACAAATAAATTTGATCTATGATACAATGTAAATACAAAATAAATAAACTAAGGGAAGAATAATTAAAGTAACATGTTATACCGCTGTGAAATGTTAAACAATTCAAGAAAAAAAATATGCTTGAACAAAAATATCAGCCATTTGCAATTACATTAAACACAGGTAAATGAATATATTCTCTTGTTTTATCTAATTTCCTACTTTTCTTGCCTTTCTGGCAGGAACTTCAATAGTTGCTTTTCCTGTTTCGGTCTCCTTTTTCCTGCCAAGATATATTCCCAGTCTATCTTGTAAGAATCTCTTCAGTAATGGTGGATCACCACTTTTCTCTGTTGTCAGAGAATTATTTGCTATAAGCAGTTCTGACAACATTGGCAAAGCTGCTATAAATAATAATGCCTCCTCCTCTGCAATTTAAAATATACAGACTATGTTTCTTCTAATATGTAGAGGTAATAATCAACATTTATTACATGGAAAAAGATCAAGCTAAACAGACAATTTCCTTCCAGAAATTAAATCTGGCAAATTTTGAGATTTGGTATCGCTTTGAAAAGACAAAATAAACCAACTCACAGATGTCTGTTTTGATTTCCTAATATCAAAATTTTAAACTACTTTTTTGGATATGTGTATAATTCTAAATAAATAATAGATTACCAAATTATAAGACAAATTAAGATATCTTAGTTCTGGAAAAAGAGGTAGTGGTGGTCCTTTAGGCTCCTGTCCAAATTTATCCACGATTGGATTTTTGGATCCATCAGCTGAAAATTCAGTCTCAGTTCTGTGGACACTATATCCACTGTATCTATATCCAAGTCTGCTAAAGATTTGGAGAAGTCTGCAAACTCTTCATTTAAATCTTATTTCTGGCTCCTCTGAAAAAAGTTAAAATAAAATTACTATCGATATTTAATCATGCCATAGTTAAAAAGTGATGAATTTGTGATTTAAAAATGTATAGAACATATGTAAAAAGCAGCTAAAACATTTTTTTCACTATAAATTGCTATTTCTCAAAAATTTTTCCACATAATTTTGTTAAACAATTATATGTTATTGCTGTAAACATTTCCAATTTAATATGAAAATATATAAGTGGGTTAACAGATTTGTGTTTGATGTCTTAATCCTTTAAAAGAGGGACGAAAGATACCAGAGGGACATTCAAACTCATATATCGAAAATAAACTGACAATACCATGGCTAATAAAGAAAAAAGACAAACAGACAAACAATAGTACACAAATACAACATAGAAAACTAAACACTAAGTAACACGAACCCCACCAAAAACTCGGGGTGATCTCAGGTGCTCCGGAAGGGTAAGCAGATCATGCTCCACAAGTGGCACCCGTTGTGTTGCTCATTTTAGTACAAACCCGGTAAATAGTCTGATTCGTTAGGTCACATTCGTGAAAAGGGAACGGGATTGTAGTTACGACATTAGGAACATATCCGCTATCATCTGTGAAACGGTTATTTCATAACGGCCAACCAACTCGTGATGGCGTCCGTAAAATTAACGAAGGGATGATTTCAACTTCACCATTTGGAACTCGTGGTTTAAAAGCTTCCTTGTGAGCAGCAACCCTCATCAAGGGAAACATGATAGGAAATACAAACCCGGGAATATCGTATCAATTTGGAGATATATACTCCGTATGCAGGCGCTGCGGGAATGTTGCTACATAGAAATAGTGGTGATTCACGCCACCTCTAGAATAGGCAGTTTCACAAAAACTTTCAAGCCCGGCTTTAATTGCTAATAAAATTGATGTTAATAATTTAGAAAGAGGTTTCGTGGAGCACTTGGAAGACCCAGCAATATACCGTTGTTTGTAAGGACACTTATGTAGTTTAGGTATCCAATACAGTGATGGAAGATCCAGTTCTGCATCTTTGGTTGAAATTCCAAAGGAACAGAGAACAGACCTATGATTATCAAGGATTTCTTCTTTAGTAAGTGTCGTAGGGGTATATGTTGGATTTCCAAGTGAATTGTCAATAACTTATTCATTTATCAAGCAGTTTATGTAATGTGATTTACACACAAAAACGATGTTGTTTGGGGCTTTATCTGCGGGGACAACAGCATATTTGTCATGGAGGTAGGACAAGTGTTTTGCAACATTTTGGTCTTTAAAGATTGACGTAACATGGGTATTGATAGACCCATTCAGTTTCTTAATTCTGATTTGTGTCAACGACCTCACAGCCTAAATCCATTCGGAAAGAGTATATACGCCTCTTTCTCGCGTTTAACCCATTGCCTGGCATAATCCTCGACTGAATCCATCAGTATTTTGAAGTTGTGTTTCCAATTGATGGCTTTAGGCTCACGATATTTCGGACCTTTGGATAACACTTTTCGCAGGGAAGTGTTATTGACAATGTTGAGGTCAGCGGTAATAACGTGGCCAGCCGGATTATATATGAATAAACAGGTGCAATCAGTCGTCAATATTGAGATCCTGCAACACTGGTTTGTAATTGAACATTTTAGTTGCAATTGGTTTGGTATAGGTATTAGAAATGATTGGTACAGACTGATCTTTAAAATAGGGAGGTATTTTCGATTGAATTAATTTATGATGAAGGATATTGCCCAAGTTGACGGCATCGAGACCTTTGTTGGCAAAAGAAAGTTTAAGAAAGGATCTTTTCCTTTTTTATCTTTTCCAATGCGAACTGGTTTGAAAAGTCTGTGACTTGGAATATCCGAAATGATAGCTGTAAGTTTGTATTGGTCTGAATGAGGTTTTGTAACAGTGGTTTCCAACCATAAATTGAACCGATAATGAAGTTTTGAAAGGGGTAATGAATACAGCTTCGTGCGAATGTGACGAATACCTAACGGCTTTTGTATAAATGGCAGCAAGTCATTAATAGAGACACCATGGAGAGTTGACGATGTATAATGACGATGACCATGACTGCGTCTGCGTCGAGGAGTTGAGTTGAAAATATTCATCACATTCACCGAGCTGCAGGAAGGACTAGATAGAATATCTATACCATAAAATTTTGTCATTGTACCCATATGGTGTCGCAGTTCCCAATTGTCGAATCCAGTAGTCTTCTTTTTGTCTACGGAGAGGCGTTGCAGGATGAAGATTGTTAGTTCTGTGGTATATTTTTTCGATAATGCGAACTTGAATGATCAGGCTGGATAAAATGCTGGTAAAGAATGTCGCTTGCATTGTGGTTGATGTCTGATCTATGGCCGCACATACGTTTGTTTAGCCTTCCTTTCGTTTCACGGAAGTAATCCAATCCGCAAAGGTTACACTCTAATCCGTAGACAACATTTATGATTTACAATTCAGATCATCGTAACTTCTGGTATTAAAAATAAGACTTTTTAAGTTTGAGGGATGTATGAAAAACATGAGAATTCTGATTTTGCAAGGTGAGGATGTTAAGAAGTTTTGCTTAAATTGTACTTTTAACACTTTTTAAAACTATATATATCTAGATTATTTGAATTCTTCTGAAAAAATAATAATTATGTAGCCCCATATCATTTAAAAACAAAAATTGTGGATGGAAATTCAAGAACCCACAATTTAAAGTGACAAACTTGAATTTATTCACTGCTTCTAATATACAGTCTATACATTTTTAGTATAAAAATAAGGAGATGTGGTATCATTGCCAATGATACAACTATCCATCCAAGTTCAAATGAAGTGGGTGTAAGCAATTATAGACAACCGTACAGCCTTCAACAATGAGAAAAACCCATACCGTAGGTTTAGCTGACTTCAAAGAATTGTACTCTATTACAGATAAGATTAAAACAAAAATGTCTTTAAATAACTAAGATATGTTTTATGTTTTATGTGATGTATGGTTGCTGTCTGTTTAACATAAACCCAATAAAGCAACATCTCCTTTATTTGTAAATAACCACTCCAAAGATTGATAATATTGTCCGATAAATATTTTTCTGCCAACCTGATCAAGAATTTAACAGCAACAATAAAAGTGGCATTTAAACCTAAATAGTTTTATCACTTAATACATAAACAGAAATATAAAAGAGTAATAACATAGATATAAAGCTTAGTAACATCAAACACTATTACATGTACTGTGAGCGTTACCTTTTTTAACTTCTTTCTCTTCAATGTCAACCTTAACCTCTGTATCTGGGTTGTCATTGGAATTTGAGACGACCTCTGAATTAGCAGGAACAGGAATTGAAGCCTCCGTATTCACTGGTACCCCAGGTTCTGATAAAACAGTAGGTAAAGTTTCTGATGTATGGTCAGACTTCCTACGATTGTGTCGATTTGACCTGTATCGTCTTCGCTCACAACCATACTTCCCTCTACTGATTTCAGTTGTGGAACATAAAATATTTCATTTTTCTCTAAATTAAGATGTCTAATCCTAAAAATACATAAAAATATATATTGTTGTTGTTACATTGCCCAAGTATACAAATGACCAGAATTCAGTTAAAAGCTGCTTAATTGTTAAGCATTTTCAAGTTTAAGATCAACAATAAACTTCACTCTCAGAATGTTACTTAGTTCCAACCTTTCACACTATATACATTTAAAAATCTATAACTTGAACCCATGAAATAAGTTTGGTAATAAATATGCTCTTGAAAAGGTAATGGTATCAAGTAAGTATATTAATGGTGCAATTACTATTTCTTCTCGTGGAGTATCTGTGTTTCTTTCACAGTGAAATGTCATGTTCCCTAATACTGTAAACCGGGAAATTTTCGCGCCGTCTTTTTTTCGCGATTTATTAACACAATCTAAATTCACGTTATCCCGGTGGTTTATATAGATATTTTCATTAATGATTTAGAAAGTGAGCAGCTTTATATATTTTGTAAATCAGGTGATAAAATCAATCATAAGTCTTTTTTGTCGGTTCATAAATGACAAAGTAGATTAAAAGTTAGGTCATGTTTGATTGTAAAATCACATACACAATAACCAGAAAAGAAGACCTACTTAAGAGTGAATTAAATGCTGCGAGGATTAATACTAATGAATCGATCTTTTGATCTGATTTATCTGTGTAGCAGATGCAATGAGGTAATAATTTTAAAATTGGTTGACAGTTGTCATTAACATTTTTGTAACGAGTGTTGTTTACATAACAATATCCGTAATGTCCGATTGCTTGAGATGTCTTCCATGTTAATAAGATAAACTTCAATTGCATTAAAGTTATGATTTCTAACATATCTTTTCATTTAGAAATACAGTTATGATTTGAGGTATAGATCTGTCGTCTGTTAAATCGATTGGTCCCCTTGGTCCCCTACATATTCTATTCACATAAGCATATTGTATCTTTTCATCTTATCATTCTTATGAATACATAGTTTACTTGAAATTTTCGCGGTCGTTTTATTTTTTGCGTTTCAATTCTTACCGCAAAAATAGCAAAAATAAAACTGCCGAGAAAAATTTCCCTGTTTATAGTATACAATATATACACTATACATAAACAGAATGATAATGAAACCTACAATTGAATTTATAACATAACTATTGAGATTCAAAACATGAAAAAAGAAGAAAAAAAAGAGAGAACTAAACAGCTCTGAATTTCAGAAATAGTGAATCAGCTTACCTTCTTAGACCAGCTAAAGCAGCAAATAAGGCAACATAACACAACTTGTTATCATCCAGCATCAGTATCTCTAAGTTACGGAAGCGTGGAATCTTTCTTTTACTGTAAAATGAGAAAATTGTTGTTTTTTTTTTTTTAGAATCGAGTGTTTATGGCAGATCTTTGTCTCTGCTTAATTCATTAACAGCTTTTTAGACTTGGGGCAACATATTGATGTTGATCTCTAGATGTTTTTACTCGTTTTTGTCTTTCTGTTCCAGTCTCATGACATATACACAACATCTCTTTTTATATATTGACTCATTTGTATTTAAAGTTAATGGTACACTACATCTTTGTGCTTGGTAAATAATTAAAAAGAATGTGGGTGTCCTTGTGTTTTTATGTTGTTTCAAACGTTTCTTCCTTTTGGTGTTTGAGGGGACCGCCAATTTTGTACTTCTTTTTTGGTGGCAAGTAAATTTGTCACATGTGAGCATTGATCACTCCTTTTCTTATTGTTTCCAATTATTTTCCCTTAATTAATATTTTCTAGCATGAAATCATGAAGCCGTTCAATTTCAAAAAGTTTCTTGTTAATGAAAATACACGACAAATTATTTAAAGATATCCTTTTATCGTCCATATCTGTGAAGTGATAAGCAGGTGACTTTGTGCGCATTTTCATGTTTAGAATTGTAATGATGGTAATAATAAACAGTGCCCTAAGTAAATTATTGACAAGTACAACCAACAGATCATTGAATTAATTTGATCTCATACAATCCATCACATAATAACAGAAGTACTTGTAATCTGTAACTAGAGTGGTTAAAGTTTTTGAAATTTTAATAACTTTCTTAAACTATCCTGGATTTCTACCAAACTTGGACAGAAGCTTGTTTATGATCATAAGATAATATTCAAAAGTAAATTTTGTAAAAAAAAAATTCCATTTTTTCCATATTTTACTTATAATTGGACTTAGTTTTTCCGCCAGGAAACATTACATTCACTCTGTGGTTAAAGTTTTTGAAATTTTAATAACTTTCTTAAACTATCCTGGATTTCTACCAAACTTGGACAGAAGCTTGTTTATGATCATAAGATAATATTCAAAAGTAAATTTTGTAAAAAAAAAATCCATTTTTTCCATATTTTACTTATAATTGGACTTAGTTTTTCCGCCAGGAAACATTACATTCACTCTGTGGTTAAAGTTTTTGAAATTTTAATAACTTTCTTAAACTATCCTGGATTTCTACCAAACTTGGAAAGAAGCTTGTTTATGATCATAAGATAGTATCCAGAAGTAAATTTTGGAAAAAAAAATTCCATTTTTTCCGTATTTTACTTATAAATGGACTTAGTTTTTCTGCCAGTTAAAATAACATTCACTCTGTGGTTAAAATTTTTAAAATTTTAACAACTTTCTTAAACTATCCTGGATTTTTACCAAACTTGGACAGAAGCTTGTTTATGATGAAAAGGTAGTATCTAGAAGGAAATTTTGGGAAAAAAAAATTCCAAATTTTCCGTATTTTACTTATAAATGGACTTAGTTTTTCTTCCAGTTAACATTACATACAGTCTGCAGTTCAAGTTTTTAAAACATTTATAAGATTCATAAACTATCCTGGATTTTTACCAAACTTGGACAGATGCTACTTACAATCAAAAGATAGTATAGAGAGGAATATTTTTATTAATTTTTTTCCTCATTTTTGTTGAGACTGCTATTAACAGCAAAAGTAGGCGAGACACTGGGTTCCGCGGAACCCTTACGAATTTTTTATTAGTTTTCTTAAAACTGATATTATGTGTACATTGGGTATGTCCATCTTAACTATGGTAATCCCCTGGATATAATTTTATATTCTTGGGTCCATTTAGTTGACACTGAATAGAGTTTTACCTCTAAGGTAGGGTAATCCCCTGAAGATAATCTTATAATCCTGAGGCCATTCAGTGGAATGTTCAGTTCTCTGATTATTGGAAAACCTCTAAAAGCCTCTGAAAGTATACAGTCTCATCTGAGTACAAATAACAGAATGACGATACTGACAAATCATCATTAAAATTTAACAACTCTTAGAATCATTGAGTTCCTGTGTAAGTTTACAAAAGAAACCTTTAATGATTTGTGTAATTGTAAAAACATAATATTTGAATAATCTTGAAAGAGAAAATAAACATAAGTCATCTACTTTTATCAACATGAAGATTTTTTTTAAATTTCATAAAGATAACTGACATGAAACTTGAGTTATCAAGAGGCATGCCCCTGATTGTCAAATGTTTATTGTTGATTAAAGCTCCTTAATTCTAACACAAGAAATCTGATTGTTGTCAAAATTAGAAGAAGCTTTTTCTAATTATGGACACAAATATTGTGTAAAAAGTTTGTTCCAAATGGTGGAACTTTCAACAATTGAAGTCCTATTACTATAAAAATCAGTTCCTAAAAATCATCATATTATCAAGAAGTATGCAATGGAATCCAAATTCCTGTAATAATTTTGTCAACATTGAGATATTGAAGGATGTGCTAGGACATACAGACAAATGAACTATAGTATATCATTTAAAAAATTAAGGACCAATAATGACGAAAGTAATTTACATCTAAATTGTTACAGTCCTAAAAGTAAATAAATACAAAAAGGGAGATAATTTTCAGAAGCATTCACATATGCAACATTATCAAAAAGTAAAAATCTTAATTCTTCTTTAAATTCTGACAATTCTTTTCTAGCTATGTTGACTGAATATAAATCTGTAAGGTCTTCTACACAGCAGTGTCTCATCTATAAGAAATAAAATTATTTATTAGCATATAAACATATAAAGCAGGTACTAACTGATTTTTAATATCAAAATATCTTTTTATAATTTGGCTGTTTGTCTCTTGTGGTTCAAACAATGGTATTATATGAAAAAAGAGAATATACATTTATAATTAACTCATCATAGATACCAGAATGAAATTTTGCATTTGCGCCAGACGCGCGTTTCGTCTACAAAAAAACTCATCAGTGACGCTCGAATCAAAAAAAGGAAAAAAGGCCAAATAAAGTATGACGTTAAAATATACTGGAACACCTCCATCAACAAGAACATGAGTTTTTAAAATATTAATCTTATAGTATATAAAAAAACATCAATTTTTTAAGTGTCAGAAATTTTACCTTACAAGTTACAACATCATAAACATGTTTTACCCAACCACATTATTTATGTGCCTGGAGCCTGCACGTCAGTGGTTGGCGTTGGTTTCAAACTCCGTACAGTGATCGTTTCCGTTCCGGAACTTTTTTCCTTTACTCCATCAATCACTGCCACCGGCTTTCGAAATTCGTTCCAAAATTTGGAACGAATATCTACGCAAATATATTTTCTCAGAACCATTAGTTACCGGCTTGAAAAACGTCAATTTTATAATGTCTTTCTAAAATTTAAACAACTTTTCCTAGATATAAAAAATGAGAATTAAATTTACGCACAACGACAGGACTTTTTTTATGCATGTATCCTTATCTACGTTATCCTCCCCAACCCTTTCGAAAGTAAATATGGAGGGAAAAGTGAATGATTGTGAATCAGATATAGATTTAATGTATGTTAGGCGTAAGTCCAAAGGAAAAACAAGCCCAAACGCTGCAACATTTACTTGACCAGGAACAAATGATTTAAATTTGATTTTGCGGTTGTCAACGGAGAAAGCTTAGAGTTAGAGTGACATAAACTTCAACGTGTTGAAGGCGGTCATTACAAAGTAGAAGTACCAATTAAGTTCTGCAAGCCTTTCCTTTTCTCACACAACATTATGAACATAAATGGAAATCTTTAACCCATTCATAGGCGGATCCAGCCCCCGGGCAAATTTTGGTTTATGTAGGGAATCGCTGAAGCATGCCTGGAGCAGCCCTCCTCCCCCTTTTTTTCGGTCAGTCAGTGCCCCCCTTTATAAAAAGTTCTGGATCCGCCACTGCCATTGTTACATTACTCCAGTAAATTGACCCTATATAATTTTTTGACATTCCAAAAAAAGCAGCCCAGACCTGTGTTTACCTTGATCAGAATGAGAAAACAAGGGATCATATTTCTCTTGAGGGATTGTCTTTCAGACAAATGGGTTATTTTCCTGTGCATGCGGTAGAAAAGAAAAAAAAACTTAGCATTTTAACTTAAAAGGGGGTTAGGGAATTCCTTACATTTTTCTGTGGGAAAAGTTTTTGCAAATAATATAAATATGTTCCCTTTTCACTCTTTTGTACTTTCACTATGATAAGACATTTCAGTATGAAATCTCAGTATGAATTAAGAGGTTGTCAGTTAGATTGCAACCCTACAATTTTACATATATAAACTTAGACTCTTAGTATGCATCATGAACATATAATAGTGTATCACTATTATATGTTCATGATGCATATAATAGTGTATCACTATTATATGCATCATGAACATATAATAGTGATACACTTAGAGACCAATATGCAGTCTTTTAACTTCACACATTTGTGACTAATTACCAAATGGCAATGTTAACCTTCTCTTCAATATGTTAATACATGGTGAGATTCAGCATATCAAAGAACCAGAAGAATTTAATTTTTGATGAAAACCAACTAAGTTTAGTTTTGTTTTCATCACCTAATTCCTAAATACAAATGTACTAGTAGATAAGACAATAACCCCCAAAATCTATCTCAACCTTCATTTTGTGGTATGGAACCTTGTGGTATTATTTCATACAGATCCTTCACTTATACTTTAGTTATTGTCTGGAAACTAAATGTTTTCTGATGATGACATTTGTCGATGATCACCATACCATTATACAGCCACAAAATTTTTTAGCAGTTGTATAAAAAAATGATATATGCAGTTTAAATTTATGTTACTTCTGAGAAGGAAAACAAACCTGCCCCCCCCCCCCCCTTTTAATCGATGAATGGTAGGTGTAATAGTGACAGTCCCAATAATTATGAAACCTATTCTCGTTCAAGAATTTTACCTAGACACCTATGAAATAATAAGGGGCCCCGCTGAATGGGGGTCGCCATATAGTAGTCTGTCCATCCGTCTGTAACAAATTGTGTCCGCTCTATATCTAGAGAACCCTTATAATTTCATACTTTATACATGACATGTGTATTAACCAACACCAGAGGGTGTGTCATAATGTTTGTATAACTTCCTAGGTCAAAGGTCAAGGTCAAAAACTTTGGTCTTAAATGACAACCCCATGTCCTATGGTAAAGATCGTGTCCACTCTATATCTTGAGAACCGTTATGATTTCAAAGTTTATACTTGACATGTATATTAGCCAACACAAAAGGGTGTGTCGTAATGAATGTACAACTTCCTAGGTCAAAGGTCAAGGTCAAAAACTTTGGTTTCAGTTGAAAACTCTATGTCCTATATTAAAGATACAAATTTTTTACCACACGTTATTTACAGCGGGGCCCACAGAGCTGGCTCCCATCTCAATGATATCTAGTTCTTTCAAGTTCTGAACCTTGCTGCATTAGTTTTTATTATTCTATTTTTATTTCTGGTCATCAAAAAAATTATCTTGACCCCTTCTCTCTTACATGTACTCTTTACTTTAACTGCACATTAACCAATATCAATTATTTAATATACACGATTGGGGACTGGGTTTTAAGCTAACAGATACCTTGGTAGCTGTTACATCCAAATTATGTCCTGATACTCTTGGCATTAACAATAATTGTTATTGTAGTTGTGTGCATTAAACCAGTGATGAATATATGTACTGTAAATCAATTGCTACTATTTCAAGTTGAAAAGGACTGTGGTCCAATGTCCTGTTTGTCACTGCTAAATTATTGTCCCACTAGCAACTAAATCATCTCATAATTTTTATTCAGTAGGCAAACAAAAACTGGAAGCTACATGGAGCCTGAATTTCACATCTGGTAAAATATGCCATATTGATTTTAACATCAAATTTAGGACATAAAATAATTGTCATTGTAGTAATAAAGGTAATCTTATGCATAAAATCTACCATTTAATCAAAAGCGAACATGATGTACCCATTTTCATGATTTTGAGATCCAGTTAATCCTGTTTGCACAATAATAATTCATTTGCAAGATAACTTTTATTACTGTTTTCTTTTTGTTGATAGCAGATCTTTATTTTTTGAGCTAATTTTAATATATTCACACTTTTCGAAGAATGGACAATTGAAAGTTAAAACTTGTCTGTTTTGGAAAACTGTATGTAACTTAAGTCTTGATTCTTGTGTTGTTGGAATGCTGTCCAATGGACCTTTACCCAACATCTCCTTGTATTCATATGCTTAAATCTTGCTTGGCAAAAACTGAGAAAAAAATATTCTTTATTTCTTTTTTAATTATTAACAACAATATGTTCATGATAAAATTATATATGAAGACATACAATTTTTTCAAAACAATTAATAAAATGGAAATTAATATTAAAAAATGCACACAAAGTTTCATGTGCAACTGGTATGCACTCCAATTCACTCATTGAAACATGAATGATCCTTGTTTGAGATTGCATTAGTCACTGTCTTGTCTGAAAGTTTTTTGAAAGTGTGAGTCTATTCCATTTGTGTATTTAATCTACAGGCTTTCAATGCTTCTCATGTAACTTGATAATCTTCCAAAGATCAGGTTGACATCATTGTGATCTGAAAATATAATAACACATTTTTTTTTACTTTGTAACTTCTGGTTTTGATGTATGTATGGGATGTTATATGGTATGCCATTGTTTTCCCATCCATCCATTCAAATGTCAACATTTTGTTCAATATCTCAAAGGAGAAGTGGTTAAAAGGTTATCATTTGGCCCAAATATTACTTCAAATTAAAAAGTTACCCTAAATATTTTAAAATTTGTCCAAACTAGACTAAGGTACAAGGTATTCAGAAAATATTGACTTTTTTTAGCTCACCTGGCCCAAAGGGCCAAGTGAGCTTTTCTCATCATTTGGCGTCCATCGTCGTTAACTTTTACAAAAATGTGTTCAATGACCCCGCCTGCCAACCAACATGGCCGACATGGCTAAAAATAGAACATAGGGGTAAAATGCAGTTTTTGTCTTATATCTCTGAAACTAAAGCATTTAGAGCAAATCTAACAAGGGTAAAAATATTCATCAGGTTAAGATCTATCTGCCCTAAAATATTTAGTCGAATCAGACAACCGGTTGTTGGGTTGCTGCCCCTGAATTGGTAATTTAAAGGAAATTTTGCAGTTTTTGGTTATTATCTTGAATATTATTATAGATAGATATAAAACTGTAAACAGCAATTATGTTCAGCAAAGTAAGATCTACAAATAAGTCAACATGACCAAAATTTTCAAATTGACCCCTTAAGGAGTTATTGCCCTTTATAGTCAATTTTTAACAATTTTTTAGTGTAGAGTAGTATGCGGATCGGAGCTGGAACTGCCGGGGAGTTTGCGTTGGTTTGTGTCTGAAATATTTGTTTTTCGTGAATTGTTTTGTAAAAAATTAGACCGTTAGTTTCCTCGTTTGAATTGTTTCACATTTTTTATGTCGGCCGACTATACAATATGGATTTTCTCATTGTTGGAGTCCAAACGGTTGCCTATAATTGCTAACATCCACTTCATTTGAACTCTAGTGGAAAGTTGTCTCATGGGCAATCATACCACTTCTCTTTTTTTTTATGTATCAGTTGTGTTTGTTATGCATTTTCCTAACTATTCAGGCTTTAATGGTAATACAATGAGTATCCTAAAAATTTAATAAGTAAACATAAAATACTTTTTAACAATTGTCAGCTTCATCACACAATCAACTATAAAAAGAATATCAACAATTTCATATTAAATTAATCATAATAATCAGAGTTTTAAACAAATACTCTTGAACAGGTTACAAAAACAATAAGAATCTTTTTTGATTATGAATATATTGTGATAATAAAATGTGAAATGTATACCAAGAAGAAACCATCCAATGCGGGTGCCTCCTGCTGTTCTTCTTCATCTTCATCCAAGTTTGGAATTTCAGCAGGATTAAAGGATGTGCCTTCACGGTCTGATCGTTTTCTTTCTTCTTTTATCTGTGCATATGTTTTTGGCTTTGTACATAGCACAGCCTTAAATCTTCTTCTTTGCTTTGCTCTGCTTTTTGTTCAAACAGCCATGCACCACTGACTGTAAAGTAATATTATAGCATATAATGGTGTTCACGAAATATTGGGCCCTTTACATGAGGTGGTTTTATTCAGAGGGAGATCTAGAATGAACAATTAAATCAAGCCTCATTGATATGACTACTGGTAATTAGAATCATTAGAATTTGTTTCATTCCATTCAATGAAGCTTTAACAATGACAAGATTTATAGGCATGCAGTCATTCCCAATGGACCAAATGACCAGTAAATTTTTTATTTTGTCCAAATCATATGTGTGAATGTCCTTTAAAAAAGAGTCTGGTCCAGTTAAAAGAAGTCAGATATATTAAAAGCAACATAATACATTTTTGTTGATATTGTTTAACCCTTGTAAGTAAGAAAGGACATCAGTATTATTGTACAAATTGATGAAATTTCTTGAAATATGACATTCACTATAGTTTGCAACAGACTTCCATAGAAAGAAGTATTTTTTGAAATATTAAAACTTCTTATTTTAACTTTCCTTTTGTCTTGCTGTTAAATTCAGCAACATTGATGTCCCTAAATTAATTAACATATGATATTGGCCAGTGTTTAAAATTTTCTGGAAACTGATTGGCTGCATTGCAACTATTTTGGTCTAAAAAACAAACGGTTTTCAAGGATTCTCTGTTCCCAAAATATCACATCAGCAGATGATAATGTTGTCCTGTAGTCTTTTATTTTTTATTTTATAAAAATATGATACCACTAGACTCAAACAGTTGATATTTTTTCAAAGAATTTTTTTATTTTTATTAATTGACGTGTTATGATCTTTCGTATAATTTAATAAATACTTTCAGTTCGGAATCATTACTTGGATGTTAAGTTCCAAGGAAATCAACATTTAGTGAAGAAATATTGAAAAATGTAGCTCTTTGATGAAAACAGTAGTACTACAGAACATAAAAGTCTGATCCTAAACATGCTTTGTATAAAAAGTAAAACCCATAAGATGTAAGAGGTATGCCCGAAAATTAATTGCATTATTTAAAATTAGATATTATAATTTCTACTCTTTCACCATGAAGAGATGTCTAATGTTTACTTTGCATATTGCCAGATTAATGTTCATATTTTTCATAGGATAAAAATTGTGACATTTTGTATTGTTGTGCATGTGCAATTTTGTGATATACAGGCTGTGATAGATGATACAAATTAATTTAAAGTGTATTCTGTATGTATGAAAAGTTGTTCAAGGTGCACAGATGTGAGTGCTTTTTGTTATTTAATAAATGTTTACAAACCTATAGCAGTTTTCTCATGAAAATTATTTAAAGCATAATAGCTGAAGAAGTAAGATTTCACAATAATTCTTTTTCCAGTATGTTTGTTTTCATCCCCTCGTTACATCTTATCCTTCCCATTAACACAAATGACACCTGCACCATGAAATAGTCTGATTGCTTCTATTTCAATTATTGGTTGCACACACGAGAAAACAAGAAAAAACAGTGAGTTTTCCACTTTCAATAGTCTTTGATTCATGTCAAGTATTACAACTTTCTTTGCTGTCAAGAAGTTATTAAATCAAGTCTACATATTAACTTGATTTGTTTCATTGGACAGTAAAAAAAATAAAATAGTAAATATCCCAAGGTTGATGAATTAAATGAACTTAGTGTCTCACAAGTGTTTGAAGTCGTGTTTATGTAAATTTTTCGATTCTTGAATGAATTGGAGTGATCACTGTTTTTTCTTGAGAGTAATATGACAAATAATCCATGCCAAAAACTCAGAGGCTTCTAATTTTGTATGCCAGACACATTATTTTGTCTCCAAAAGTTTCAGCAGTAAAATGTAATGAGCTGTATTGCATGCTATGGATAATAGATTGACAATAGGTGATTTAAATTGTGTAACTGAATGGACTATATCAAGCGATACTCAGGTGTTTATCTATTTTGCCTTCTTCTGCAGACTATAAAAAATTTCAATTTTCTGAAACATGAAATTCACATAACTTTTATATATCTAGGTCCAGCCATGCCTTAAAACTTTTCTAGATGCACCTGTTTGTCTGTACTCATGAGTAGATTTTGTGATGTAAACATGAACCATATTTGTCAATTCCTTTTGATGAACATTAATTGTCGAAATGTGCATCTGTTGCAATAAAATTGGCACCGTTAATGTTTTATATTATGCATAGATGCCAAGTGAATGATTCAAATTTCGTGAGTTTTCATTGTATTTTTGTTGGTACAGTAAATCTTGTTTACCTCTATATGTTTTTTGAATATCTGGAGTGATTCATTTTCTGGTGTAATGGGTTCTGTATTAGATGGCTTTTACTGATACTTTAATGAATATTCAAAAGGCTTTGTCCTTTCACAAAACCAATTGGGCACAATGTTTTTCCCAAGTTGCAGTTTAAACTCATCTCATCAAACTGATCAACTGGTGCAAAATATTTGCCCATGGCAAGTGCAGTGTCTATCTTTGTGGGTGTTTAAATAATGTCCTATACAGGAACTTAAGACGGACGTCAGGTGCAGTGTGAAAACATTCTCTTCCTCAGTCCAAATCGAAGTAATTAACGTAAGTGGAAGGGAAAATAAATTCTATAACAATGAATTAATCATTTGACCAAATATGTTATTTAAGAAAGTACTGCATGTGAACCTGAAGGATAATCATTGTGTTGCTTGTCAAATGGTTTTTGAAGAGAGCCTTTGTAAAGCACTATAGAGAAATTTATTGTTGAAATGTGCATATGGTGCAGAAATAAGGCATTGTTAATGTTATTAAAGACTAACGATCTGCTTTGTCGACTTATGGATCATTATGAAAAAGAGGAGATGTCGTACGATTGCCAATCAGACAATAATTCATCAGAGACCAATTGACATGCTATTAGATGTTCACAACTAAAGGTCGGCGTACATTGCAATTTTCATATTCTAAAAAAATATATATCATTGGTATACACATTGGCAAATTGATACCATTTGTACTTTCTAATGTTGTATGTTATCAAAAGGGAAAGTGAGTAAACCATTAATTCCAAATAAGTGAAATATACCACTGAAAGTTATGAAGGCAGATGAAAAAGAGAGCTGATTTTGTTTTGTTTTTTATTTCAGTATTGTCAATTTTTAAATATGGAGAATTCAGTTATAAAATTTCCAAGTAAATAAAAAGGGTTCCATTACCTTAACATTGTATTTTGCGAAGAACATCGGAATTTTGAAAACATTTTTTCCTCATGAGAACAATTTAAGATCTGAAAAACTTAAAAACGAAATTTTGAAAACATTTGAGCCCCATGAGAACAATTCAGGATATGGAAAACTCAAAACGTGGAACAGGGTAATTTAAGGACTTCCATGGTCTAGTTACTAGTATTGCTCCGTGATCAACAGAAACATTAGGCTTATCTGAAAGTGCCCCAAGAAAGCATATCAACAAACCAAACATTGTTTTTGAATTTCATGATAAGATCAGCCCTTGATACTTTTGTTTGTTTTGTTATCTGACTGTATCTATGAACACTTAATCAATAATTGAACTATACAGTTAATGTTACTGTTTCTGGTTATGCTACTAGAAGGTGACAAATTTCTGTGTTTATATTTATTTCTAATATCAATCAAATTTGATTTTTATCAACGATTAGAATTTACGATGGGAGGTCATAACTTATTCTGTTCTTCGTTCCAAATTGTTCTTGTCAATTTTGTTACCATGATGTAAAAAATATTTCGTAAGTAAAATTACCGTCCTTTAAAAAAATAGAATAATTAAATTCAAAGGGAACCAACAGTGCTCCTCCTCTAGCTGGTGTGTTCCTATATTTGTATGAGGCTGTCTTCGTGGCACAGATGGACTACTTCATACTATGACAGTCCTCATTTTGTCAACTTTCCATTTATCAACTTCCCATTTCTTAGTATTAACATACCTTCTGTCCCATCTTATGGCGCGAGCATTGATAGAACACGGTCTTACATGTTCACACTACACGTACTTCATTAGCAGGGGTGTTCTCCTTACACAAAAACTGTTCCAACAGAGAAATTAAAAAGAACGACTGCAATCGACACTACATATGTGTTACGGTCTCCTTCACGAGTTGGTTGACCGATACGATGTTTCTTGATCTCAATTGACAAGCGATATTTTTCCCACCATCTTCTATCTTTAGTTACCACAACTTTTGTTTGATTTGTAAAATTACCGATTGTGCCTTTCCCCATTGTGACATTTGTAATAAGTGTGGAATCGCAAGCATAGCAGGAGACGCTTACCATGTTAACACACCTGGTCTTGATTCTTTTCGAGTTCATGTGATTTCTTCAGTTTTTGTTTTTTACCTTGATTTGTAACTTTTTAATTGATTTATGATATTTAGCATTAGTTAACTACTGTTGTCTCGAGTTCAAACAGAAGAATGATAAGCTAGCATTATCCCTTAACTTCACATTCCCCTTTGTATAAGATGTCGTCTCACTGAATATTTCAAAATGGAAAAAAACGCTTCATAAAGTTGGTGTGTCTGAAGTGCTTTTCTGGATCATCTTCACCAGGAACGCACAAGCACACAAATCTGAAAGCCAAAGGTGTATCAATACTTGAATATTTTAGGATCGTTATGACTAAAATGCACCTTAATAGGTAAGAGGCAACAGTACTATACCGATGTTTAAAACTCGTAAACCCAGTTGTAGAATACAAACAAGATTAAAAAAAATGAGGGAATTTAACGAACTCCAAACGGACCGAGATAGGAGGGGTATGTTAAGCATCTCCTGCCATGCATGCATCGACCGTAATGCGAATCTAGAATCAGTCAAATAGTCACAAATGGAAATAGAACACACAAACGGCAACTTAGGGAATCGCATAAACTCTATAAGGATTGAGACAATGTGCTCCGTGAGGATACGCGTCATGCATATATGCATGCAACACCCATCATGAGAATTCACACTTAGGAATTGGACACAATCTGTACAATTACAGATCAGATGACTATACTGGTATCTAGAGAAAAAAGATCATGAAAACATGTCTCAATGAGTTAAGACACAGGACAGGTATATTATATCGGTCAACAAATTCGTGATGATGACCGTAAAACTTATGTAGTGTCGATTTCAGTCTTTCTTCCTCATAACTCTGTTGGAGCAGTTTTCATGTAAGGTGCACATCCGTGTTAATAAAGTCCGTGTAGTGTGAACATGCACGAGCGTAATGTTTTAAATGAAATATGTTAGTATCATAAGGTATGTAAATGCTGAGAAATAGGAAGTTGACAATTGGAAAGTTGAATAAAAATCAGGTTTGTCATAGATACTAGTTTGAAGTCGTCTCTCTGAGCCACGAAAACTGCGTCACAGGACAAAGGAACAAATCGGCTAGAAGAGGATAGAAGAGGAACACAATTGGTTTCCATTGAATTTTATGATTCTAAATATTTTTGAAAAAAATGAAGGGAAATTTAAATTGAAAAATATTTAAGTCAATCCCTGTTAATGAAGTTTGAATAGTGTGAAAATGCACGAGCGTTACGTACTCACTGCATGGATATGTAAAACGCTATACGATGGAGCAGAGGGTATGTTACTGCTGAGAAATGGAAAGTTAACAATTGGAAAGTTGAAATCATCACTTTTGTTATAGATCATACTTTGAAGTAATCCATCTGAGTGTGTCAATATGGAAGAAAAGATCAAGATAATTAGACCTTCTACTTTCGGTAGTATCCTTAATCTCGAGTTCACTAGGATATATGAGATGTAAGCACTCATTGAAATGTGGAAAATGGAGTGACAGCACATCATCGATATATCTGAAAGTGAAATTAAAGAACTTTGCACGATGCTTTTTCTTTTGTCTTTGAGAGGGCTCTGTATACATTCTGCTTCATATGAGTACAATAACAAGTCGGTCAGTAGCAGTGCACTATAAGTACACATTGGAATACCGACTATCTGCTGAATACCGGTATTAATCCACCAAACTCAACAAGAAAGTTTCTTGAACCCATCCATGCAGTCATAGGGGTACGCAGCCTTTCGCAGAATCAAGCTGATGTCCGCGACCCGCGTTGGCGTGTCCAGGGGGTATATGATAACCCTCATCCATGACCTTGTTGGTGAAGGTGTTATCACATCCCATGATCTCTTTGACTTTCCGAGAACTTCCCTCGAGTATCTGTGGGAGTCTCTCTTGTGACACGTTATCTTTGTAGATCATGATCCCGTCGAACACCAGTGATCCAACTTCAATGTTCTGGCCAGTCAACGACGTCATTGCCAAATTTACACCTTTTTTGTTGGCGTCTTTGTTAGATTTGAATTTGTATGTTTGTTTGGAATTTTTAGTCAGTTTTGTAGTATGTCTGTGATGTATGTTTACACAATTTTGGCTGCTGGATCCCAATTATTGTCACATATACCTATACGTCTGTTTGGGTTGTCACACAATTGTTGTCAATATAACGGAACTATACACAACTGTTATACAAAAGGGAAGTTTAGCTAGCTATAAAACCAGGTTAAACCCACCATTTTCCTCGGAAAATGCCTGTACCAAGTCAGGAATATGGCAGGTATTTTTCACTTGTTCCGTTGATTGATAGCGTTTGATTTTGTCAGTTATTATGGACTTCCCTTTTTTAATTTGCCTTGAAGTTTTTGAGGTATTTTTGTTTTAATATTTTTGTAATCGTTACTTTTCTTCTCCTTTGACTTCTTTGCCAGATTGAGCAAGTTTGGTCTCAATTATATCGCGGAAGTCATGATGTGACGCATCCCAATTCAATACTCCTTAATCATTCAGGGTTCTCGGGTGATCGCTTTCCCGTTAAAAATGACCAGGAAGGGTTTCTTGGCATCGTCTCTGCTCATCTCGCAGCGCGTCAGAAGATCCACAAGGTTCTCATTTCTGTGTTCGATGTACCTGTCTAGTCCTCTGCTCTCTATTCCATTCTCAAGACAATACAAGGGCAGCAATCACGGGTGCGTGTTCTTTATATCGATGTCGTACATACTGTACTGGCACAATGTGTGTCTAGTGCGCCAGCTCATGTTTCTCCGCGGTCCAGTATCTTCCAAAACCGTTTCTCTGGTAGTATATCATCTTTCTCTCTCCTCACCCGTTCAGCCGCGAAAGGTAGTCATTTATGAGTGTCAGTTACGCGTTCTTGGAATATACGTGATCGATCATAGCTTCTAATGAAGATGTGGCTGTCATACCCGGCCAGCTTGTGGAAGAACACAGGGATAAACTTCTGCACTTTAAAGTTCATGTTGCTCTCGTTGTGGGCCGCACCCTTGTACTTCCCTGTGAAGTGACAGCGATTCCTAACCTTGTTTTTCTTACCTCTCCGTATTAACGCTAGCAATGGTTTTCCGTCTGATGGATCTCTTGTCCTCTGCTGTCATTACCATTGACTTGTTAAAGTCATTTTCGGTGAAGTGGGACATGAAGTCCTTCTCCAACTTTTCAACAAAGATCTGCGCCACATCCCCTTCCCTCAGCATGTTGTTGAGCACCGTCACATTGGTGAAGACATTGTCGTCAAACCACTTGATGTAACAACTAAACCCCGACGGTGTGTGATTCTGAAAGGCTGTGGTGTGTGGTTTGGAGGCCTCACCGTTTCAAATTTTCCAAGATCTCGCGCTCTTTGTCGACTCTTTGTGGGAAGTCTTTCAGTTTTCCTTCTACCACCTTTAAATGAAGGCAACAGTAGTATACCGCTGTTCAAAAGTCATAAATCGATCAAGAGAAAACAAATCCGGGTTACAAACTAAAACCGAGGGAAACACATCAACTATAAGAGGAAAACAACGGAACAACAGAAACACTGAACTGCAACAAAAACAAACGCCAACATACATAAAAACGGACTATTTGATAACAACTGCCATATTCCTGACTTGGTACAGGACATTTTAAGACAAAATGGTGGGTTGAACCTGGTTTTATGGATAGCCAAACATCTCGCTTATATGGCAATGCTAAAAAATACCGCTAAATTGACAACACTACGTGACAGGAATACAGTACAAACAAACGCAAGAACACTCAGCACAGGGAAATACATAAATGAATAAAATAACAGTACATTACAACATGTAAACCGCAGAATAACAACGGACATCTCCCATGAATTAACGACAGCACAGGACGCCACAAAAAGTGGCGTATTTTTGTGACGTATATATTATCACAGGTAATCTTGAAATTCATACAATTATATGGAATGAGATCCAAAAATTCACAATTATTTTCACAATACTAGTCCAAATAATTATCATGATTATCAACGGTTTTGAAAGGCTATTTTAAATGAATGCTGTGACGACGTCATAATTATTTGGACTAACACAATACTTTATCCATGGAAAATGGAAATTAACTCGACTATACTGACAAATAAGACATATATAAAATGTACCGAAAATACAGAATTCAAACCACAAACGATCAGACATAACACAATATCTAAGCGTACTTACAATAAAAACAACAAACTAAATACATAGATGTTGGATGTATAAATACCGAGACACGTCGTATAGCAGTGCGAATTCACACTCGGCAAAACAGTCATATTTGGGAATAGGTCACGTTCGGTGCTTAGCAGACAGACGACGTAGATGGTAAACCACAATCTAAGACGTGGTAAAAATGTCGTTAGTTAGTTTAGACACAGACACATCGTATAGATCAACCAAATCGTGAAGGTGTCCATAAAATTTACGCGGAGTGTCATTTTTAATCTTTCCTCCTCATAACTCTGTTGGAGCAGTTTCTGCGTAAGGAGCACATTCCTGTATATGGAGTCCGTATAGTGTGATCATGCATGAGCATAACGCATCAGTTGAGATATGTTAACACCATACGATGGAGCAGAGGGTATGTTACTGCTGAGAAATGGGAAATTGATAATTGGGAAGTTGAAACCATCCCGTTTGTCATAGATTTTAGTGTGAAGTCGTCCATCAGTGTCAATATTGAGGAAAAGATCAAGGTATGAAGCAGTCCTTCTAGTATCAGTAGTATCCTTAATTTCAAGTTCACTGGGATATATGAGAGGCATGTACTGACTGAAATATGGGTTATTCAGTGATAGGACATCATCAATATATCTAAATTAAAATTAAAGAATTTAGCAAGGTACTTTTTCTTTTTGTCTTTTAGAAGGTTCTGAATGAATTCTGCTTCATACGAGTACAAAAACAAA